TATTCTCTCTCTTTCGGTTCTCCAACAGGCGTTTTCAATAGAGCGAAGGAGTGTAAGCGACTCCTGGAGCACAACTACCAGATTTTCTTTCCGTTGAGGGGTTTCATGATACACTGCTGACGCCGATATCGTCGAAGTTAATATGTTACCACCTCCTTGATGAGAAATAGACACGTGTTTTAGGCTGAAGACCGAAAGAAGCGTGCGCATTCCTGTTCTTTCCTTTGACTTGGGTCCCACTTCCCGACGTCTTGTTGGCTGGGGCTTGTATGGTTGTGAGGCGAATGTTTTGGTCGCGGTGTTTTGGATACCGGCTCGGATAACCCCACATTTGGGTCGTGCGCCTGCACTCTGGACTCGCTCGCTGGAGGGGCTCGCATGGTAAATAATAGGACCCCGGTCCATGGCAACGACCAAAACAACACGTCTTCCCACGGCTGAACCCCACGCTGCATATGCATGTTGACTGCTGGGCCGGCCGAAGTTAACTTGAGGATGGGACGCCCAGTCGCATTCGCGATACGGAAAGTCAGTATCGTGAGATTTCAACCTTCAGCTTCTCTGAGCGGTATGATAGGCGACCAAACAAGCGCCTTTCATGCAGGCTGTAATTTCGATTGTAACTTTACTCATCGGCTAAACTTCTGGAATGAAGCCTTTTTTTCGTGAGATTCTCTTCCGTGATGCTAAAATTGGGGATCAACACCCAAGCTATTTTTTTCTTTCGCATGGGGGGCCTTAGTGGGTAGTCGCCGGAGATAGGAAAGCCACACACCCTCACACAAACCATGGACAAATTTTTTCTCAGAGTAGCGGCCTGGTTAAGCTGAGTTCTTCGGGTTCTGAGACTCGACCCAAGGAGTGATGCAAGGGAGATGCCGGGTGTCGTCAGATTTTGAAGCCACAGCGAATCAAAAATGACGGATCAGAGTCCCCAAGCAACCTTCTGTTGTGGGTCGAGTTGGCACAGGTTCCTGTGATCATAAGGCCGAGAATAAAGAAGAACAAGAAGAAGAAGCGATTTTACGCGGGATTGAGGGTGAGCCTAACCCCTGCTGGTGTCTTTTTTGGAGCAAAAGCTTCCTTCGTTTGCCCTGATGCTAGTCAAAGGTCAAATTTCACGGGTAAGGAACCTTTTTTTTTCACTTTGCTTTCTTGTTGGTTCGTTAGCTGTGGGTTTGATGAATGCAAATAGTGGTTTGAATAGTGGTTTGCTGTCAAAATGCTGGAGAAAGTTCTATGCAAGTCATTGGTATGCAAATTTCACGATGCATCGACGGGACGACGGTTGTCTAATTCATTGTCGCTGTCAATCGACATAGCATGTAATTACGGGTGAAGCCGGACCACTACCACGGCCATACGCCATACATAATGAAGGGCACAGCAGCGACAGTAGCGCCAAGGTCCAGTCCGTGCTCTCAGGTCCTGAACAATAATAGGTATTTCCAATTGACCAGGCCTGGGAGAGAGGATTTGCCTGTTTGATTGAAGTTTTCTTTTGTTTAGCAGCGGTTGGATCTGGTTTCTATGGTTATCGCGACCAGATGCCAGAAGCAGCTTAGTCAAGGAAGTAAGGATTAGTCTCGTGGGGAGTTCTTCCCGCTGTCTTGGGACTTTTTTTTTGTCCCCATTACTTTTCGGGGGGATCTTGGACATGGACGGCATATCTGCGATCTCGTGAGTTTGATATTGTTAACTCGCAGCTTGTATCTGTGTCTGTACGCATATATGTAGTAAGTAAAGGACTCAAGTATGTATGTAGAATCTGGAGGCAAATAAAACAGAAAGACCGGACGAATATTTTGCCAGTCCGCCACAGTCACTGAAGTCGGGAATTTGGCAATGGTGCTAGCAAAAGGTTAAGTAACATGTGCATGCATGCATGCCTGCATGGTTTGTGGTTTGTGGTTTGTGGTTTGGGGGGAATTTACGGGCGTGTCAAGTTAGACTTGCTTTTGTTGCGGGAGCGAGTTTGTGTTATCGAGCCTGCCTTCCCTCTGATATGCCCCTGCCCGCTCAGTAACTAGTGCTGGTTAGCACTGGATGTATCTGACATAACAACCATCAGGAAGGCTTTCTTTTGCGGTTTTGGCTGGTTTGGTTTAAAAGGTATCGGTGGGACTGCAGTTGAGACCGACTGACCCGCTTTCGACTGTTCGACCAGAGTTAGAAGTCTGTTACGCCGTCGCCCATAGCAACAGGAGGCACCACCACCACAATCATCATCAATTCTCATCATCCATCGTGGTTGTCTCCATAGCGAGAGAGTGAGAGCGAGAGTGAGAGAGCTTTAACCTCATCTCGCCTCCCTTATTCCCTAGTATATTAGGTGGTAGTAACAGTAACGGGGCACTAGCGTTCCTAGTTAGTACCAGGAAATTACTGAGAGACAGAGCCGAGAAAGGATAGCCTGCGCTCAAACATCACCGCTTCACTGCTGTGTTTTCCAATTAGGAAATCAGACCAGGCCGAAACCTTAGCAACCGGCTCCTAGCCCTGTAGCGACAACTTCTGCCCTGATTGGCTTGACATCTCGACCGCCGTCCTCTGGCCAACCTCAAAACCAGCCTGACATCCTCACTACTTCAACCTCAACCTCCTCCGTTCTCTATCACTTGCATCGCCATACTCTCTTCTCTTCTTCTCTTTCGCCTTCTTGTCCTTTACTAACCTTACAGCTTAACTACATTCCTTGTCGTCGTCGTCCTGGTCCTTCTTCTTTCCGACTTAGACTGAACCAACCGACCTTCCCTTCGAACCCTTTCGACAGAAGAGACTGGGATAATTGAATTGATATCAATCAATCGATCAGAATAGAACTATCGTCAATACCTTTATTGATATCAATTCGATCTTGATAGAGATACAGAAAGAGAGAAAGAAGAGAAAAGTGGACCCAACATACCAATCAGCCTTCCGTCCGTCCTTAGTTTACTTTACGCCAACCAAAGTAACGCCAATAGTAACCACACTGGTTACACATACATGCTGTCTGCAGGTTCTCCAGTTATCAGATACGAATACCGCATACAACTGTCTTGTGTTCTTTAATAGCAGAAATGGATTTCTCTTCTCCTCTAGCTGCTATTAGTCGCTCGGAGGGCAATTGGCTCCAACCAACACCCCTTGGTCCAAACTTCTCGTTCGGTCCTGAGAGTCCTTATACCCCTCGACTTGATGTCAGCCATGATTCATCTTTCTTCGATCTCGATATGAGCATGGAGGCTTCTCCTACGGACTGCCTGGCCGCGGATCTCTCTCAGAATTTTCATATTGACAAGACGTACGTTCATAGATAATCTTCGGGGAATTAGATCATGCTTCATTTAGTTAACTATCCGTCTTTTATCTATATATAGTCCCGCGTTCCCTACTCCACGACGCTCCTTGTTCTCTTCATTCGACACCGCTCGTAAGTTCTGGGTCCCATATTAGTCTGGCGGGCACCAGCATGTTTATAGTCTTTGTCGCGTATAGGACCATTTGTCACCACTCCTCCTCTTCTATCGTCGCCAGCATGCTCGGATATAATGGAATTGAGCCCCCTGCCGCACAAGCCAATTTTTGTCAAGAACAGGTCGAAGCTTAGTGAGGTCTCTCCAGTCATGGACAGCCCCTGTCAAATGCAGCGTAAACCAAGCAATGAGTAGGTCCAAACCGACGGATTGAATACCGCCACGTCATTCTAACAGTCGACATGTAGGCGCAAAAAGCTACTTCAACCACGTCGTCCATCTCAACGTACTAAACTTTTCTCTCAAAACATCGTGTTGAAATCCGCTGGAGCCTCTAAGCTAAGCTTCACTGGTGAAGATGACGAGAAGCCATTCAAGCTCGGTAATAAGAAGACCTCTCCAATTATGGCTCTTGATGACATGTTCACTGCATCTCCGGAGGTCACGCGTGTCGGACTAGGCCTTGGCCTGAATGAAAGTCTTGGTAAACCTCGTATGCCTATCTTCAGGGACTTGAAGAGTCCCGCTGATGGCTCTCCACTAGCTGGAGCCAACCGTCGCACAGCAGCCGTTCGGGATGGTCCACCACGTAAAATCGCGTGCCGACGATCTCTAAGCATGTACAACAAGGCTGAGGATGTCATTTCGCCTAAGCAAAAGCTGGAATCTAAGTTCTGCGCCGAGTCTCCCTCGCAGGTTGCTGCGCGTGAAAGCCAGGTTCTTCCATGCTTTGGAACTGAAAAGGACGTCCTGAAGAGGATCACTCGCGAAACTATGATTCAGGTTCTTGATGGCAAGTACGCCGAACAGTATGACGAATTGAAGATCGTCGACTGCAGGTTTGAGTATGAATATGAAGGTGGTCATATCGCTGGCGCCATTAACATCAACAGCACCGAGCAAGTTGATAGCATTCTCTTGTCCCTCAGATCTGAAAGAGAGGCTGAAGCTAAGAAGACTTTGTTAATATTCCACTGCGAGTACTCGGCCCACCGTGCCCCGAGAATGTGAGTTGCTATCCCATCATAAGAAAAAATGGTCAAATGCTAACAAATTCAAATAGTGCCCACCAGCTTCGATCTCGTGATCGTCAAATCAATATGCATCGTTACCCGACCCTGTTCTATCCTGAAGTCTATATTCTTGATGGTGGCTACAGTGGCTTCTTCGCCGAACACAAAGAACGTTGTGAACCACAGAATTATGTTGGCATGGACGATTCTCGTCACAAGGCACTCTGCGAGCGTGAGATGGGAAAGTTCCGCAAGGCCACCAAATTTGGCCGAGCAATGAGCTATACCTTCGGAGCAAATGTTGCTAATGCCAACACTGACTCCCCATCTGCTCGACGAGCTCCACTTGGCCAAGCCTCCGTTGGTGTCAATGGCGTCCTGGCCCGTCCTCGCAGCGACGGCAAGCGTCATTGCTCCTATTAAATGGTTCGACAGGTGCATCATATCCTAGATGGAATTTCATGGCAACAGCGGCTTCTTTATTTCGACGCAACTATATTCACCTACCCTTTACGACCCTAACACTAACGACTATTTGTCTTTCGGAATCGCAACGGCATAGCGTTCTATTACATAGCATCATTTCGGTTTTTGGTCGATGGGCCTCCCTTCGGATATCCTAATTCTGGGAGACCCTTTTATATTCTTTTTAAATCCCCAGCCCCAGCCCCAATATTTCCCCATCACTACCCCCCCTAGCATTTGTTTCTACTTTTATCTTTCTCGACGTTCATTCAGCGACACCTTTAGAGTTTACGAATACGCGACAGTACTTGCCCGCGATGGAGTTTTTTTTGATATTTACACCACACTGCGTCGAACGAGTACTTAGCCATGATTTTTATTAATGACCCTAACACCACGCCGCACTGCTCCAGCACACAATCACAGTCCTTCTTTTTTTTTATGGAGAAATCCCTTTTTACATTAACTTAACCACCTGCCGACAAATTATCGACCCCTACAACGACATACACGCTAACCATACTACCGGAGGGACTTCGACTTCTAATATCGGTCGAAGAAACTCACGATCACCAGAGACTACTATCATTCACCTCATACAATGAACCATCTTATACGGTTCTTTGGAAACTAGACGTAACTTCGTCTGTCGAAGTTATTATTAGCATTAGAGCCCATACAGAGCCTCCGTGCCTTCTGTTACAACCCACTCTCTTTGCATAAATTAAACCACATAAAATCAACTTTTGAAGGTATATCCTTTTTTGTTGTCCGATTGTCTTTTACCCTTGGAGTTTCTCGCTGTCACATTATTGTTTGTGTTTCTTGGGTGTTTTTGGTACTCTTTTTCCACTTTTTTTTCCCTTTGTGCATCGGGGTCTTTTTTTGGGGGGGGTGATACCATTTTCTTCGTCTCATATTGGGCTTTTTATTCTTCTGAACCCTTTCGAATGTGAAAGATAGGTTGGTTAGGTTTGAAGCTTTTTTCTGAGTTCTTTGGTTCTTATATTACCCGGTTTCGAAAATTTTCCCTTATGTGCAAACCCTTTCCCCTTCTCTGACCATTGTAGCAGAGAAAGGGCCCTTTTTTTTCACTTTTTTCACTTTTTTCACTTTTTCGTTTTTATTGTTTGGTGTATCAATATACCTTGTAGGCGGGTGATCTTGTAAGTGTGGGCGATTTCCTTTGTCATCGTTTGTGTTTTTTATTATTATTTTCCTATGATCGAGTCGCGAGGAGAAGAGGGCTGGCTAGCTTTCAAAGCTAGCTGGATGGATATCTAAACTACACAAGAAGAAAAAAAAAAGAACAACCAGATGTATATAATAAAACGCCAGATGAAACCAGCATCATCGCATCTCTTTCTCTCGATCTCACGATTTTGGAGGTCTGGGAAGGTGTGGTTTAGTTTTTTTCGTTTTATTTCTGGTCGATTATATATACTGCTACTGGCGGGGAGAAGATGATGAGATGTATGTTTATGATTAACCGAACTTCAATGAGAAATAAAAAATACTTTAAAAATTTTACTTGGATGGTTTTTTTCTATGTAGTGATTTTAAGAGTGAAAGATTGATTGGAATTAATAATGAAGTTGTAAATCCATCGATAGCGATCTATGTCGATGGATGAAGAGAGAGGAGAGCGAAATCACCACCCCTCTAAAGTACTTGTAAAGTCTCCGCTCTCCCTCCTTGACGGTAAATTTAGCTTAAAGACAAGATAATGAAGGCCGAATACAGGGAAAACACCACCTCTAGAGCCTGGAATCTACTATCGAATTTCGCTGGAAAGACACGAAGACGTACTTGGGATCGAGGCTCAAGAAAGTCGATTGAGAGACGGAATGAACAAGAAACCTGCATGCTAAACCTTTAAACCACCCATAACAAGACATAGAAAATATATCCAGAAAAGAAACAAAGAAAACTTCTTAACAAGAATATCGCCTTCTAGCAAACCTCGAGGGAAATGAAAAGGAGAACGAGAAACTATAATAGAAGTGAAAATCAAAAAACGTCATGCCAGACCCACCTCGCAGAAAGTACATCGAAGTCCAACTTTCCTTTAAGGTAAACCATGCCCCCCCGTAACCTCTTCAGTAACAGTAGCACTCCCATCATTAGTAAGAGTATCGTCCCACCCCTCCAACATAAAGTTCCCAGCAACGGATTCTTTATCCTCGAGCTTCCAAGCACTCTCTGGCCCTGAAACGGGTAATCCCGTAAAGTCGACTAGTCCAATCTGTTTGAGCACGGAAGCCTGATCCCAGTAAACATGTTCTGCGAAAACCTTTTGTGCTTTGATACATGCGATGATAACGATTGGAATTTCGACTGTATGGCCTGTAGGCTTAACACCGGGAAGCATCCAGGAGATCTCGGTCGTATGTTCGAATCGACAGATCATTTCGTCGACAACACGGTCTACACCGACTGTGCGTGAAATTTGACGGAGGGATAAAGAAGGGGGGTTGTTAGGGATGAAGTATTCGTTGTAGAAGCGGTGGAGTTCAGCGTAGCCATTTCCACCCGTTAGAGTTGGGATCTATGTCAGTTTCTCCGTTTAGTTTAAAGTTAATAGATCATGAGTCTGAGGAGGCTTTTTCACTGACGTGATTGACATAAGGCTCCTTGACCATACTATCCAAGGTTCTATTCGCCTTCTTCGCAACAAAGGAAGCGAGCAAATGCTCCCCCCAGATCTCTTCTAAATCCACATTTGGACCTAAAACTTCCCTTACAATTGCCAAACTTCTTGTATGAGCTAACCCATGGGCGATGGGGTTGTAATTGATTGTCATCTTTTCAGCGAAACCTTGTTTGGTATTTTGATAGAGTTGGTATTTGAGCAAGGGGACTTTTTTGGTGATATCATAGTTGAACGGTTGAGCATCTGGAACGTGGACGAAGATGTGGCGGATTCGTTTTGGGTATTCATCCGATGGGAAAGTGGAAGGAAGACCGGTTGGATAGTAAGCAATCAAAGCGACAAGGTTACCGACAGGGTACAATGCGTATTCCAAAGCGAGGGTAGCCGCGGCCCCGTAAGCTATGTCGATAATTAGACATATTTATACTTTTACAGATATATGCACGATGACGTATGCCGTCGTTAGGAATACAGGTGTATTACCAATAATACAATACTTTTCGTTACTCTCGAGAGTATCGCCGAGTAGTTCGAACGTATGTGAATCAGCTCTTGGGATATACTCGACTTCATATCCCTCCGCTTGCCATTGTGCGATCTCAATTGGGTCGAAGTCGTTGGTATCGGCTGTTATGAAGACCCTAGGAAGGTTGGTGTCCATGTTTATTCTAATTTTTGCGTGATGATGCTTTGGACGGCTCGAATAGAACAGTTTGATGATAGAGAAAAGGGACCTGGATTTTTTGGGAGCTGGAGGCTTGCTGGTAGTGATTGCGGTGGTTGTGGTGGCTGTGGTGGGTTTGGAAGGGCCGAGGCGGGAGAAGAGGGAGCGGAAGTTGTAGGTTTGGGTTTTCATTTTGGAGAATGCGTTGAGGATGTTGGAATTAGCTGGATTCGATCGGGATCTTATCTTATCTGATTGGACTGAAGGCAGCCAGGCCCCCAGGCTACAGGGGTGCAGACAGAGGAGGCCGGGTTCGTAATTATCTTGTTCTTCGACGAATTTATGAGGAGGATTATGTAGAGGAGAAGGAGAAAAATCCTCGGGGAGAGAAAGAGAGGAAGGGTTTTCTACCAAGGGTCCGACTCCGAGTTCATTGGGATACGGCATATTTAGTGTGTATCCGTTGGGGAGGGGCCGTCGGGGTGACGGATTGAAGCTCTCTGTAGTTGTGGGCATTGCTGTACTTTTATAGTGTATAGGCTCCAGGGTAGGGGGGGATGAGGAATAAGAGGACGGTTGTGGAGTAATGTATGTACAGTTCTTCTTTTTATTATACATAAAGTTTAGTATAGGTACAGACCTGAGGTATGCGGGTAAGTGAGTATTACAGATATGGTATGTTATGGCATATCCTTGGGAATCCAGACCTCCTCGAAAGCCCATCTTTCGAGGTTGGTCATGGGTCTTCCCGCTGCTACTCCAAATGCTGCATCTCTAGCACTTCTAACACAATCGTTTAGCCCTACCCCCCCATAGCTGCTTCCAGCGAGGACTAGTTTCCCACCCATTTTGTCCATCAGGTCTTCGTGTGCCTGCCTTAGCCTTCCTGCATGTCCGACTCCATATTGTGGGATACAATCTACTTGCAGGGATGCCATTGTCTCCGCTGGTTCTTCCGTTATGCCTAGATGTTGAAGAAGCACTTCCTTTGCCATTTTTACGCCATCATCTTCGGATGGGATGGATGTAGCATTGTCCCACCAGTGTCCGCCGAGCATGACCGTTACTTTGGTGCCCTGACGTTCGTCTTGTTCTGGCATTGCATCTGAATCGAAGATTACGCCTAGCGCTCGGTGAGGGTTTTGTTCTAGTGGGACGGATTTGGGGATCAAATATCCGAAGCCAGAGTAACCCGTCATGTTTGGTTTGTCGTAAAATAGGTTGACAACCATGACCGTTACTCCTCTAGTTTCAAATAGGGCATTTGATGTCTCTGGCGGTAGTAGGCTGGCAGTTGACCACGCTGGAAGGGTTGATATGACAAAGTCGAATGAATTGTGGGGGGAGTCGTATCCCAGCACCTATAGTAGTTATAATTAGTAATCCCTTCTTTTCATTCTTTTTGAGGGATAACGGAATAGCATATTTACCTCGACTTCGCTTGTTTCATGGTTATATCTAAGACCGTCAACTTTTACACCAGTCTTAACAGTAACGTCGCATTCTTCTCGTACTGCTTCCTCCATCCTCTTCGTCAAAGTCTCCATACCACCTTTGAAAGAGTATATACTTGTTGTCTTTAGCCGATTTAGTAAGGGTGCAGTCCTAGAACCATAAACTCCCTCTAACAGCTTCTCCTCCAACAACATCTCCTGTACGCCCAAAATCCCTCTCGTGATACTCCCATACACTCTTTCATTACGGTATAGGGTATGTAACAGCGCGTCGGCACTTAAATTCGCAATATCCCCAGCATAAACCCCATGAAATACTGCCGATGCAAGGTTATTTGTCAAGTTTGCACCCAACCTCCGTGTTAAAAACGATTCCACGGATTCATCTTCAACATCTTTAGCTCTCTTTCTCCTGAATATTTCGGTAAGAACCGAAGGTATGGCACCCTTCAAGACAGGGAGTTGTAAGGCTTTAAGTACTCCTTGTATAGAAGATGGAAGTTCGTTCAGACGTTTGTCGAAGTAGATGTAACGGTTTTTTGCGGCTGGGGACGATTTTGGGACACTGAGGATTTGAGATTGGAGGGAGAGATGAGATACTAGATTTAATGTTATAATGCCATTGACGGTCCAGGGACGAAGAGTGCGAGGCCCTGTTTCGAAGGTTATGGAACCCTTTGAGGTCGGGATTTTGAGAGAGCGGATCCAACCGCCTGTTCTGGGCGAGGCTTCAAGGAGGGTTATTGAAGTTTCCGGGGAGAAGTGTGAAAGTTGGTAGGCTGCTGTTAGACCCGTAACTCCTGCACCTGTATTTTATAAGAGTAATACTATCAGTATTAGGCATTTTTCTGGGAGGATTAAAGACTTGGAGGGAGAAGAACCCAGAATCGCGACTGACTTGGGAGGATCCCGGTGCAGGTCGGGGTGCTGCTCTACCCCGCGATGCCATTCTTCGGAGATTTGGGGGATTAATGATTCCACTGGTTCGTCACCCTTACGGCCCCAGAAAGAGCGGGTGAGGTTTTGGGCGTGGTGGAGTCTGAACGGCAGCTTGCGACGGAGAATTGGGGGTTTCATGTTGTTTGGTTGGCCATGAGGTTTGGGGTTTTGTAGGAAGCGGGATGAAGTTGGAATTTCTGTGCAACGCGATTTATATCGGAGAACAGGGATTGATTTAAGCTGTAAGCTAGGTACCTAGGGAAGTATGTATATAAAGTACTTAAGTAGTTATGATAATAAGGATGAAATAAAGTGCTGTCTTGGTTCATTAGATTATAAGGTAAGGTAGTATAAGATAATATACATTTTAAGTTTCAGGAGTATTGTGGGTATCTTCAATCGTATATGTTTTCAAGTTTCGAGCCCTGGTGCCAGGATTACCAGATTATTTGTATCCTTCTGAGTTCGAGGGCCAGTTTGAACAACCAAATATTTCAAATGATACCCTTCACAAAGCGGTATACCTAGATATGAGCGTGAGGAACGCTGGAATAGCCAAAACTGGAGATTTCTCAATGTTGAAGATTATGATCTTCGAAATACTCGATCGTAGTCGTCTTCCCATAGTCAAGGTAGATCCGTTAAATGTCAACGAATATGGTGCAAGGGCAGGGCCAAGTCCATTGATTGGTCATACTTGAGGGTATGCACTGACCTTGTGACACGATGTAGCACAAGTCGGTGGATACCAGAGCAGAGATTTTATAGGCATAGAAATTCTCAATTGAATTTCATAGCCTCATATTTTCACCGACTACTTCTTCTCTCCCTCACCCTTCAGCTCTACTTTTGGCAATTCTTCCACCTCTTCCTCCGGTAATATTTCAATATCTCCATCTCGATATTTAATCCCCTTCTTGATCTTCTCCCCTTGTTCCTTCATAATATCTTCGATTGTTGTCGGCTTATCTCTGAATATCTTCAAGTGATCGGCGATAAGGTGCCGAACCTCGCATCCGGGACACTGAATTAGGACCGTACCTTTGTGATAGGCCTGTTTTGTGACTTTATGGGAGGAGCGGTGGGAGCACTTTTTGCAGGTGAAGGTTAGTTCGTAGGAAGGTTTTTCAGCTAGTGGGAATGAAACCGTAGAGGACGGCGACGAAGAAGTGTCTGAGGGTGTTGACGGAGAGGAGGAAGTGGAGGAAGAAGTAGAGGAAGATGAAGATGGCGGCGGGAGGATTGAGGGAGAATCTGAAGGAGTGGAGTATTTGCGACTCAAGGAGGAGAATGTTGGAGGGAGAACTTTTGAGGGCCTGGAGCGGTATGTTGATGATGGGAGGAAGAAGGTAGGTTTTGAGAGAGGTTGAAGAGATAACTTGGCGAGTGGCCTGAGAAACCGAGATGATGCCGATGCCCTCATGATTTTATACAACTTTGGTATCGATATCTATATGTTTTGAAGCTGGTGATGGTTGTTTATTTTATATATTATACACTAGTTGGCGTTATAGAAGCAGAGAATGGAGGGAAGAGAAGGAAGAAGAGGGAAGATTAGTCAGTGAAGAAAAGAGAATGTGTTGGGATGAGGTTGGTTGTGTTGCACGAATCTTAATTCGAGATGTTTGTCTGACTTGAACCTTCCGAATTGGGCGTGTATCTCGGACTATCTTGAGGAGCACGTTCACATTGTTCGTTAATTCGAAGGCTATAATTACTTCCCACTAGCTTCACATTGTCTTTACCGTGCTTCCGAAATTACTGGAAACTCTCGGTATAGCTAGCTTTATTTAGCATCATCGGCATCGCTGATCTAATATCGGCCCGTCAATGTCGTTTTTGTCGGAGATGTATGGACAGGGTGATCTTGAACGTTTTTATTAGTTCCCATACAAAGGTACCGGTACACCATGGCTTGGGACGGTTATAGGTACACAGACCGGCAGATCTCGCGTCTACCAAAAGCGCACTGGTCTCGGTTCCAATCCACCACCACTTAACTTACTTCCCTTCAAATCCATCCACCCTTCCTTCGAATACGCCACCATCTTCGGGCTGCCTGGACAGTCATAATACACTACTTACGTTAATACCGCTTTAATCCTTCTGGTCATCTGGCATCATCAATATCTTCGCTCCATCCTTTATTCGACTTCGGAACTGCACGACCACTTACATTAGTACTTACATGTGCATTAGTGACGTTAATAACGTGCCTGCAACTTGAACGGAGCTTGGCGATACTCTATTGGATTGGACGTCATTTACAGACAACAGGCTTGCCCTGAAGACGTAGAGCTTTTTAATTCTTCTCTTGTGTTTGGAGTCTAGTAAACGCCTCATCTACCTCTCTATCTTACTGCTAGCTCCTTGTCTAGCTACTGGACATTCTTACCGGCTTCGTTTCCTCTTCTCCGTTATTTCCAGCCTTCTTTTCGACTTCTTATCCTTCCTTACAATCCTTGGATATTATTATTTAGCGGGTTTCTGGCCTCGGAATACTCAAGAATGGCCTCGAAACTGGGTTCTAGCCGAATTAAAATTAGAGCTCCTAGAAGGGTACGGTATTCCTTCAGGTCTCGTAGGCCTTCTTTGGCCGATTCAACATAAACTATTTTCCTCTCTTACTAACTAAACCACCTTTCCCCCAATTATCACCGAAATAGGGCCTAGCCAACGAAAACATGCGGTTCGACGATGCCTGGGCGCTACTATCCGAAGCCCTACAGCAAATCTACGAACGGGATGCTTCCAATCTATCCTTCGAAGAGCTGTACCGGACAGCCTACAAAATGGTCCTCAAAAAGCATGGAGATCCACTGTATAACAGTGTGAACGATCTCGTCAAAACCCGGCTACAGAGGGTAACCACCACACAGCTAAAGCCTGCCAGGCCAAATTTTGCCCCTACCAGTAGTGCTTTGGAGCGACGGGAGAGCGGGAACCGATTTTTGGCTGCCGTTAAACAGAGTTGGGAAGATCACCAGCTTTGCTTGGGCATGATCACGGACATTCTTATGTATTTGGTATGTCTATATTCTTGCCGCATTATCCCAGATGCGGAGAGGGGTAGTCTTGATGGGAGGGGTAGTGAAGGGTGAAGCTTGAGCGGGGTGATACTTTGAATAGCTAGTACACAAGCTAACCTCTGCTCTTCGAACGTTCAGGACCGTGTTTTCTGCAATGACAACAAAAAACCGTCGATCCAGGTTACTGGCATGGCGCTGTTCCGTGACAATGTCCTTCGCAACAGAGACTACGATATCGGTGCTGACTTGAACCGGGTCATCCTCGAGCAAATCAGGATGGAAAGAGATGGAGATGTCATCGATCGAGCACGGATCCGTTCTTGTGTATACATGCTGGAAGGGCTATACGAAACATTGGACGAGAGGGAAGATCAGAAGCTGTACCTGACGAAGTTTGAAGGTACTCCCTACTAAATAGCCGCCCAACATAGTAGAATTGGCATGGCTAACTACAATTTCACAGCTGAATTCCTTACTGCTAGTAATGAATTCTATACTGAAGAAGCCCGAAAGCTGCTTGAGGTCTGCGATGCGGCTACTTACATCGAACGAACAAATGATCGCCTCAACGAAGAATGGGAACGTACGCAAAGTACAATTTCCACACTGACGGAGCCCAAAATCCGAGCTATTGTAGAGAAACATCTGATTACCGATAACATCCGAGAGGTCATGCAGTTAGAGGCCTCTGGTCTGAATTTCATGGTAGACAACGATCGTTATGAACAGCTGAAGGTGCTGTACAATTTGGTGTGGCGAGTAGACAACAACGTGATGGAAATCAGGCGGATGTTGAAGGAACGGGTTGTTTACTTGGGAAGGGAGATTAACAAAGGGGTCTATGGATTCAGGAAACCAGCTGCTCCTGGAGAAGGCCCGAACGGAGAGGCTGAGGATAAGAGTGTGAATGCTGAAACAGCAATGGCTTTAAGATGGGTTGAGGACGTTCTTGCCTTGAAGGATAAGGTTGATAAGATCTGGGAATACAGCTTTTCTTCTGACCAGGGCATCCAACAGACTGTTTCCAAATCCTTCGCGGAATTTATTAACGAAAACAAGAGGTCACCGGAGTACATCTCGTTGTTTGTTGATGAGAATATCAAGAAAGGCTTGAAGGGGAAGACAGAGGCGGAGGTCGACATGGTTCTTGACAAAGCTATCGTGCTTTTCAGATACATCCAAGATAAGGATATCTTTGAGAGATACTACAAGAAGCACTTGTCCAAACGTCTCATCCTCGGTAGATCTATTTCTAACGATGTTGAACGCGCTATGATTGGGAAGTTCAAGGTTGAAGTCGGATTCTCATTCACTAGTAAAATGGAGGGTATGTTCAAGGATATGAACGTCTCGCAGGATTTGACCACGGAATACAAGAAGCATCTTGCCAACTTACATCTCGACAACGACCCGACTATTGACCTGGATATCAAAGTTTTGACGTCAACCTTCTGGCCCTGGAGCTCGATGAGTGGGGAGACGACACATACTTGCATCTACCCGCCCGAATTGGAGAAGATCAGATCATCGTTCCAACAGTTTTATCTACGTAGACATAACGGGAGACAGCTCACTTGGCAACCGCAGATGGTATGTGCATATACTGAGGTATCTACGGATTAACAGTTATTGACGTTTTGGGATTAGGGAACTGCTGATATTCGAGCTACGTTCAAAAGTCGCAAGTACGAAATTAACGTTGCAACATACGCTATGGTTGTCCTATTACAGTTCAACGACCCGAAAGTTGAATCACTGTCCTATGATGTTTGTTCCATTTATTTCTTCCCGTCTGAATTATATCTGGCTAACCTTTGGGTAGGAAATTAAAACATTGACATCAATCCCAGAGTCCGAACTCGTCCGCCATCTACAATCGCTTGCTGTTGCACCGCGCAGTAGAGTCTTGGTTAAGACGCCTATGTCGCGTGATGTTAAACCTACTGACAAATTCTCGTTCAATGCGGGGTTCCAATCGAAGCAGCTCAAGTTTAAAATCGGAACTGTCAAGGGAGCCGGAAATAAGGTTGAGACGGACAAGGAGAGGAAGGAGACCGAGGAGAAGGTTGACGAAAGCAGAGCCCATTTGATCGAGGCGGCTGTTGTTAGGACCATGAAGTATGAATCTACCCCTGCTATATATTTTTGATTGAATGAGGACTAATATATGAATGTGAAACATAGGGCGAGGAAATCGTTAAAACATGCTGATTTGATGTTGCAGATCACGGAGCAGCTATCAAAGAGGTTCATGCCCGATCCGAGCATGATCAAGAAACGGATTGAGAGCTTGATTGAACGTGAGTATTTGGAGAGAGAGACGGCGGATCCGAATACTTATGTTTATCTGGTACGTTTTATCAAAAATGCGGCTATGAATATTGGAAGGATTTGCTGACTCTTGGGTGCCTCAGGCTTAATTTTATGGCTTGTCGTTTTGCTGATATTATAGGCTGCTTTGTTCAAAATGGGACTAAGGCAGCTTGTGGTCTTGTTACTGACTGATATTCTCTTCTTTCTTTATCTACTTCTCCCGCACATCAACGCCTTGTTTTTGAAAAAATTCTTATGATCATGGATCCAGCGTTGTTATTTCCCTTTATTCATCTATCTATATGTCATTCTGCTGGCGTTTTCCCTCTTCTTCATCTCCTGTTCAATCGGAAACAAAAGGACCTCTACATACCACACATCACCATTGTCATCCGCCTTTCACGATCCTTCAAACCTATCTCCTCCTCGATCCACTATTCTTCAATCCTTTATTATATCTGATATGATGATGAGAAGCATCTATCCCTCCTTGCTCACTTTTTTCTTCTTTTTTTCCATTCTTTATTAACTGGAGTTGCAAAATGCTTTTTTCATGGGGTCTTCTGTTTCTTCTGTTTCTTCCGTTTCTTCTCCTTGTTTTTCCTATTTTTATTTCTGTTATTTGTAGCTGGTGGAGGATATATGTATGTATGAAGGAGGCTGGTCTGTGTGACATAGGTACTTTATACTGGTATATGCTATCTTAGGCTAGAGGTGGTTATTATATTAGTAAGGATACTCGGGTGTATGCACGTGCACGGAGGAGGAGGAAGGCCGTGAGGTGTTTATATGAATTACTAGAAATGGAATTCTTAGACTGTCAATATCAAACATCTTCCCGCTCTGTATACCTATATGGTTGTATCGAAGTAAGAATAGTAGTTGAACCGGGAATATGGTGGAGTATAAAAAGTTGTATATAAGTTTATTCTGTTCAGTAAATGATGAGCTGAAAGAAAAAGGGGGGTCTTTGTACAATGGCTAAGAATGGGTGATTTTATAAACAAGAAAATCTCTATCAATTCGCTTTCCGCCTTTTCTTTCTTTCTCGCTTTCTTCCAATGGTATATGGAGGTTATTGTTTCTTTTATCACTTAGGACTAGAGGAAGTTGGTCTTTGGTATGATTGTTGTTTTATTCTTCCTCGGAAAGGACGTATTTTTGACGGATATCCTAGAATGAGAAAAGGTTAGGAGGATTTTATAATTCGGGTAGATTATGGTATCGTATTGTACCTTCCATTGTCGCTGTTTTGGAAGAGATAATAATGTTAGTAACAAGATCGTTATACGGATGTATATATGTGAATTGGAGAAACTTACGCCTTGGTTCTTCCAGTCCCAGAAACGCTGGGCGTAGACATCAAAAGCGCTAGGTTGTGGAACTTGGTTAGCCTTTTCTTCTTCCTTCCTTCCTTTCATTCTTGTAGGTGATGTCATTCCGTCTACGGTGTGTATGTAATGGATTGAGGTCGGGTAGGTAGGGGTTTATATATCGATTTCAGAGTGGATTGGGAGAGAGGAGGGTCCGTACATATCGGCACCGAATGCGCCGGCGAAGATGACGCCAACGAAGGCCCAGTTCTTCCGCATGACGGTGTTGTAGATTGTCGATGAGAGCTATGGTTTTCGATTTAGTTAGCATTGTTCTGGTAGTAAAAAAGGGGTTATGGGAAGGAGAGCGTATGTACGTACCGACATGATGGGCGATTTTGAAAGGGGGGGTAATGGGGAGTATAGAGGGGTGGTGGTTATGAAGTGTCGTCGTTGCGCGGGTGGGTTTCTGGGTGTTAATTAACGTTCGGGTGTTGAAGAGGACGGAATTTTGAGGTTGGTTTGGGAGGATGGGAATGGGTGGTATCTGATTGGGTGGAGATTAGATTAGATCCTTATCTCCGACGCTTGTTCGGGTTTGTTTTTTTGGGCAATGCTTTTCGGCTGTTCCTTTTCTTCCTTTTCTTCCTTTTTTTATATTTTTATTTTTATTTTTAAACGGTCACGATCGGACTGAACTAAATTTGACGACACGAGTGAATTTTATTTTATTTTATTCGGATGGTTTGGAGTTTCGATTGATTGACTGGTTGATTGATTGATTAACAGGTCCTACTTTCTTTAACGTATACGTACACACTGCTACTATCGTCAGACCACGTTATATATATAGCTAGCTCTCAACCTCGAATGAATCAGTCTCCCCTACCAAAGACGTCACGACTTAGAGCTCCAAGCTAGTTAAACCAAGCTACCAATATTCACAACATCAAAACCCAAACCTATAAACCCCCCAAAGGAATAAATAAATAAAGAACAAGATGTCAAAATCCAAAGATTCCAAGTCCACAACGACCTCAGGCATCCAAACCCTCGAATCCGGTAGTCGGGTAATCCCTTCCTCCACAAGAGCAGATGGCACCACGAGGCCCGAACGTCGTGTAAAACCCGGGTTTACACCGGCTGAAGACGTGGTGAAATACCATAATAGGACGGCTGAGGCTTGGAGGAATAGAGGCAGTGGTGGCGTTCCCGGCGCTACGGATGTCGTAGGGGAGGGTAATAAAGCTGGTGGAGCTGGGAAGAAGAAGAGAAGAAGGGCGAAGAAAGGGGGTGCTGCTGGTGTTGATGGTGGGGAAGGGAAGGAAGAGGACGAGGGTGAGGAAGGGGGTGAGGGTGCTGAGGAAGGGGGTGAGGCTGCTACACCTGCTGCTGCTACACCTGCTGCTGCGACCACCACTACTTCTGAGCCGGCGAAGGCAGAGGGAGAAGCTGCAGTCTCAGCGGATGTGGAGAAGAAGGCAAAGGGGTTACACAAGAAAATCCGACAGGCGCAAGAATTAAAGTCGAGGAAGGAGAAAGGGGAGACTTTATTGCCTGAGCAGTTGGATAAAGCTTTGAGATTGGGAGAGTTGATTAGAGATTTGGAGAAGTTGGGGGTCAAGTACGAAGGATGAGTTGGGCGCCATGAAGGGGATGATTTGAGCTGGACCTCTGGGATGTCCGGGTTAAAAGATTGGGGAATGATGAGATATTTTTCTATCTTGTCCTCTTATTCTTTACTTTTTATTCTTTTTGTTCGAGGGGGGCGGAATCTGAGGGTGGATGCTGGAACTGCGGGCTCGGGCTCAGAAGATGCCTTCTGAGCTGTTCGATATTATGCATGATAAGATGATGTCGCCGGGATACTGGTCTGTCCTATCTGGGATATTCAGGACGGACTGACGAATGAGATACGAGGAGTAAGGCCTGTCTGGAAGACGGTGGAATGATCGATCAAACTCGAAGTTTGGATGGCACCCAAGATACACTTTATCCATACATCCACGCATCCTTGCTTATAGGTGTAATGCATGAGTACCCCATTACTTGAGTATATACCTACGAAAGCAAGTGCGAGTCATCGGGAGGGCTGCAAAAGATTGGTAACGAATGCCTGGCATTTAGCTGGGGGTCATGAGGTTGACGACATATGCACAGATCTCCGGAGATGGATTTTTGGCTAGCTTGAAGTTCCTCTGCAATTAATTATATTCCAACTGTGCAGGATGCAGTTTCAGTTTGATATATATCATGATCCATTGAGTATTTTAGCTTGGATAGATCGATGTTGATATCTATAATATTTCTTTTTTTACTTTACATCCCTACTTCGAATATATACATCATGATCCAGATCTCGTATCGCGATATCGGTCTGGCGATATCACCAATCGTACATGGAGCGGATCCTACTTGATATCGATGCATATATCTACCTCTTCAGGACTTGGTGCAGTAGATATCATGATCTCGATCTACATGTATATGCTAACTACTTAAGTACTTACTTACTAAGTATATATACTACGCGGAATTTAGAGTAGAAATATATCCTGCAGCCCATCTGACAAACTTCAGATAACTGGAGTGATACAGCATCGACATTCCACACTTTCGTCTCCAAAGACTGTGAGTTAACAGATCCTAGCTAGCCAGCTAGATCTGACTAGACAGTACAACGTCGGTACATAATAAATGTATAATGTATGCATGGATTTGAGCCGTGCATGAAATTTGAACCCAGGCTAGCACTAGAGTAAGCTTGAGCACGGACGGAGCTGTTCGGTTCGGTGCAGGGCCCAATGGCAGGATCCGGCGTGAGCTGGCTAGCTTGCTTAGAATGCATTGATTCCTCCATACCTCGTTGAAGCCTCGAAATTAGCCTGGCCTGGCAAAAGATCAGATCAGGATCCAAAGAGCTCCACCTGCGCATGCCCATCCATCCATCCATCCATCCATTCAGGCATGCTTTTTTCCGGTGGAGTGATATATCTGATCTGTAGTGCGAGTTAAGTGAGTGTATGTAGATGCTAGATGTCGACAGCACGGACGGCAGCAGTTCTAGTTTAAGCTTTCCTGCCTGTTGGTTGCTGGAAGGTCTGACAACACCAGCAGCATTCCCCCAAACCCAAACCACTTCAACCATTGTCACTATCACTATCACCAACGTTAACTGAACACCATCAACCATCAACCATCAACCATCCATCACCATCATCAATCAATCGATCAATTACTAGTTAATCAATTACACCCTTTGTCAAACACCTATCTATCCATCCATCCTCTTTTGCTTCTTCCTTTCAGCTTCACCTAACCGAGCTTGTCCCTACTCGCACTTGACTCAACTTCGCTTTTGATACCGATTACGAACGAACGGCAGCTGCCTGTCAGACAGTTTGATTTCTTGGTAAGTTTCGATTACCTTTGCTTTGCTTAGCTTGGACTTTGCGACCAAAGTGCACAAGCTGCTGCCACTACCCGTTGAATCCTGGCGGCCTTCTCAACCCGACTCAAAAACCCGAGACAGCACTAGAGATATGTCATGTCCTTCATCAGAAACACCCCTCATTTGCATTCTTGATTCCTACACCCTTTTATATTTTGCTTGCTTGCTTACTTGTTGAAGTCTCTACTCTATAAGAACCTAAATACTTACTTATCATTTGCACTACCTGTAGATACTTCTTCTGAGCTCGAGAAATGCCCTTATCATCTCCATCCTAAAACGAAGAAAGACACACAAAAAAAGAAAAGCTTCATGATCACTCGGACTCCATCACCCCGCGAAGACCCACTGATATCATTTTCACAACCACCATGCTAACCGACTTCGCTTCCTCCGACCCTGTAATCTCCCTCACCCGAGTTTTACGCGACTTACCCCTCGTTCACGAATACAGATACACCGAGGAAGCACGCCTACGGCTCTTGGAAGAGCTGTTCGCCAGTCTCGCCGGTAACAACCAGGAACACATCAAGTTATTCTTTCCCAATGGGATCCCTCCAAGGACAGGCAAGGATGCTTGGAATCTAAGTAAAGCACAAGGTGCTGTTGAGGGTGCAGAATACGGACCTGCTGCTAGGGGAAAACCCTGTGGCCATATCTTCAAAAATGGAGAAGCTACTTATCGGTGCAAGTAAGTTTCTATTCCTCTCACCTTCTATCTACCACTTTTTTTTCTTTTGGACAGGAAAACTGATTGTCGACTGTTTTTTTATTATAATTTAGGACTTGCAGTCTCGATGAAACTTCCGTACTATGTGCCAAATGCTTCGAATCCTCCGACCATAGAAATCACAGTGTCTTTGTCAGCATTAGTCTAGGTAATAGCGGATGCTGCGACTGCGGTGACCGCGAAGCCTGGCGAAGGGATGTAAAATGTGCTATCCATACCGCTTACGAGCATCAACAATCCGCCAAGTCCCCCACCCAACAGCTACAACCCCTCCCCGATGCCCTACGAAAATCTATCCGCGATACTCTTGCCCGAGCTCTCGATTATCTATGTGACATCATTTCGTGTTCGCCCGAACAGCTGCGTGAACCGAAGTCTGAAGAAAAAGTCAGAGAAGATGAGGAGAAGTCGCGGTTGCAGGCGAAATACTACGAAGTTGCAGAGAACGGGATGGAAGCTCCGGAATTCTCGTTGGTTCTTTGGAACGATGAAAAACATACTGTGCGAGAAGTTCAGGATCAACTTGGAAGAGCGTGCAGGAAGCCGAAGGACTGGTGTTTGAAACGTGCCGAAGAGACTGATTTGATCGGTCGTAGCGTTGTTGACTTTAGTACCGATATTTCGGATCTTCTCAACAAGAGCAAGATTATCGAGAGGATAAAGTTGACAATGACCCTTAGATCGGCAAGGGATACTTTCAGGGAACAGATGTGTGGGACAATCATTGAGTGGCTGGTGGATATTGCAGGATGTGCTGTGGGCGATGATCCTGATATATTAAGGACAACGGTCTGTGAAGAGCTTCTTGGTGTCTGGAAACAGGGATCCAAGGCATGGAATATTGAGATTGGAATGAAGGGAATCGATGACCACGAATATGCTGAGAGCCAACAGACCTTGGAGTATGCTCAAAGTGTTATGCAAAGCCCAGAGATTAGGATGTTGCGGGCGCAACAGGAGCAGGAAGAGCGGGCTGCTCGCGAGGCGAACGGCGAGGAAGAAGAGGAGGAAGAAGAGGCCGAAGAGAATGAAGAGACTAACAACGAGGAGGGAGGCGGTGGTGATAATATGGAGGTAGATGGAGGAGAAGGAAGCTCGAATACGCAGGCTGCAGGTCAGGCTACGGACACAGACGGCGATATCGCAATGTCTGGAGAAGGTGCTGCTGCGAATGATTTTCAATCCGAAGCTACCGTCCCGTTTCCACCCCCCTTCGCACCCAGCATCCCTCACACACCTGGCAAGCACCACAAACGTAAAGAAGCCCACGGGAAGCCTGGCGCGCACTGGCTTGAGACCACACACATCCCGCACAAGACTACACCTTATTATGAGGACCTTAGACAGCGTGTGAGGCTCGACTGGCTTATAATGTTCGACTTGAGAATGTGGAAGAAGGCTAGAATTGACCTTAGAGAGCTCTATATTGGTACGGTGGTCGCGATCCCTCAGTTTAAGCGGATTCTGGGGTTAAGATTCGCTGGCCTCTATACCATTCTCAGCCAGCTCTACCTCATTGCCGACAGGGAGCCAGATCATTCAATTATCAACCTCTCATTACAAATGCTTACCACTCCATCAATCACTGCGGAAGTTGTCTCCCGAGGGAACTTTTTGACTAGCCTCATGGCTATTCTTTATACTTTCCTGACGACTCGTCAAGTTGGACATCCCGCTGATGTTAATCCTAATGCAACTCTTGCCTTCGATACTGGATCTCTGACGAATCGGCGAATGTATCATTTCTTTCAAGATATGAAATATTTGTTCGGGTCAGATTCGGTGAAAGAGCTTTTAAGGACGCGAGTTGCTCCTACTCTGCAGTTTTTGGATCTTGTTAAACTCCACCAAGGTATCTGCTACAACAACAGAGCCATTGGTAGCCACATAGAATATGAATCGGATGCTTGGATTTGCGCCAGTCTTATTACGAGGGAGATCAACAAGCTTTGCCGACAATACGCCGATGCCTTTAGGAGACCGAACGCTGGCGGGGACCAGCATTTGGCTGATGCTATCAGACTGGTGGCTAAGGTTACAACTAGGCATGCCGCTGGTATGGAAAGGCAGAGGTTTAAGAACGCTGAGATAAGGGACGATGTGGATTTCGTTCATAAAGAGAGTCAAGAGGGTGAAGACGAAAAAAAGATTGGCTTGTTTGGGTTTGATATGGAAGCTGACGAAAACGGGGTGGTACCTTTATATCGTGTCATAAAGTACAAAGTTGAGACCGAGGCGATTAGTTTCCATCATGCGATGCATTACCTTTTGTCCTGGCTGATTGAAGCCGGGAATGGGATGGATAATGAGAAACTCAAAACTCTGCTCAGGTTTAGAACTGAAGACCTCAGTGTTCCCGATAACTGGAAACGAGAATTCGACCAAGAAGATTTCTTGGCCGTGCTCTTTGACTACCCTCTCCGCGTCTGCGTTTGGCTGTCACAAATGAAGGCCGGAATGTGGGTCCGAAACGGGTTCAGTCTTCGACATCAGATGAATACCTACAAGGGAGTCTCGCAGAGAGACCTCACATACAACCGCGACATCTTCATGCTGCAAGTTGCTTCGGTGGTAATTGAACCTGCGAAATGGCTACTCACCATGATCAATCGTTTCACGCTGGACTCTTGGTTTAGAGGAGACTTCCGTGCGCCGGCGAATATTGAAGCTCCACAGCATCTGGATTTGGTCGAGGATCTTTACCTTTTGCTTATCTCTCTCTTGAGTGATCGCCTTCTATTGATCTCGCACGACGAAGAAAAGGACATCCCTACATTGCAATTACGCCGCGAGATCACGCATGTTCTATGTTCTAAGTCGTCTAGCTTTTCGGATATCTCCCAGAAGATACCTGATAGGCTCCTCGATCTAGAGAACTTCCAAGATGTGCTGGCGGAGATGGCGACCTACAAGCCACCAGATGGGTTGAGCGACTCCGGTATTTATGAACTCAAGGGTGAGTGGAAAGAATACATCGACCCGTATATTCTTCAGAACAGCAAGAATCAGCGGGAAGAGGCCGAAACTATCTACAAGAAACATATGGCCACAAAACTAGGTATCCAGGAGAAGAATGTGGTTTACGAACCTCGTCTCAAACCGATACAGTCTGGTGCCTTCGTGGGGCTGGCCAATATTACGAAAACCAAGGTCTTCACCCAGATGATTTACTTCGGTCTGTTGTTCGGAGCTATACATAAGACTGTTAACCCCGCGATTCCGGATACGAGGGTTGATTCTTACATGCATGCTCTGCTCTACCTTATCCAGATTGCCATTGCGGAAGATGATTCGGTTGCTGAGGGGACAGAGGGGTCTTTTGTTTCTTATGCTCTCAAATCAAAGGCTGTGGCGCCTAAGGATCCTTCTCCCGATATATTGGAAGTGATTACAGTTGCAACCAAGGAAACGATTGAGAAGGCACCGACTGTTGCGCAGCTCCTTTACAAGATTAAACTCGATGGACTTCACGAATCGTGTACCCCGATCATCGATGTTATCTTGAAACGCATGCAAGAGAAAAAGCCCGCCGACTATGCCCCGTTGCTTGAGATTGAGAAGCAAATTCATGAGCAGGAAGATGAGGAGGCAGCTAAAATCAAAAAGGAGGAGGAAGAGTTTGCACGAAAGAAAGAGCTTGCTAAACAACGCCAGGCAAATATTATGGCACAATTCCAAGCCCAGCAACAAAGCTTCATGCAGAATAACTTTGGATTTGATGACGACGATGATCTAAGCGATGACTTTATGGATGAGGATGCACCAGGGGTTGCTGTGAAGCCTACCTGGGAGTTCCCGACTGGGGATTGTATTATGTGCTCCGAGCAGCTGGATGACTCTAAGGCCTTTGGAACGTTCGCGATGATTCAAGAGACGAATGTTCTCAGACAGACCAACTTGAAAGATTCGGATTACGTTTATGAGGTTTTGAACACACCTGAAAATCTAGACAGGTCGGCCGAGACCCTACGGCCTTTTGGAGTCGCAGGCATGAACCGCGATTCTGTCAGGAAATTATCAGAGGATGGCAGCGAAATTGTGGTCACCAGGCAAGGTCTCGGGAAGGGATATCCTAGGGCACCGGAGTTTACAAGACTAGGACCTGTCGCCGTAGGATGTGGGCATTTGATGCATTACGACTGTTTTGAGTCGCATATTGCCTCTGTTCAACGACGACACCAGCATCAGATCTCCAGAGCACATCCTGAGCGACTAGAAATGAAGGAGTTCTTGTGTCCACTTTGCAAAGCGCTCGGCAATACTTTCCTGCCAATCGTATGGAAACCGAAGGTTGAGGATTCTGTTGCGGAGATCGTGGCTACGAAGAACGATTTCTCGACATGGCTGTCACAGGAAATTGCACCTTCGGTTCTTAGGCTCGAGAAGGAAAAGGCAACGGACAGTAATGATACCGGTTCACTTGGGAAGTATAAGGAGCAGTTTTTAGGATACGGGACTACAAATTTCATCGATGGGATCGCAACAAAGCTGACGCCTAGCGAGGAACCTGAGCAACCAACTCCTCCTGCTCCCCCGGTTGAAGCTACACCGCCGGTAGAGCCAGCTATTGAGGAAGAAGCGACGCTTGTTCCACCACCAGTTGTTGTCATCCCTGTCGGTGGAGCGATCACTATGGAACAGCAGCTTGCGATGTTACAGACTCCGGTCCCACCTGCGCAGACACCCGCTGCTCAAGATCCCGTCGTTCCTCCGCCTCCGCCTCCTACTCAGAGTCGTGCGTCGGATCGACCAACTATTGAAGTCGAAGCAATATTCTCAATATACAAGCGTATGAGAGATACGCTACATCTCAATAAGATCAAGACCAACAGGCCGCTACCGAATGAAACTTCCAATCCGTCAAGTGACCTGCATTCGGTCGACGCACTCATGAGGATCCTTGGTTTCACGATCTCTACGACGGAGACTTGGTTGCGTGGCGCAGAACCCAGGCCGGGCGCAAATCTCATTGAGAAAACACCGGAACACAATCTTAAATATTTGCGAATACTCGCCGAGAGTGTTTATTCATACATTGTGTTTGGTGGCCTTAATGACGAGAGCTCAACTGCCCTGCAATACAAGGAGATCCATCTTGATCAAATGGTAAAACTGTTCGTAGGACACCCAAAGATCTATGATGGCGATAACATTTACCAAAATCATACTCCCTTATTTTCAGAAGATGTTTTTGTTTTCCTGGCAGAGTGTTCACTATGTTTGTGTCCTTCCCTGAATGTGGAGTTCAAACACATCATGACGCTGTGCTACATCGCTGAAATTGTCAAGACTATCCTGTTCATCAGCAAGAGTTGTGAAGCACTTGACCTCAGTGCAACGCGCGAGGATGGGGCCAGATTTGCAAATATTGCTTCGCAGCTGAAATACCCAGCGCAGGATCTAGACAACTTTAGGAGCTTTGCGGAGTTTGCCAACGCTGCCGGCGCGGATCCCGAGGCGGTGAAACCGAACGTATCGCCTTCGCCAGCTTTGTTCAGGCACCTTATTTCCAAGTACATCAATCCTTTCCTACGAAAATGCGTGTTCTTGCTTCATTCGCGGTATATGGTCACATTCCCACACGAGGATAGTACGAGTTTTGAACCGGAGCATGTTCGACTCACTAGGCTTCTTGGTCTGCCGTCTTTGGAACATGTGTTTTCACTCCACGCCCCAACGAAGGACGAAGGAACAGAGATCATTCGGTCAATCATCATGGGTTGGTGCAAACACTGGCGTCTTTCTATAGAAGAAGCCAGGCGAGAAAAAATCGAGGAAGAGGGTACCGTTACACCAACGGCGTCGACGCCTACACCGGTTGTCGCCGTTCCACCCCCTACCACCACTACCGCCCCTGATACCTCTGCGCCTACCTCTAATTCTAAAACCGAGGATGAAGTCGAAAGTCTAATGAAGCTCAGTCATCCATCCATCTTAGAGTTGGTAGGACTCCCCTTACACTATGACACACTTGTCGAGGAGGCGATGAAACGGAAGTGTCCGAGGAGCGGGAGGGAGTTGAGCGATCCTGTGGTGTGTCTGCTGTGCGGGGATATCTTTTGTAGTCAGAGTTTGTGCTGTATGGATAGTGTTACGAGACATGGTGGCGCGAATCAACATCTGAAAGTGTAAGTGTTTTTTTTCCCTCTCCCCTGGTCGTTTGGGAGTTCCTAGGAGTGCCGCGGTCTAGACTATACGATGAATGTTGTTGCTTCTGCTGCTCCTGCAGCGTCGAATAGCTTCCACTAAAGTAAAAGGAGCTTGACGACCCGTTTTCAGACCGCCCTTTTTTTGGCCCTAGACTTTTCTCGAATATGGAATTGTTGGAATTTTTGCTGTCACATTACAGGCGTTTCAAAAGGCCGAAGGCGCCTAGATATACAGACCAAAAACTGACATTTTCTGGAACAAAATTTAGTTGTGGCAACAACATTGGCATTTTCATCAATATACGCAAGTGCCACGTTCTCTACCTGCACAGCGGCTACGGGGCTTGGGCTGTCGCGCCATACCTCGACAAGCACGGCGAGGTTGATCCAAATTTAAGGTTAGTGAATAACATTCCGTTTCACGATCCCCGTGTTATTCGAATTCTGTTGGAACAAGGTGTTTGTGGAACATAAGAATGTTGTATTTTATGCGTTGCCACAACGCAACTATTGCAACAAATTGGGGTTCTTGAGTTGCCATGATGAAACCGCACAGCGTTGAGTTGGATGTAATGCTAATGTTTCTATTCCATTTGTAGACGTAATCGACAGTTGTTCTTAAACCAGAAGCGTTATGATGCGCACTTGAGGGCCTATTGGTTGCAGCATTTGATCCCAACAGTTATTGCGAGAAGGTTGGAACCTGATTTCAATACCGGTGGGTGGGAAAGTTTATAAAGCGGCGTAGACAGAATGATAAGGGAGGATCGAGGGGTGTTTCGAAAAAAGCTCTTTAACAATTAACTATCTTTGGGGCTTTGAAGGTCAAGGTATTGGTATCTAAGAAGGGGGAATTTTGTTTGTGCCCTATGTTCCTTTTTTTTCTTACGTTGAATTTTGTCTTCTAGTGGGCCTTTTTTTTCTGGAGACATATTTATTTTTGTTTATAGGATAACCTTTGGCCTTGGCGGCCTTTAGCGGAGGATGGTTAAGCATTACGGGTGCATCTCTCAGACACTTGGTTTTTTTCTTCTTTTTTTTTCTAAATGCGTCTTTTTTTTAGAGTGCTATAGTAGATAAAAATAAAGGATTGAGAGTTTTCTGTCTTATTCATGTCTAGAAGCTATTAAAGTAAATAGGCCATGTTCATTTACCAGTATTTGGTAGATTTTACCTTGTATTATAATCATGTAGTACTACATAGAGGCTCAGAAGTGAGAGGTCCGGATGTCCTACGTCTTATGCTCGAATTATAGGTCGTGATTATCAGTGATGTATAGTATATGCTTTGATGGTAGAGTGTGAATAGGGTTATTATATTGATACTTTCATATAAATCGTTAGCTGCATAGGCAGGATTATATTCAATATCCTTTTGAGGAGAAAATATAAACTACGGAGAGCGAATTTACAAAATAGAATGGCATTTTTGTCAGACTGAAGGCCTCGACCTCCATCTTGAGATCAAAATATAGGGAGAACGACGTTGTGGGCGCCGGGTTTAATGCTTGATGAAATAAATTATGACTACGCTAGGAAGAATTCTAGAGAGCCAAAGGAATTTCAATATGGCTGAAAAGTCGGCTTCTAAGTTAATTTGTAAATATATAATTACATGTAAATAATTAGGAATACAGCTTAAGTAATAGAAGCTATAGAACATCGTTTGGAGAACCGATCTGATCGCGACTTTTAAATAAAAAAGTCTACAAAAAGCAGGGCGTGGAAAAATAAAGAAACATAGAAACAAACGAAGAATTAATTTATGAGTAAGAAAATATGATACGGAGAATGCGGGCTGTAATGGGGAATTGGGGGCTGCAAGACGGTAGTATTTAGAGTTTGCGGAACTCTTTCTCGTTAAACCATTGAAATCCAGGGCCCTGCTTGTCTTTATGAGGTGGAGTTGGGTCAACCATAGGAGAATCACCCTTTTCTCCCGGATTTGTATCCTGAAGTCCTTTGAGCCAATCGGAAGCAACCTCAGAGAAGGCCAGATTCGGTTGCTGGATCCATGTGCATTTGCAACCAAGCCCCCCTCTAGAAGGCAGACATTGAAGTCAATAAGATTTCGGGTTATGGGCTTTGGAGACGGCCGGATTTGGGGGTTATATCTCACCTGTCTGTAGCAATGCATTTCTTTAAAAAACTATCATTATTACAAATCTCCGCGGCAAGTGGGTTCAAAAGAACTTCTCCAAACATGTTACATCGACAGCTTTTTTCGCAGTTATTAACTACCTGGACACCATCATGGTCTTTGTTCTGGGCTAGTAGCTTGCCATCGCGGATTTCTCCTCGTGCCCTTTTACACGATAATTGGTACCAGCCGGTCTTTTGACCAGTAGGTTCGACTGACACCTGCCACCGGTCATCATCGAGTTTAGAGTTTTTCCATTCTGAGCCCCAGTTCCATTTTGCGAGGACGAGATCGGCAGCGAGAATGAAGAAGAATGTATTGAGAACCAAGCCGATTGAACGCATTATTATATATGTAGATATAATCTTTTGGGAACAGCTTGATGTCTTCCGAGAGATTATATTAAGAGATCCTGTTAGTTCGAGGGTAATTTATATGCTGCAAAGCTCTGGGTGTCTAGGTAGTGAGGAGACCTACAAACTGATTAAATGGCGTTATTTAAGTAGGTGTACTAGATGATTGGATATGACGAACCTGAAGGGGGAAGCAATTGGGGTTGAGGCTGGGACGAAGACGCCGCTGGGGTATACCGTCCAGATATAATTTTTTCCCCCCTTCCTTTTGTAGACAAAAAAGAAATGATGCCGGTTTGTGGGAGAACTTCGGGGGTGCGCATGACATCCTTCACCATGATCGAACCTAATATGTCGACGTGTGATGGATCATATCTATTTTGCATGAGGCATTGGCTGCGCACCAAGAGTTAATGTTGGTTAAGTTGATGTTGGATAAACTCACTGAATATTGCTCGCCGCACAACTCCAGATGGTACTGAACGGGTTTATAAATTTAACGTTGCAAATGTTGTAAGTGCACAGAACTAACAGAAGTAACACTCTGGTTTCAAGGGGCATGGTTGAAGTCTTTGTATGAAGCGTTTTAATTGGGAAGCTTTCCAATTTAGGATCCTGTCGAAGTTATTGAATAGCTATGCGAAAAAGCTGACCCCATCAATGAATGATTGTCCCGTACCTAGATTTTAAGACTGCAATTGAGGCTAGCCGCGAGAATCCCTGGTCAAGTCTGGACTGCGCTGTGCAATCTTTTACAACAAGGTTTCGAGTTCCGCCGCCAACTATGACCACTGGAGTATGGAACATGTCTGTTATAACTCTAGATGCTCCGTCTAAGGCTGTGCTCTAGCTTAGGTCGAGTTAACGCTGCTACAAAGCATAACATGGGGAAATTGACGGCTCAGTAGGTAGGCGCTAGGTATGCAAAGGGTGTATGTATTTACATGAAGTATGATATCTGTTGGCTGCTTGGGTTCGGACCGATTAATATTATACAAATGTGGATCTCTGAACAGAAGCATTCAAGAAGTCCTCGATCCCCCACTTTTGAACTTGGGTACAGATTTCCCTGAATTTCCAAAATCTTCTGTCAAAGAACCCCCTTTTTTTTAAAAAAAAAAATCCTTCTCCTAAAGGCTCTAGCAGAGACCATCAATCCCTCTCACGTATAGACTGTTCGGAAAGTCGATATCCCCTATACGTAAGGAGATGACTAGGATGAAACTCTTCAGTGCTTCCTGGTTATTTCTATCCGTTCTGGAACCATATCTAGTTAATGGCGCTATAATTGGTAGTAGCTTAAAAAACGAAAAGAGGACTCCTATTGACTATGATCTTTACTTAAGAGATCTAAGCCATGATGAAGTCCCCCCTCTTCATCATCTACTAGCCATCAGAGATGAGCCTGCTCATGTGCCAATACCAAATACGCGGGTTACACCTGGTATGCTCCTTGATCATATATTGGATACAAACCCGACTCTCAAACCGGTCAAAAGTGAGCGGATGGGCAAGTTTCAATTTGATCGATATACGTTCAACCATTCCGGTAAGTTTTAGTGTTTATAAGTTATATGCCCTTTTTCTTCTTTAACGTCTATTCTTGCCTCTCTTGCCCCCCCATCCGTCGAGAGCTTATCAGCGTATTTATTCCCGTCCGCCTCTTCAGTTTGAATCTGGTCCTCATCGGGGCTTTTTTGTGATAGCTAAATAAGCTAATGATTCGGGCATTGTGTGAATAACCATAGTCTGGAACGGTGGACTGGCAGAAATGCTCTCTCATGCGCCTGTGAGAACAGTGGTCAAACTATCGGATCTAAAGAATTCAAATGCGACTGCGGAAGGGGAAACCCAAGTCACGAAGCGACTTTCGGGGAATATTCCAAGAAAGAGGGCGGTTATGTCTGAATTCAATGATATAAAGTCGTTTTTTGATACAACTGACGGGACCGCGTTTCCGCCCCCTCCTGGGGATCCGGATTCAACCAAAGTAGGTGGAGTTACATTCGTAAAACTCAAGCCGACTTACATGGCCAGATGCTTCACTGATAAGGGCAAGTATGTATATGCAAAACTATCAGATCTTAGAGAAATATCGGACTTCTACTGTACTATGTTCGACGCAAACATGTACAAAATGGCGAGGGGTATCTCAATTGACGACCTTGGAGAGTTCTCGTTGGGGACGATCTACAAGGCTGTTAAATTGGAAGGAAGCCGAACCATGCGGGTCAACTTCCAGTTTATCTATCAGCCGAAGGGGTTCGAGAACAGTAAGTATTGGTATCCGATGTCCCTGTTCACTGGCATTCAAGGCGTTTGCCACAGGGTCATGAGGAATTTCCTGTCGGTCCCTACCGCGATGTCAGGTTGCGTAGGTGGCGCTGGCGATGATACTCGGGGCGGCTGGATGGGGATGGATATAGGAAGCTGGTCAGACAATAGGATGGTTTTCCGCTGGGCTATCGATCCGTACGTTCGTTACAGCAAGGAACATAATTACCCGGATCCTATGCCTGCAGAAGAGGTTAATAATGGTCTTTCTCGTACGGATCCCAAAGAAATCTACCAGCCCGAGTAGAACTAGAAAGCTTTGGCTGAGTTTCTCTGTATACGTCTGTGTGCTCTAGCGGCGGGGGTATAGGTACATATATGTCATTTCGTTCCTGTCACGCAATCTTATTGTGCCGTTTCACCTTTAAATTTTCTACTCTCCCTTGCTATCAACCTTCTCTTTTATTCTGTATTACTGTTCTTTACTTTTGAATTTTGTTTGTATGTATGAGTTTTCGTCTTTCTCTTAAAGTTGGAACAAAGAGTGCGGATATTGACGGGTATTATTGATGCTGGTCATTCTGTTAAACAAGTGAGGAGGCGATTTAATTGTTATTAAAATGTACTTAATTAATATATAGTTCTAGATGTGTCAGTAATTCTTAAGTCTTCCTATCTAATCAAAAGAAGGTGCAAGTTATAGGCAGTATATATAGGCTGAAGCTTGGGTAGAGGAACTAGTGTTAACAGGGACCGTGTTAGGGTGTTATCGATGAGAAAACCGTGATATAGGAGTATCGATGTGTCTATCATTAAGCTATCTACGATGTAATTATCATGGGGTCTTCAAAAAAAGTTTTTTGTGGGCGGGTGCAATAGTGTCTCTGGGAAATAAACCGGTATAGAAGATATAGTACAAAGATGGATCACAAACAGAGACAAAGGCGTGGTAAGAAAAACACTTTTTCTTTGGTTGACGGGAGAACAGTTAGGAAAATCATGAATATTAATACGAGCGAAGAAAGATAATGACAAAATAGATAAGCAAGGTACCGTAGAAGTATTTATTTGATCTCAAGAAGTTTGACTATGACAACCGTTAGTAGCTGGACTTTCAAAAATATTGTATAAAAAACCGTGGATTTGAAACTTACCTTCAAAAACCAAAGTACTGTTCTTAGGGATACCTGGCAGAGCTTTGTTTCCGTACGCGAGGTTTGCTGGAATTACGAGTTTTCTCTCTCCGCCAACTTTCATACCAGCGACACCGATATCCCAACCCTTAATAACATCACCTTTTCCAAGGTTAAAGGTAAATGGTTTACCCTTTTTGTTGCTGTCAAAGACCTTGCCATCAGTGAGCTTGCCAATATACCTCATAGAAACCTTCTGGCCCTTCTTGGCCTCTGGGCCGCTACCAAGTTTGTGGTCTTCGATCTTGACACCATCAACGGTACGGGACTTCGAGGATTGAGCAGTTGGCTTCTCGTCCTTGGTCTTCTCGGCCTTTTTCTTCTCGACTGGGGTTGCGGGGGACTTGTTGCCATTTGGCGTGGGCCCCTGTTCGAGCTGAGAGGCGAATTGGACCTTTTTCTTCTCGGTTGGGGTAGAAACAGAGACGGGCTCGCCGCTATTGGCCTTGAGCTTCTTCTGTTGTTTCTTGGAGAGGCTGCTTTGTGGAGCTTCAGTGGCGGCAGCAGGAGCGGCGCTACCGCTAGAAAGAGTCTCACTGCTGGGTGGAACATCAATATCCATTTCGTCTGCAGATCGCTTCTTCGCGGAGAGTGCCTTGGCGGCTGTCTCGGCAGCCTTAGCCTTAAGCTGAGCGGCCTTTGCGGCAGCCTTCTTTTCCTTGTTGGTAAGAACCTCCTCTGGCTTCTTTGACTTGACTAATGCTGGAGCTTCCTCATCGTCGTCGATTTCGGTGATACGGGGATCCTCGAGGTCGTCCAAATCATCGGATTCCTCGTCGGAGTCGGCGTCAACATCGTCATAAGCACCACTCTTGAGCTGCGCAAGGACCTGCTGGAGTTCATCCTCGGCATCCATGTCGAATTCATCCTCATCATCGGAATATAGATCATCTTCGTCCTCAGAGTCGTCTCCACCGTAGGATGGAGGTAGTTGGCGGGGCTCTGTGACGTAGTTTCCGGTGAGGTAGACAGTATAGGAGCCGGTAACCTTGAAGAAGACTGGCTCGCCGTCGCCGACAGTGAGTTGTAGTGGTTGTTGGTATGTCTGGATACCAGTTAGTGAGAAGCCATTGGTGGAATGGGGTGAGTCTTAGAGGCGAGTTACCTTGGTGGAGTCCAAAGTGCAGACGACAACCTCTTCGTAGTCATCATCCTCATCATCAGAGCCTTCAAGCAAAAGGTCATCGTCATCCTCGTCGTCTTCGTCGCCTACCTCAGCCTTCTTGTCGGCCTTCTTGTCGGCCTTCTTGTCGTCTTTCTTATCAGCGACCTTACCCTTGCCCTTGCCCTTTGGCTTTTCCTCTTCCTCCTCCTCTTCGGAGTCTTCCTCAGAGTCATCCCCTCCGGAGGCAAGGTCTGAATCGATAGATTCGTCATCGTCAAAGTCCTCAACGTCGGGTTCGCTCATATTCTGGTGGAGAAGCTTGAGAGTAGAGAGCCTTGGACCGTCTCCCTTGGCCTCTTCTGTAGGGTCAATGGCAGCCATAGTAATAGAAACCTATTTCAATTTCATGTTAGAGTTCCATCGACGTATATCCGAGGGGTTAGGGAGCTCTACATTGAGTGGGATTCCGAGTTCTTCGAGAGCGACGATTTCGCCTGTCGCAGGGACGGTAAGGCTCCAAAGTCTAATTGGAGTCGCGGACATTGTGAGAGTAAGATCGTGAACCTAGTCCAATGAAATGTACAGAACAAATGGGAATATGTATGGGTAGATAATACAAAAGGGAAGAGTATCGATGAGGTGGAGTAGTGACTAAAGATGAAGATGAGGTAACGTTGCAAAATTCAGGAAGAAGAAGAAATAGATTTTCTTTTAGAAAAAAAAAAAAAAAAAAAAATCCGACACAACTTTTTCTGCCGCGATGTTTTACCCCAAAAAGACTTTTGAACCAGCCAACCACCAAACTCAGAACGCTTGACCCAGCAACCAGACAGGGCCCATTCAGCCCCCCCAGTAAAGACCTTGCGGAGGACCTCCACACTAAAGCTCAAAGGGAACACTAAGTCCTGCAACGGCATCGGGGAACGTTGACATCGGGAGCCTGCCCAATCGCATCGTCTCGATTGTCTGGGGTTCCATCGCGTGGATGACTAATATAGCTAAGAGACGACGCGGATATCACGGGAAAACGAGCTGGCTGCCACGAGAAAAGTTGCGCGTTTCCTTAATTACATCCTTTGGTGTTCCCGTTATTCTCGAGGGTCTCATCATGTTGAAGAGCGATTTTTCGACTTTCCATCGTTGCGTGTCTCGTCGTCGTCACTACGATATTCGGCTGTCCTGCATGAGCATGGGATAATAGCAGAAAGAGCAAGGGGTTGACTTCAAGGAACAGAAACGGATAAGAATATACCTAAACATGGCAAACAGTTTCCACGCTTCGGATAAGAACTCCAAGGATACAGTCAAGCGATTTGAGTCGCATGAGTTCGTTGATGAGGATGGCGAAGAATATGGAGGTTCTTCATTTGGCGGATTTGGGGATTACTTTCGTGTATGGATGATATACTCTCTTTGAGATATTTGATAGGGATCAGAGATATATACTAGGGATTGCTAACTTGGAGACTTTGAATAATAGAACAAGAAAATAAAGCTTCAGAATAAAGATGCTCATATCCGGGAGACTTACAAGTCTGAAAACGCTCCTCAGTTATTTAAGGGTATGGCCATGTATGTGAACGGCTATACTCAGCCCTCCTTGAACGACCTCAACATCATGGTCGTGCGCCATGGGGGCGTTTTCATCCAATATCTTGATGGCAAAACGCAAGTCACGCATATCATAGCGACAGCTCTTACGCCCAAGAAAAAGGTGGAATTCGCAAAATACAAGATTGTGAAGCCGGCTTGGATCGTGGATTCCATCGAAGCCGGAGTATTATTGCCATGGACCGACTACAGGGTCGTAGAAGGTGACCAAAACCAGGGCCTTCTTGGTTTCGGAGGGTTCAAACCCAATGCATATACCCAATCACAAGGCGATGGGAAGATACTGAGTCAGAGGAACCGCCCGAATTCCTCCTATCGAGAGTTTACGGGGAAGCGAAAGTCTACAGCGGCCAGACTGCTCTCTCGCTCCGGCGAAGACGGACCATCATCGACATCACAGTCTTTTGGGTCGTTTGTAAAAGAAACTCAACTTGATGCGCAATGGGTCCCGCCTTCAAAACAGCCTTCTTCTCCATTACTAGAAGATGAAGAGATGACAGAAAATCTCCCCGCTATCCCCGAGTTTCATGAGCCAGAGATAATGTCTTTTTCAGACGAGAAGTCCAAAGAAGAGACGCTTCAAGACTCCCATCTTATTGTACCCGCAGGTCTATCTAGCAGTAGTTCGAAGTCTCAACTGCTTCAAAACGACTTGAGGAGCAGCCAGGATCCTTTCAAAGATGACGACGAAAGCCTACTCGCCCAAGGGGTAGTAACGCAGATTGAGGGTCCTGCCGATTCGGAATCCCCTATCCTTTCGGAGGGCGATGAGGATCGCCTAAATGGCCCGAATGCCGAGTTTCTTGATTCGGAGTACCCCCCCTCGCTAGTGCACAAGAAGCAGAAGCTTACCGCCCTAGAAAATAACACCAACCTACTATCAAACCCCAAGGTTCGGCAAAATACAGTTCTAAATCCCGAATTTCTCACGAAATATTACTCAGAGTCCCGGCTTCACCATCTCTCGCAATGGAAAGCCGACTTAAAGTCGTATTTCCAATCTTTGACATCTCAAACACCTCGTCGCCCTAAACCCTCTTTGTCTGCTAATAGATATATCCTGCATGTTGACTTTGACTGCTTCTTCGCTTCTGTATCAGCGAAATCCCGACCCGATCTTTCCGGAAAGCCTATTGGGGTAGGTCATTCTTCTGGACCCTCCTCTGAGATAGCATCCTGCAACTATGTTGCCCGCGAATCGGGTGTCAAAAATGGGATGTGGATGAAGCAAGCTTTAGAGCTGTGTCCGAATCTTGTGATTTTACCGTACGACTTTCCCGCCTACGAAACCGCTTCAAAAGCGTTTTACACGGTACTCATGGGTGTGGGTGCCAGCGTTGTTCAAAGCGTTAGCATCGACGAAGCCCTACTTGATATCACCAATCTAATTTCGGGACTGGGTATGACGGTAGCAGAGGAACATGCAAAAGTATTCGAAATTTCGAAATCCATCCGCGATGGCGTGCGAACTAAAACGGGGTGCGAAGTTTCGGTTGGCGCAGGTGCTAATGTGCTGCTCGCGAAGCTAGCACTGAGGAAAGCGAAACCCGCAGGGCAGTACCACCTAAAGCCTGATGAATTTGTAGAGTTTGTATCCCATTTGAAGGTGAGGGATCTGCCTGGCGTGGGATACAACCTTTCACAAAAGATCCAAGAAGATTTAAGCATAGAAACAGTCGGAGAACTTAGAGATGTGGCCAAAGATAAACTGAAGCGGGTGATGGGGCCGAAAACTGGTGAAAAGCTATTTGAATATGCCAGGGGTATAGACAAACAAGAAGTCGGTGATGTGACTGTTCGCAAGAGTGTAACGGTTGATGTGTATGTGCCTCTCCCCATCCATCTATTTCAAGAGCGTCTAGATTGGAGACTACCCTATCCTCCTTCTCAAACATATGCTTACGACAGATACATAGGAATTGGGGGGTTCGCTTTGAAACCTCAACTCAGGTTACCGAGTTTATGTATAACCTCGCGGGCGAGCTTAGTCGCCGCCTCTACTCTCAGAACTTGCGGGGCACGCATCTTAGTCTCAAATTAATGAAGCGAGCCCCGGATGCCCCTTTGAATCCGCCCAAGTATCTTGGGCATGGGCAATGCGATACTTTCAATAAATCAGCTGTGCTCGGGGTAGCAACTAATGACAAGGAAATCATTGGGAAGGAAATGTGTAGTGCCCTAAAGACTTTCAACTGTCCTCCGGAAGAAATCAGAGGGTTAGGAATTAGTATGACAAAACTTGCGCCAGTGAACACTTCGGTGACTGGGAGTTCCCAAAAGAAGTTGGATTTCAGCCGCCAAATTGCTATCGAACCACCAACGTCCTTTGATTCTAGTATGCTGCCGCCTCCTATACCAGCAGTCGACAAAGGGAAGCGCCGAGCCAGCCCGGAACCTACGCAGCGAGAGAACCAGGCAGCTATCAGGCTTTCCAAACCGAATATGCCCCCGATGTTGTCGCAGTTCCTAGTACCCACACAAATTGATCAATCGGTACTTGATTCCCTGCCGGAGGATATGAGAGATAAAATATTGGCAGAACAGCAAAAGAAGCAAGCTTGCAAAGAGCAGCCAATGGCTCCGCCCGTGGCTCTCAAACCTAAACCAGCCCCCCCAAGGACAATAGCTTTTACACAGCTCCCAGCACAATCGCAACTTGACCCCAGCGTTCTAGATGAACTTCCTGAAGATATTAGGGCAGAGATATTAGCGGAGTACGGCAGGGCAGGGGCGAGTGGTAGCGGAACGAGCACTAGTAGAACCATCGGAGCCGTCAACAACATCTCATTACCGAAACCCCAGACTCCAAACAAAAGTCGAATCACTACAGCCATAACCGGCCCCTCAAACATAAAGAAACAGACGCCCAAGAAGAAGACACCTGTCACGACAAACACACTTGGTTTTAGCCGCCCCTCAACATCAACCAGAAAATCCGAGCCACCTAGTAGCACGCCTCCAGAGGCCCTTGGTATTGACCCAACATTCCTAGCTGAACTTCCGCCAGAAATCCGCGAGGAAGTAATCGCGCAAGCGAGGGCAGATAAGAAAAGGGCGGAAGCAAAGGCCGCTTCTTTAGCTGTTGCGAAGAAGAATCTATCACGTCAACCAGCGGCGGTACAGCCGCCAGGTAGCAATCAACGAAAAGTTGTCACCATCCAAGCGAAGAAGCGGTCGATACTTCAAGGTGCAAGTACCTTGAATGATGTCAGGAATTTAATTACGAATTGGCATAATTCGGCAAGAATTGAAGGGCCTCACGTTGAGGATGTCGAGGATGTTGTGGGGTGGTTGAGAACCGTGGTCACTGACGAAAGAGATTTGGAGAAGGCAGTGAACGTGGTTAAGTGGTTAGAATGGGTGGTTGGTGAAGGGCAAGGCCATTTGGAGTGGGGGGTTGCATTGGAGATGTGTAAATCGGGCGTTCGGGAGGAAGCACAAAAAAGAGGCCTAAGAGGTATTGACGTGTAAGTACATTCCGACTTGAGTAGGTAAGCATCTTGTTATAATTAGTATATTCGCATTTCATGGTGTTTTGTTTATTAAATTTTTGATTTGGCTTATATGGGTGGAATACTGTTCTTTGATCGTTGGGTGAACGTCTGGCCTCGAGACTAGGATGGAGCTATCAACGGATGTCCCGAATATTCGGATATGGAATTTCTGCTATTGCTATAGTCACGGAGTTTATACATAAATAAAGCGAATGCATCTATCATTGTCAACGCTCCTCCAGTGAGACCAAACGTCTCCATGTGGCTCTAAAGTTGTGAATATCCTATTCTATTGCTTGATTATCGCAAATAGGGCCCAGTCCCAAGTTCCTATAGAGACTTTCAAGCTTAAGGCACTAATCTCGAGTAATCTCTCAACGATGTGATCTTGCAATCGAAAACCTCTCCGAGCTCATAGCTTTCATGTATCCCTGCCCCTCATCTTCCTTTCTAGCCTCAATCTCGTCCCATTCTACTTTCTGAACGGTAGACATATCACTTCCTTGCTCAAGTTTCTGTCGAAACTCTTCTAGTTTGTCTGGCGATCCTTCCGCTTCGCCGCCTACATTGCCATTCGGGAGGTTTCGAACAAATCCAGAGATTGAGAGGGCATTGGCAGAGTTCTGGGTGTACTTGCGGAAGAAGACACCTTGAACGTAGCCGTGGACTGTGAAGGTATACTAGAGGCATTGGTCAACTTTCATTCTATTGTAAAGGTATAAATGAGAAACTTACTCTTCTGACAGACATCGCGGACTGTATTTATCAAGCTATGTATGGGGGGGACTAGTACAATATCTGCAGCTGCGTCTTCGTGATATTTGGAGAAAATGACATCACGGAGCGCTTACATAAGATGCAAATAAACAACGCAATTTATCGGTCAAAATACCACGCATCTTAGTAGGTTTTCGGCTTCGGCTAGTATCCGCTCGAGCTCGTCTACAGCCGTGAACTTTTGGTTTTTGAGAGTCATCAAGGGACGTGTGGAGGAAATCTTAAGAGTTTACCGCGGAAATAGGTATTTCCGCTCAGAAAAAGGTCGTCTTCCATATGCCCCTTCAAGGAGACAATTAGAAATCCAAATTGCGAACTTCACCGTTGTTGCATGTTGAGCTGTGGTTTTTTGCCGGGTATGCCGAAATATCTTGGAAGATTGGGGTGTTCCTGACTAATATGACTGTCTTATTGTGTAGATTCTGGAGATCTGGGGATATATTTAAGCAACCGTTGAATAGACCCTCCTGACTTGATCATTCGATAATATAACTTTGATTATATTTGATTATTATCATAAATACCCCCCTCAAAATGGCATCCATTACCGCTTCATACCCATGGACCACAGCGCCTCTCATCGCTGGTGCACCAATGCGCTTGATCTCTGGTCCATCCCTTGTTCATGCCATCTCCGCAGCAGGTGGGATCGGCTTCCTAGCCGCAGGTACAGACGTCAGTACCCTATCCGAAAACCTCTCCGCCTTCAAATCCCTCCTTTCCACCTCTCCGATCCCAGGAGCACCTTCAGACGTCCTCCCCATAGGCGTGGGATTCATCCTCTGGGGCGCAGATCTAAAGCTTGCTGTTAAGGCACTCTCAGAACTACCAGAGCCACCGGCAGCAGTATGGCTATTCGCACCGTCATCATCTGAAGAACTAGGTTCCTGGGCGAACGGAATCCGATCGGCGACGAAGAACAAATCCAAGATATGGGTACAAGCCTCCTGCGTCGCTGATGCAATCGAAGCGATTAAAGTCGCAAACCCGGATGTTTTTGTAATCCAAGGTGCTGACGCGGGTGGTCATGGACGATATGCGTCTGCGGGGTTGATCAGTCTTGTTCCCGAACTCATCGATGCTGTTCGTGAGTATTACGGAAATTTAAATGGAGGGGGGGATACGTCATCTTTCCCTTCCCCGCCGAAGTTTGTTGCTGCGGGCGGAATAGCGGATGAAAGGGGTGTTAACGCTATTTTGGCGCTAGGAGCCGATGGTGCGGCGTTAGGTACTAGATTCTTGGCTGCAGAAGAAGCGGTGATAAGGAAGGGGTATCAAGACGCTGTGTTGAAGGCTGAAGATGGCGGGAATAATACGATTAGAACGGATGTTTATGATAAACTGAGGGGAACCATTGGATGGCCGGAAGGGTATGGTGGCAGAGGAGTCATCAATTTGAGTTATGTGGATGCGATCAAAGGAGTTTCTTTCGAGGAGAACGAAAAGTTGTATAAGGTAGCTGAGGGCGCGGGGGATAAAGGATGGGAGGAAGGGAATGCGAGGATGACGACCTATGCGGGTACTGCAGTTGGATTGGTGAAGAAGGTGGCGAAGGCTGGTGATATTGTGAGAGAGCTCAGGGGACAGAGAATTTAGATGGAATGAAAAATCTTTTTTGAAGCTTTTTTTTTTTTTTTTTGAGGGAAGTTCTAGATTTTGATGATTTGTAAAGTCAGATTAATTATGGAGGCTCCGGACAGTTTTCATCGAGTCGGGGCCAGGCGGCTCTTAATCATGGAGATGTAGATAGTTGGATTTTGATGGATTGGGCGAATAGTCACCGAGAAGAAACCGAATGGTATCATGATGGTCTGATATTATATTCAAATTATCCAGAATTTATCCTTTTGATAATCAACCGTGTAATCTACAGTATCACAAAAAAATTATAATCACTGATCATAATACATGTATATCACAGAGAGCTCGGTATCATTCACAGATAAAGATGAGAATTTGGCTTCATGTGGGTGTCAGGATGTAAACATCTGTATGGGGGCGTCAAACTATACCTGCAAGCTGCTAGTCGTTGCAGAAGCTTAGCTTCTGACTCAGCGGGTAGATTAGTCAACGCCATGTGATAATTCCTGAAGAAGGGAATTTACGGTTGTCGGAATCCATCAGTCTCCTCAAAGTAAGAAAGAAGGAAAGAAAGCAAGAGAGAAAGAGAGAAAGAAAAAGTCTCATCCGATATCGCTGGGTTTGGAGGGGTAAAACATCCGCTAATCTCGGGTTCCTGGAAGTCAACAAGCCAAGTACATAATATGTACGTACACAACCTTAAATCCTTGAAGATCAAAGCGCAACTTTTCCATTGGAACCCGAGAAAATGGAACTGGTACTATGATTCTACAGGGGTCGCGATATCATGATAGCGCAGCCCCATCGTCCTTGCAGTGGCCCCTGCACGTCCATTTAGTTTCATGCAGTTCGTTCTGGCGGCACGTTTCGGTTGCGGAAGAACTTCATATACCTTCGAAGTCGTGGTGTTAAGCATAAAACAGGGTGCCCGTCACCCGAGGCGCGAGGTAAAACACCATGAACTCGTCAATTCCCGAGATGTATGTTTTATCAGATGGGACGGGTGTGGATGGTGGGGTTATGAAACAAATCGTGGCCTCTTTTTTCCCATGTGAGAGGTATTTGTTTTCCGGATTGCGACTGTCGAGATAAAAGAACTGAAAGATCCGAATCGATATCGAGCTAAATCGATATCCTTGGTTGAAACTATCGAAAAATGTGTTGGTGTGGCATTTTTGTTTGAAAGAGTCAGATTCGGCATGTGTCAGCAGCAATACAATTGGGGATACACCCTGGTCAAACTGATGTCACCGATGAAGTTGTAATTCTAGCTCGAGATGATGCATGATGCATTTTCGAAGTTTGTGAATTTGGCTGTATAGCTTGAGAGAATTTGAATAACTCTTTATCAGTTAGCCGCCAGAATGATACGAAGCCGGTTCACTGAGTTTTTCTTCTTTTTCTTTCTTCCTCATTATTTTGTATAATAACGAAAATGTCTCCGAGATTTACGAGGTGATGTGGATTAGAAAAGTAAAGGAGGCCGCGGGCACCGTTTTTACTACGTACTACCGGTTTAGCCGTTGTTGCATTGGTCGGTTTGAAGTTCAAGTTTTTCTAGAGATCTCGAAACCAGCTCAAATCTTCTAAACTTTTGGTCAGAAGACCGTAAAAAATTTTCAAATAGACCTAATTAAAAAACTTTAGCGAAGTGAGTTCCTGCTTTCACCGTTTCGTTTGAGGATGCTTGCTAGGCTGAGTGAGAGAGCCCTTTCTGGATCTTCACTTTTTTTGCCCGCTCAAGTAAGCAATATGTCGGGTCTTTTCGGGACCGTCCAGTCGGAACCACCAGATGCGCCGGAAAAACTCGCCTTCCAAACAACTCGTTTTAGGAGGGAAAAAACCAGGCCGCCCTTATGGCCGAATTGAGTGACGAACCAACAGCTGGGCCTTGTTCTGCTGCACAACCTGCATACACATGAATCAATACTCATCTTGCAGCTTGCCGTTCGGTGAACTAACGTAAACTTAGTCTCCGGATTTCCGAATTATTCCTTCGATCTAGCTTGAAAGATTCGAAGCGCGCTGGGTTGGGTTTTTTGGGGGTTCAGGACTGGTTCGCCCAGCGGATATGTTGCCCCAAAATAGGCACAAGACGCAGCGGTTCCTTCCGAGGGAGCTTGCTTATTGAGTGTGAATGAATACTGGTTACTAACTAGTGGAACCTTGCAAGGCCTTGTAAGAGTCTCAGAGCTGACCTCTGTGGCACTTGACCTCGCCGCTAAATTAGCATTGGCATTGTTATGAAAAATCCAACGACGAATGAGAAAATTTGGTATTACGAGGTCACATTCTTGCATAACCGTATGGAGAAGTATACTTTCTTTTTGATTCAAGGAAGTAGGGGGGGCGCGGTAGATATTCTTCTCCTTGGAAAAAGACGTTTCCGGGAAATTTCGAAAGAAGTTGTATAGAAATGTATAAGCATGCAAAAAGGGGATTCTGATTTGTATAAAAGTGGTTCAAATGGCTGTTTCGATCGAAGAAGTCTTCCTTTGATCTCCATATTAAAATACCACACATACAACGCGCTTTCCACAGAAACATACCATATTTACATCGGCTTTATAAAAACCCCCGCATTCCGGCCACTTATTTAATTAACTTCCTCCTCCTCCTCCTCTATTATACTTACACCCCAGCCACTGTCGGCAAAGAACCCTATTTGATAACCCAGAGGTTCATCCTGACATTCCTCCACACATGCTCAGCACACGATCCCCAATTCTCGCGAAGACCGCCTACCGTGCTGTCGGCGGCGTCAAGCCGCTGGCGTACCAGCTCCCAACAGCCCGGATCTCGGTGGTCCTTTGCCAATACCACGGTGCTACTCTAAACCAGCCTCTTCAAGTCCGTTCGTTCAGTTTCACATCCAAGGCACCTCTCCAAACCACTCAATCCCTCCAAATCTCCCCTACGAACCCAAATCAACGAGAAACCAAACAATCATGGCCTCATCCAATCTACAACGAGAAACAAATGGCAGATATAGAAATCGCACACCGTAAAGCCCGTAACTTTTCGGATAGGATTGCGATTAATGCTGTTAGGTTTCTCCGAGGGATGTTTGATATTGCTACGGGGTATAAACATGATCCTAAGATTGCTTCTGGAGAGAAGAGTCCGAAGGAGGAGACTCAGTTTGCTATGACGGAGAAGAAGTGGATGGTCAGATTTATATTTTTGGAGAGTATTGCTGGTGTTCCTGGCTTCGTGGCGGGAACTTTGAGGCATTTGAAGTCCATCAGGAGTCTTAGACGGGATAATGGATGGATTGAAACGTTGCTTGAGGAAGGATATAATGAGAGTATGTTATCTATTTGTCTCGTCGCCAGATATTAATAATATAAGTCTAGAAGAATACATGGCTAACCGATGATCAATAGGAATGCACCTCCTCACCTTCCTCAAACTCCACCAACCGGGTCTCTTCATGCGTCTAATGATCATTGGCGCTCAAGGTGTCTTTTACAACGCCTTCTTCCTCTCCTACCTTCTCTCCCCAAGAACTTGCCACCGCTTCGTCGGCTACCTGGAAGAAGAAGCCGTAATCACATACACCCGAGCCATCTCCGACATTGATGCTGGAAAGCTCCCAGGATTCGAAAATATGAAGGCTCCACAGATCGCAGTCGATTATTGGAAGATGAACCCTGGGGCTTCAATCCGTGATATGTTGCTTTATATCCGAGCGGATGAAGCGAAACATAGAGAGGTTAACCACACACTGGCGAATTTGGATGGTGATATGGATCCTAACCCGTTTATGACCGAGTATGAGGATCCATCGAAGCCACATCCTAGCAAGGGGATTGCACATTTGAAGAATACGGGATGGTCGAGGGACGAGGCTTTGTCCAAATAAAATTCTTCATTATACATCAGAAAAAGCATTGCATAGCAGCTGGTTGGGAAGAGATAAGATAGAGAGGTAAAAATTCGATTGGGTGGAGCACTGGCTTTTTCTGTTAACGTTCAAGAAAAGGGATATTTATGGAGGAGTTTCATGGCGTTTTTCTTTCTTTCTTTCTTTCTTTCTTTTGTTCTGCTTTCCTTCTCCTCTTTATGCTTTTCTAATTGTACCGCTTTTTTGCGAATTCCTTTTAGATTGCTTGGAAGAGCAGTGGTTGACTCTCTACATTCTTCTTTTTTCTTTTAAAAAAATCATTCTTATTTATAGTCTAGACAATCGATCAATGGATCCTGGGATCCAGATTTACGGGATGATGTAAATATATATCTGGTACTTTGATTGTAAGCAGGCTATTTAATGGTATTCTAACCAACTTTCCCTTTCAGTTCGATACCAATTATATTTCCACATGCGAATTATCAGAGCACTTGCACATGTTTCTAGTTATGGCGTCGACTGGTCATGAATATCCGCGCTACACATACTTAAGTAGCTTAGCCAATTATAGTATGACAGGGGTATCCAAAATGCCACACTATCAACACGGTGTGGATGTAGAGAGAGGTGTGGTTCATGTTGTGCGCGGAGGCAGCTTATCTACAGATTTACGAGCGGATATACGGGAACTCCAAACGGTGACCAGACCAGACCCATGCACATTACCCCAGCAATAATTGGATTCTATCTTTTAGCCTTGTGGATAATAAGTAAAGACCTACAGCGGAGAATTGTAGTGAGGCTTGAAGATGTTTGTATTCCCATTTCAAGTGTAAAAAGCTAATAAGAGCCTATCTAGAGCAGTATGTAAAAGCATCTAGAGTAGGACGAAAGATAGACAGGCTTTTGTAGGAAGAAAGAGCGTGTAAGAGCGTTTGAACCCCCACTAACGGTTAGGCTCCAAATGCATTCTTTTCCAGGACTCTTGAGTCTCTGCACTGGCACGTCCGTCCATCTGTTGGGGATGAGCAAGAAGCGACGTGCAGAGAACCGAAGAGCGTGTGAAAAAGAATACCGTAAAGAGTGAAACAAAAAGTTGTCGTAAACACAACTTTGCAGAGGGAAAACAAGCATATAAAACCAAGCGACAGCCCCGGAAAAAGTAGAATTCTCTTCTTCCCATAAACAACCTCCTCTATCCACTTATCAGTAAAAAAAACAAAATCATCTTTCCCACCTATCTTTGCAGACTTCGTTCTTTCAAGTCTGCGAGGGAGCCTTGAAGTTCGGGTTCTGCAACAGGATAAAACATTTGACAGCCGTTTGGCCATGACGCCAGCAACTGGCCGGGGTACGTTCTCCAGCTGAGTAGAGAAGCTTTCGGCAGTCGGTGTTGCTTCCAGAGTGAGTTCGAAAATCAAGACTTTCACGATCGTAGCCTCCAAGAGCACGGAAACTAACTCCTACAGAGTAGGTCGGGAGAGTGGCCACGTATGTGACACCGTGTTCGACGGGGTCAACCCACCAACCTTCAACGATGATATCATACGGTTAGTTAGCAACATTCATGAGCTATACTAGTATACATGTAATGGTGTTGACTTACCTTTTCCTTGACAGGGTCTTGGGTTTGTGGTCCAATCATTTTTACCACCTTCCCACATGCCAATGCCGATTCGGTCACTGTCGAAACCCAGGAACTGAGGTGGAGGACGACGGACAGTTACCTGGATACCGGGGTCCGCCCTGACAACTCTTTTCAAGAGGGCTTTCTGGTAGGCTTCAGTTCCGTTGACGAGTTCTGGATGTTGACTGACCAAGACCTGAGCAGTTGCCCAGAGAGAAGCGTCCGAGTCGGCCGAGAAGGTGTGGACAAACGTCATGTTCTCAAACACCATGCCGTCATGGCGTTTGAATGGGACAGATGGGTCGTTGGCGGGGACTCGTTGGGCATCTCCAGGAATGCTTCCATAAATGTCGATCCCTCGTTTTTCACAGTTGGCCAAGATCTCGATGGCACGCTCTTTCTCGGCTCGTTTGACGAGAGGAGCGTTGCTTGGGGGGTCAACTGGAGCAGGAACCAAGGTGCTGACAGGAGCAGGGAGAAAAACGAGGGTAGGAGGATCGGTAGGAGCTGGGACACGAGTACGAACAAGCTCAAGGGTTGCAACGCCACGGGGATGCTGTCGTCGCTTACCAATCTTCTTGAGAAGATCGATGATGGTTCGCCATTGGTCGATAGGACCTGAACCGTGGTTTCTGGTAGGAGGTTGCTCAACGTGCCTCCCTTTGCCAATTTCGCCCCCGGCAGGAGCACCAAAAGTGAGATCCGAGAAGACGAGGATCAACAACAAGTGGAGGATGAACATAACTGGGGACAAAAGTTTGCAACGTGCCATCTTGCTGCTGGTGTTTGAGTTACGAGACTGGGTGTTTGACTGCTGGAGAGTTAATGGTTTTGTGAGTTGGCAAGTCGTGAGTGGTGGGTGGAGGAGAAGAAGAGAAATCCTTACATAAGAGATGGTATTTGTTTAGCTGCCTGTTGTTCAACTGGTCTGCTAGTGGTAGGTGTGCGTGCGTGGGCTGTTGGTTGCGTATTAAGAGGAAGAGATGAAAGAGAAAGAGGGGGAAGCAAGGATCAGAGGAGAGGATGAAAGGAGAGGAAGAAAAATGGTCCTGCTTTTATAATGGGGGTTTCGGACGAGGGAAACTCTCCTCCCCATTGCCCCTCTTTCCCATTTGGGAATGCAGTTCCCTCCTCTGATCTTTGCTTCTCGTTCTCTCGGCCTGTACATACACGCACAGTATATACTCCTTCACTCACTGTCTCATTTATCTATATTTATTTGTTTACTTTACTACAACAGCCATCTCTACCTCCACTTTCATTTCAATCGCTGCATAGACTAGCCATCGAGCTATCTTAACCAGTGGCACCAAGCTACTCTTGACACTCTTCTTTCTCGGACGACGATCTCGATGCCATCTTGGTATGTATTCCTCCCTATTTGCCAGCTTTGGGCCACCAGGGAAGCATTGATGATGGTTGGTCCCCCTAGCTTTCCAATTTGAAGAATCTCATCGTGTGCTCCCTTCAATCAACATTCATTTATATTGGAATTATTGTTTTATCGTTGTTTTACCCCACTACATCGGAGTCGTCACGAAAGAATCAAGCTAACACACATCATATAAAGCTCGATGGTTCATACATTCATATTAACCTCGAGCCCTTAAACGAAGCCGACTTGTATCTCACCGTTGCAATACTAAGTTATTTCGATAGAGGGACCAGTGGTCCCACTCAGACTTTGATACGTAAGTCAACCACACTATCATACACTATCAAACACCCTCAGGCAACCCTCAGTCCGTGTCAGCGTCATTGCCACGACCAAGTCCAAAGCTCATTCCTCTTAAACACAAGTAGAGCTTGGGTTATGAGGTCGTCTATTCTTCCCTTGATGAGAATCAATTATGCAATTGAAAAAGCTGATCTCGAGATTGAAGTTTTAGACACGGAGCAGTTTCGAGCTCTACTAGATCTGGATCTCGGGGAGTCGTGGCGTATAAATGCACGCTACTGTAAATATTCCCTTGTTTTTAATTTTCTCAGTTCACTTGCTCCTTTTCTCCCTCTCTATCCTCCCTATTTTTACCAAATATAAACTAATCTTAGCTTCTATATAGTAGGTGTAATAAGGGGCTCCGGCCCCGGGCCACCGTTTCCGAAGGTGGCCTGGTATCACGACCTTGAAGTAAAGCATGGTTTGGTGGGCGTGCATGGGGATATTCCCCTGCACTTTAGTCTCTGAATCCAACCTACCAGAACTCCCGAAGCAATGGCGGGGTATTTAGACCTGGCATCGGAGAAAGCTAACAGTATGTTGATGTGTCCCTCCCAGGTCTGGGTACGAGACAAATATTTCCAGACTTAAAGGCATACAAACTCCTCCGAAACGTAAAGTTAACATCGGTCAATCACTCGATAGGCCCATCCCCATGAGGGAAACCACGCCCCCGCCAGTGCCTCCAAGGTACTTTAAGCCTCTTTAGGCTTTGGGGATTACCTTCGGGTTCCCTACCAACTGGCCTCGCCGCAATATTTTGGCAGTAAGTAGTTGCCTTAATCATTGAATGGTAGATATGATACTGATGATAATCGGAGTCTAGGGTTAGTCCTCCACAGCGTTAACTTAGCTCCAAGCTCGGTACAATGGCTATGTAGCGGGGCATAGCAGATTTGACACCAAGAATTTCTACATCCCGCATACGCGGGTGTGGGAGTCTAGAGACCTTTTCTGTGGGCTACATCGTCGAAAGTTGGGGGAGTAATATGTAGAAGTTTTTTGTGTCGAATCGGCTATGCCCTGCTACATAGTCCACCCACAAGCCAGCGCGGGCATCTGTGGCCTTGGTAGTTCTGTGGACTAGGGGGTGGTTCTTTTTAATCTCTGGATCAAATGTACATACCACTCATATCATAACAAGATACCACTATAAAAATGATATTCGCTCTTGAGTACGTCTCTTGATTTCCTGCTTTAGCACTTTATAAACAGCCTCCCACTCCGCCTCGCTCGGGTGCCTGGTTTCATGCAAGGCTCATCGAAAGGGTTTAAAAATCCTGTGTTGATCATATAAAAATGCAACAGCGGCGCTTCAGCCGCTCTTTCCAAGACTTCAAAAGTGTAGTCTTGTCCCAAAGATGCATTATAGAGGTCTTGTTCATGTTCCCGTATTGCAGCATGTAAAAGAACAAGTTTTATATAAACACAGTTCTGGTATGATGTTAGTTCCTTAGAGAATAGCTATCTTCGAATCTATCATTCGCTTCAAGTTATATTAAAGAAAGAAAGATATTCTTGAAGCTATTCAAGATATCAATATATATCAATTTGAGTATAGTCTAGCTATCTCATTCCAGATATCCTCACTACTTCTTAAGCCCCTCGTCCTAAGCAACATACGCTTCAGTTTACAACCAATCACCATGCCAAAACGCTCCCGTCACCGCCCTCTCAACCCCAACGCCACACTCTCCATGCTACCCCCCGAAATCCTCGAACAGATCCTTATCTACTTCCCCGCTAAGACCCTTTTGACCAGACATCGTCTAGTCTGTAAACGCTGGAACTCCCTCTTAACCACTTCCAGCGTTCTAAAATACTATAGTACCACATCAACATACCATCCCACCACCGAACGACAAATTAGATGGTACCAATATTCTTACGATTTCAACCCTTTGTTCGTTGATATTTTGTATCAGTTGTGGAAAAGGCTTGTTCCCTTGTGGAGTAAATATCAAGAACCTACTGGTGGCAATGATAATGAAGATGAAAGGGATATAGTTAATGCAGGGTTAGTTCGAGAGATTGAAGTATTGTATTTACGATATCTTCATATCTTCTCTATCATCCCCATGATCCACCCTGTATACCGAGAAACCAGACGACGGATTGCTCATATCAACTGGGGGGAAATCAAATCACGGTCTGTGATTGTTTCGGAACAGGAGTGGGATCAAGAGGAGGCAGTGGCGATAGCTGAGAAATATACGAAAGAAGTAAACCTGCAGCTGGATAAGAAAGCAGAAAAGCAAGAGGAAGATAAAGAAAAGGAAGAACTAGAAGAGAAGGCGGGACGGGTAGTAAAAGAATCTTCAAGGCTTTATATTCCGTTTGCATACTCTCCGAGATCTATCAGTTTCAACCCTTCGCCGGATAATTCCAGAGGTTTGTTGGTATACCTCTGTCGGTTCATGTTCATGTCCAAGCCAGCTTATAACTCCTCTTCCTCTTCCTCTTCAACTACAACTCCACCGGAAATGATTTCGACGAGAATCAATATCAAGGTATATCTAGCATGGGCTAACCAGGATCAGAATACTGAGGTTGAAGGTCGAACATTGTCTTTGCTGAGTACAGGGTCTAATGGGAATAGACCTGTCATATCGAAGTTTGATATCAATGGTTTCGCTACTACAATTTTTTAATTAGCTATAGTATAGTTATAGTTTATGTTTCCTACGGGTATACCTATTCTAGCCTCTTCCTGCTAAAGGCCCTAGGCCCTAGGCCCTGATGTGCATATATATAGTCAACCTTTAGTCTCGTATTGCAGACGTGGTCCACTGTGCTTGTCAACCTGAGGATTTTTTATTTTATTTTGGATTTAGAGAGTCAATTGACGACTCCTTTTGGTTGAGAGGAAAAGACCCGAAATTCCATTTTGCTCCTATAGACAAAAAAAAGCTGAAAAATCCCATAGGAACCCTTTGGTAAAGTAGTATGAAGAAACAAAAACTAAAAGAAAAAGAAATATCCACTAATAAATTCCCTTCGAACTTAGGAAGAAAAGAAAATAAAGAGAGAGAAAAGAATAGCGACGAATTAGGTGCCTGTCGCTAGGGAAGCAGAAGATGAAAATGCTCGTCTTGCTTCATTTTTGAATACCCAAAAGAAAATAAAAAGAGGAGGTTTCCCTTGTTTACTCCCGTTTTTGTTATTTCTTCAAATTAAACCAAAGAATCATACCAACTTTTGTACCACAGAGCCTCCGTGGTTCAAAATAGAGGTTATGTGGCGTAAAAACTTAAGCAAGATAGGTGGAAGCGCTGACGTTACCGCCACGGCCGGTCCAGTTGACGTGGATATCGGCACCTTCCTTGAGGGTCTCGCTAGCGTGCTCTGGGAGGACACGGAAAGTGTGGGCACCTATGGCACAAAGTTGTTAGTATCGCTTATTGGTTTGTTCCGAACTAGTTGATGTTACATACCGAAGTAATCTCGCTGAGCCTGCAACAAGTTAGCTGGGAGAACCTTGCTCCTGTATCCGTCGAAGAAGGCCAGAGCAGTCGAGAAGCATGGAGTGGCAATTCCCAACTCGATACCCCTGATAATGCTTCGTCTCCAGCCACCCTGAGCGTTGTGGATAGCCTTGTTGAAGAAGTCATCAAAGAGCAAGTTCTCGAGTTCTGGGTTGGTGCGGAAGGCCTTGGTGATGTCCTTGAGGAAGACGGATCGGATGATGCAACCTCCACGCCACATGAGAGCGATCTCTGGCATGGCGAGCTTCCACTTGTATTCCTTAGCGGCCTTTTCGGGGGAGTAAAAGTTAGCAGCTAATAAAAACAACGAGGATAATTAGAGTGGAATGGACTGACCTCACGGAGCAACATGAATCCCTGAGCATAAGAGATAATCTTAGAAGCATAGAGAGCCTGCTCAAGATCATCAATGAAAGCCTTCTTGTCACCAGCGAATGGTGGGATCTGGGGTCCCTCGAGGACCTCAGCAGCACGGCCACGCTCCGCCTTCTGGGCAGAGAGGCAGCGGGAAAAGACAGCTTCACCGATCAAAGTAACTGGCATGCCGAGATCCAAAGCGTTGATGGCAGTCCACTTGCCGGTACCCTTCTGGCCGGCGGAATCGAGAATCTTGTCCAAAAGTGGCTTGCCATCAGCAGGGTCGTTGTAGTACATGATATCCCTAGTGATCTCAATCAAGAAGGAGTCCAAGACACCCTTGTTCCATTCTGTGAAAACGTCTCCAATCTCCTTGTTGGATAAACCAAGACCACGCTTCAAGATATCGTAGGCCTAAAAACGAGTGTATTAGTAACACGCCCCTCAATTTGAAGTAATGGCTTTATTTTGGGCTATACCTCGCAGATAAGTTGCATATCACCGTATTCAATACCGTTGTGAACCATCTTGACGAAATGGCCGGAACCTTCATCGCCAACCCATTCGCAACAGGCCTCGCCGTCACTCTTGGCAGCGATGCCCTGGAAGATATCCTTAATGTAAGGCCAGGCCTCCTCGTTACCACCAGGCATGATAGATGGACCAGTTCTGGCACCCTCCTCACCACCGGAGACACCAGCTCCGACGAATCTAATTCCCTTGCCAGCTAGGTACTGTGTTCTTCGGTTGGAATCGGGGAAATGTGAGTTACCACCATCGACGACGATATCACCCTTCTCCAAGAATGGGAGAAGAGCCTCAATGAAGTCATCGACAGCAGAGCCAGCCTTGACAAGAAGCATAACTCGGCGTGGGCGCTTCAATTTAGCGCAGAGTTCCTGGATGGAGTGAGCTCCAACAACAGACTTTCCTATAAATTAACCAATATTAGAATTATAGTCCTCAGTAATCAAAATTTTAGGAAGCTTACCCTTAGCCTCATTTGCAAGGAAATTGTCAACCTTGGAGACCGTTCTGTTGAAAGCAACAACGGTGAAACCTTTCAACTTTTGTTAGACATATTGATTCGATAACGTGACAGTTCCTGTGGGAAATTTACCGTGGTCTGCACCATTGAGGATCAAGTTCTACATCCAGTCAACCATGTTAGCAAGCTCCATAGGAAGCCTTCCCGGATTCTCCGGATCATCTCCGACTACGCAATTAAAAACTTGGAGAACCTACCTGACCCATAACAGCCAAGCCGATGAGGCCGAAGTCTGTGTTGTGACCCCCACTGTCAGCATGCTCCGGTTTCGCAGAAGTATCGGGATATTTGCGAAAAGACTCGAGTTTAGAGCTTCAATCGAAGATTCTAATGCCTTAGATAGCTCCAAAAGACCGAAATCTCAACTTTTTGAGCTTCGTCTACCAGCTATAACCCCCTCCAAATTGCGTTGTTTGTGGTGGGGGCGGGGTAGACGTCATCGGTCCCGACGTCTGCGAATTCAAAGAAGGCATCGAACTCCACAGATATGATAGCTATGGGAGAGAGAGGGAAAATACGGACCGCCACTAGGTGTATCATGGTGTACAAAGCCGCCGGCAATACCGGCAAGCCGAACCTTCGCGTTAGCCAATGTCTGCTCTTGACCTGCCCGCCTACAAGCGTAACGAATCCAGCCAAAAAGAGAGGCCGGACATGGTGAGTGGGATGTTTGGAGAAAGAATAACTGAGATAGGGGGGTCCTAGAAGCTACTAGGAGACGGTGCAGAGGATATATGGGCATCATAATCACTAGCGGTATTGATTAGGACTTACACTGGTTCAGACGACATTGTGAAGTAGAAGATTTAGAAGAGGATTATGTAAAGGTAATATTGCAATCGAGCTCTGCCGACGCTTTTAATTGATTGATGATGAAGGTGATGAGAGTGATGATATAATGTTGATGATTGGGGTGGTAGGAGGAATAGGGAGAGTATTTAAAAAGAGCAGACGTGAGCAGAGAAGCTGGGCAGCGGCACTGTTATATACTTTGGACCGGTCCGGAATTCAACGACCGCCAAACCTTACATACAGCAATGCACTGCACGAATAGTAAGTATTAAACTAATGCTACTACCTTACTAGCTAACCTGCTAACCCCCCCTCTCGCTGCAAGCTAACACGAAGTTTGATTCCGGTAGATTACTATATCCCCGAATCCTGTAGGGATGCTGTTGCAACGGTTAGGAATCACGGATTATATCGATTACGTTGGGAAACCGGCTACAATGGCTGCTTGGACTTCAGTCCCACCCCGAAAGGCTGCACACCGTGATGTATCATTCCGGTTTGAGATATCCGAGACGAGAAAATAGTTCGGTGGCTGCCCAATTTCGCTCCGGAATGAAGTCAATACGGACAGGAAATCGGGTTCTCCGCCGTGATATGGCCATGCAATGGCCATTGATATTGCATTGGGGTTTAAAATACATTGCTATTGAAATTTGATAGCAGGGATTAGATATATCCCACGCGATCAAGCGCGATTTCTGGACGGCTGTTATCCCAACATTCGGCCGGGCAAAATATTTCCATGATGGCAAAGGATTCATAGCGGCGGGATGACCATGGCCATGACCATCGCATTGGATTCATTCTCAAAAGTTTTTTTTTTTTTTAAAAAAAAAAACCCTCTCGAGCTCTTTAAGGGCCCCCAGGGACTACTTAGGCCAGAAGATGCTCCCGGGCTGGGCTAGGCTATTGAGCCATAACCGGCGGATATAGTCCAAATCCTTACTTACCATACTTTGACAGACACAGGGAGATATAGCTGATTTCAGGTGCCTTGTCTGATCAAGATGTCTGCCCCGCCCCCACTATGCATTGCATCCACCTACAGAAAACACACAGAAACGGCGTTGGTATGGATTAAAGTGGGTGAATCCTATGCCGTAAAGCTGCTTAGTTGAGCCAATAGCGCTAGCCTGTTCGATCCCAGCCCAACCTAAAGGACGCAACCGTTTCGCTAGGCTATCGGCGGAATGTCTTTTCTGATAATCGGCATGTTGACGAGAGTAATCAATTAATTGCTAATTGCTAATCCCTTCTAACCAGAGTACCAGAGAACAATCTGATGAGTAAACTGAGCTATCCCTCTGACTTTTCGGGCGGGTGTACGTCATTTGCTTGCATCTTGGCGGTCTGCGGGATGCTGCAGTAAGCAATCTGTGCGCTCAAGTAATACAGCTGTAGCACAGATATGAGGTTTATAACGTTTCTAGCTCCCGCCGTCTACCGAAAGGGTGCTTTATCACTCTATTACTTACTGCTTAGTCAATAGGATAGCTCTCCTATGCATATATCGGGTCGATCAGAAGCATGATGTCTGATTGAAGAACGGTTCGGTCACGAGACTAGAAGAAAACCTCGAGACGGGGATCTGTCAGAAATGTGTTGATGTGTTGTTTATAGACAAACACATTTTGATAGCACGTGATATTGGCCGGATTAGGAATGTCTATTCGGGCAAACGGCGCCAACCAATTTTTGCACCAACAATGAGTCGTCGCCTCCTTGAACATCGACGCCACCGTCAATCACAATCACACCACGACTTCATCAATCTACTGTCGCTAGTCAGCATCAGCTACTAAGCACGCACAATCCAATACGCCAATCGACACGACAAAAAGGAAAGCTGGAAGGCTCTTCAAGTCAAATAAAAGGGTATGTCTTATCCACCACCACCTGGGACCTCTAGCCTCCCGCCGCGTCCACCTCCAAGCATACACGCCTCAACTCATGCCTTTGCCGGCTTCAAGCCCCGTCAGGTAGCCTCGAGCAACCAACCTATAGGCGCGCCACCTACATACTCCGGCGTTCCAGGTGTATCTACTCCTCCAGCCTACGGCGCTAGCAGACCTTCGCAACAGTCTGCGCCAGCATACGGATATGGCGCGCAATCTCAGACTTCGTACTCTGCTGCACCGCAGACGACGTATTCCGCGGGTCCAACTGCTAGCTCAGGATACATGAATCAAGGTTCATACCAAAGTCAAGGCCAACATCAACATCAAAATCAACATCAATATGGCGGGCAGCACCAGCAGCACCAGCAGCACCAGCATCAGGGCGGTCGCGGTGGACATCACCAAGGCGGTCCTCGAAATTACCAAAATAGAAACACTCAAAACAATCATAATTCAAATTTCCCTCCGCTAGACCCAGAGATGGAAGCCCAGATTGCGGAACAGCAATCCATCTACGACCCCGCTCGTCGAGCACAGCTTGCTGCCGCCGCCGCTGCTGCAAGTAATACTTCAGGAGCAGACTACAGTGCCAATCCATCAGCTTTACCCGACGGTCAACCGGCCCCCGTCCAGCCACAACAGAAGAAAGCAACTGTCGTTCGGTCTGGTGGTGGTCAAACTTGGAAAGACGACTCCCTCCTCGAATGGGATCCAGCTCATTTCCGTCTCTTTGTTGGTAATCTTGCTGGTGAAGTCACCGACGAGTCTCTTCTAAAAGCTTTTGCCTCTTATCCATCCGTTCAGAAAGCAAGGGTTATCAGAGATAAGCGTACAACCAAGAGTAAAGGATATGGGTTTGTGGCCTTCCAGGACGGAGATGATTATTTCAAAGCGGCGAGGGAGATGCAGGGAAAGTACATTGGAAGTCATCCAGTATTGCTGAGAAAGAGTACGACAGAAATTCGTCCAACAGTTGCGAATAACAAAAAGAAGAACAGTAAGCATAAAGGAAGCAGCGGCGCCTCAGGGGGCAATGCTGCGCTCGGGAAGAAAGAAGGAGGTGGTGTGGTTAAAGTCAAGAAGGAGAAAGGGCCTAAATTGCTTGGCTAAGCCTTTTTTTTTACATTGCCATTCACTCATGTTTCATTGGCGTATATGGCGTTGGACTCTTGGGATATTTTGAAATATTCGTAGGGGGGTTAGCATGTAGGATAGGAACTGTGCATTAATAGATCTTTCGCCACCAATCCCACACGCAGGTGTACAAACAAACCATGGTAACTTACTAAGTACTAGTATTTATACAATTGACAAGCCTCGAACGATCTGTCCTCGCCGCCTAACCAACGTCGTACCAACACAAAAACGATATGTTGGATTTTACGGTTGGATGCATGCTTCTGACAGCACGTTATGACCTGCGCAATTGAATATATCCTACATGGATTTGAAAGACCACGATATATACTTAAATAGGTATATATGTATTAGCGCCATGGCTCTTAAAAAGAAGATAGTCTGTGTCGCTAACAGGAGGCTAAAATACTTCTGTTCTACAATTTGTATATAGAAAGTCTTAGAGCGGATTAAACCTTTATGAATTCACTACATTTACCTCAAACATCTCATGGACGGGGCAATATCCAGTAAACTATAGGGGCTAATACATGCTCCCCTCACGAGTTAAAGAATGGCGAGGAAGGGGGCTGGTGGAAACACTCACGTCCGCCACGTTACAAAACGTTGTACCTTATCTACCTACTAACGAAACGTGGAGGAGTATGTCTTGTAAGAAGCTGTTATCATGCCTCACAGCTGGGCTTTGCGTCACACCAACGCTTCTAGTGTAAGCGGATAAAGCCCTTCACAAACTACGTATTCAATGCTTTTTGATATCATAAAACGGAATTAACAGTATTAAACTACAACATATATATAGTTCTGCGGTTCCAGACCTCGAACTCACGAGAATGGACTACGACGGCCTTGTCAACGATAACTCGGATACACTCACCTCCCTCGGCCAGCATTTCTCTCAATTCGCAAACCTCCTGATGCACCTCGACAATTTCCAACCCGAAGTCGTCGACCCCCTCCACTTAACCATCATCACACTCTCAGACCTAAATGAAAACCCTTCAGCAAGTCAAACCGGTGGCTTAAACGAAGAAACTGGCGAATTCGATCTACCAGCTATAGAAGTATATAATGGAATAGACACCCTTATATCAAGTATCCTCTCCAGATCTATATCCCTCCCGCTCGACATATGGACTACTCATGATGGTGTCATGGTAACCACAACATTCGAAGAAGCTCTAAAACTGCTGGGTACCGAATTAACCTACGGCGCCGATGACCCTGCCATTCCCGAAAACCTGATGCGGTGGCTATTCGACGCAGAAATCGGCGTGGGTAGTGTAGTTTTGAAAAGCAACAAGTTTTTGACATTACAAATTGCGATAAGGGATTTGGATGCTTATATAAGTCATGCGGTGGAGGCGATTGATCAAGCTAGTTATTTGGCGCAGTGGAATATTGAGTATCCGAGTTTGGGAGGGGTGGAGGAAGATGCGATAAAGAAGTTGTTTAAGAAGGATTTGGATCGGGCGAAGGGGTTTTGGATTGAGGTTTTGGGGGCTTCTGGGGAGATTGTGAGGGGGTTGGAAGAGGTGTATAATATGGTTTGGCCGGATGGCGTGTAATATATTATCCGTTCACTGATAAAATAATTTATAACTCAACGAAGGATATTTCCCCTTAAACTTGACATTTATTTGCAATTATGAATGATATCGACGAAGTCAGCCCATTAGGAGTGAACTTATGTAGATATATAGTCTATCTATTCATTTGATCTGGGATATGTAGAATGCATTTTAGATTGTGCCGGCGTTATATATAGAACTACTAAATCGCACTTAGGTATCAGCCCAATGCAATGCCACAGATTAATGTTCTAGGTATATATAAAAGCTCTAGCTCTAGATCTGAGACTCTTATATATATATATAACTATCGAGTTAGTTAATTAGATGCATGAAAGCGGATACGAGCACATGTATGGACCAACATGGAAGGCCTGTATATGACTCCAATCGACTCATACTCGTCCCTATCAAGGTGTCCATCAATTCCAACCACGAGTGGGCTTGAGCTGATAATATAAGTAGCTACTGGCGGGCTCGGGTGGAATACGTGAAGTCAACATAAGATCTGTTTAGAACGTGGCGTAGTATTTCCATGCACAATCCACGAGGCACGAATCCTCAAATTTCACCCCAAAGATCGGAATTCGCATAACACACGCTCAGTAGAAAAAACTTCAGCAATGCGGTTTCTTAACCCCAAATCCGGCCGTATGGCTGTCCTTTTGCTCGGATTATCAGTCCAATTAGCGTACGCCTTCCCTTACCTCAACTCTCGAGCGATTAAGCCGATCCATATATCAAATATATCATGACTTCTAACTAACATCCGGTTGTAAATTTCCACAAAAAAATATAGCTATGGGGAGATGTTACAACTCTCAGTTAATGAATTCGATACTTTGGCCCGAAATAAATTCTTGGTGCTCCACGATTTATCAAAAACGCTTAAAGCTTTGATCACTAAGGTCACTAGCAGAGCTACCTTCGGTCCCGGTGCAGTAGGCTCAGCCCATTGGCCCACCCTTGAGACCATAGTAGCCCGATCTTCCGCCGGAATCGTCAATGCGGGACGGCAAACCGCAGTTGCCGAACCACGAAGTGCTACAATCGCCAATGACCTTGCAGCTATTGTCAGAAACATACCAAATCTCCAGATAACCCTTCATCGGGATACTTGGTCCGATAGGGAAGGACAACCATACGCACAGAATCTTTGGGATCGAATTAAAGAGTTTTCTAATTATCTTACCGATGGCGGGGTAGTTAATATAAACAAGGCTACTTCGCTTCTATCATGGGTGTATAACGCCGAATTTGACCCGATAGTCGGTATATATACCCTTGACACCAATAAAAAGGACATACTTGAAATCGCAGTCGGTGCAGTAGCTGGTGACCTCGAAACCGAGACATCTAAACTGCTAGGCCTTGATTTTAATTACCGTTCATCTATCAGTCGAATTTTGGACGTTCAGCTCGTTAGGAGTTCCATATCCCTTCTACACAGGAGCTCCAGCGATATTGTGCAGTTTATGGGAGACTATGCTGATGATTTTGCTGATCTCAAAGATGACCTTGAGGATCTCGAGGTGCAGGGCGGTCCCATTACAACGACTACTAATATCCCGAATATTAGGGGCTTTTCCCTGTAGTTCATCATGTTCCAATAGCTAGCTATTTAAGATTGTGGCCAACTTTAATTTATATCTACATGTTCTAAATTGATTTGATTTCAGACTTCGTCCCGTAAACTTAATCAAATTTAGCTTCAAGGTTTTTTATTGTATATATGGTTTCTGTTAGATGTAGCTACGTGCGCTACGCTCGATTTCAAGTGACCATATATATTTATCTGCATATACCTATTATACGGAGCAAGATAGAGCAAAAAGGTAAGATAAAAAAATACCTCACTCCAGAGCTAGCTATGCCGCAGTACAAGAACAATTTAACCAGGTAATTAATCATCGTCAATATTAAGGATCTGATATACTATCGCCATGGGTTAGCAGTATCCTCTAGCATCTATTCCTAAGCTAATATGCTATTCCCAAATGCAATCAGGTTATTTTGGCCTGTTGCTTTAATTCTCACCTGTCGAAAATATAATGTCGTGTAAGGCCCCTTCGCGAAGTTATATCGCCATTGGCAAATTAATTTAGGTCTTATGGCAAAACATTTCCACAATCACATCAACCTGGATTATTTAGATATATGAACATATAGACTTATAATCATCGATCATAGTGGATTTGAATAGCTAACTGGAATAAACGGGTTCAATACAGTAACGCCAGTGGAATGGGGTTCATACCCGTCTCCGAATTTGAAGAATGGTTAAAGGACCGACCCATCCCGCAATATCTCACCGAAATAACCGACTCCCTCGACCTTATTATGACAAAATATTTCCCACCAGATCCAAACTACAAACCGGGAACCCTCCCACAAAATCTGCAAAAAATCCTAGACTCCATCCGCGAAAGCCTAACTTTACTCGAAACTTCAAACAAAAACTACATCGATATCGCAACCCCCGCTCATGACCTTATCGACAAAATCCAACCTCCACCGGAATCAACTTCACTATTAATGTCCCGCAAGAAACAAAGGCAAAAGCTAGTATTCTCCGCCGACGCATTCTTCACCAAAATCCTCAACGAGATGAACACCCCCTTCACCCACCGTGAAGACATGTGGGAAAACCGTCCCCTCGAAAAAGCGGCATTGACCCCAACCCACCCATCCGTCTTTTCCGCACTCCAAGAATTCTGCGATTACCTTCGCACAGACGTTGATTTCCAGAATACAACCACCCTCGGAGTATGGCTCTACTCAGGCCGTATCACGACTCGTCGGAATATAAACGTAGCATGGTACTACCTCGACGCTCGCGATGCATTAAGCCAGCTATTCGGGAGGTTTTATACAGCTCTTTCGGAGATATATAGAGAGGTTGAAAAGATGACGGGGACGGTTTATTGGTCTTTAGACGATCCGGTTAGTAAAGCTGCTTCGTTGGGGGTACTTGAGCCCTTAAGGGTTTATGTGAAGAAGGTTGAACAGGCAGTTTATTTGATTTATTGGAATATGATGCACATAAGGATTGAACCGGAGAAAGAGAATTTGATGAATCATATGAATTATAACCCGGGCTTGAATGGGAGGAAGCCGATGAAGTGGATATCTAACATCGATCCAAGAAATTTGGGAAGGTAGAAAGTAGGGTAGGTTATAGTTATTGGTTTGTCGATTCGAGGAACCCAGAATATAAAGTAAAATCAAAGGAAACGATTAGAGGCTACTAAATGCATTTGCGCTCTTGGATTCTCGAGTGTTTTACAAAATCCCACGATGGGAGTAAACGGCGGACTTCTGACAAGAATCTGGAAACGGGTGAGTCGGCCATTATGTGTTGGATTCTGTGGTAATTTTATCGTATATGTTGTGTATGTAGATATCGACGGGATGAGGGGCACTCTCAAGCACGGATGCGCTTTGACTTGACAGATAAATTTAAGAACACCAAGTAATTGATCTAATAGTCCACGAGGGCAATGAGGAAGAGATACATTCTTATATAAGTACTTAGTTATCTAAAGTGATTCGATCCGTCGTTAACCTATCTTCAACAGCCTCGAGGAGGCTGGACGATGTCCACCCCTCACAAACATATGCATGCCGACATGTAGACACTAAAATTGTAGTAGTTATCATCCTTAAACAAGCCCATACGATCATTTGCTCAATATAGATAAGGTCACTCATAAATAATTTAACGACTTAGTATTCATAGATCTCAGGGTACCTTAAGCAAAGGTATCCTGCAAGCTATAGCTAGCTGCGTATCAGCTACATCCATTAGATCGAAAACGAAACCCGATCACGAGAACATCCCACAAGAGCTGCGGCCCTCAAAACCTCGAGGAAAATAAAGCGCTAAAATCCACAAACCGAATAAAAACAAGTAAAAGTAACACGCTTTGCTCGCTAGACTCGCTCAAAGGTAAATATCGAATCGAGAAAAAAGGAAAAGGCTAACGTCATAGGTAAACAAGATGTGAAGAGCTGGAAGGAAAAAGGAACTTGAAAAAGATCCCATCAGCCAAACACTAAATCATCAGATGATCAATTGCATATGCGCCACATGCATGTGTATCCACACCAAAGAGCTTCGAGATGAGATAGCAAAATCCGGGGTGTGTGTGTGAAAGGCGCTAAAACGGATGGAATGTTAAGTCGTATCTTTTTCATCGATAGATGGTAAGCCCTGATTGGCCATCGTTCCGTAGAAGAGGAAGACCACTAATAGGGTGAGGGAGATTTGGAGAAACTGAGCACCTGACTGGATAATAAGACCTTTGTAAAGGCCCAAGTCATTTGAAAGGGTTTAGTCCAAGGAGGAAGGAAGAGGAACAAGCTAAATACATGGAGAAAAGGTGAATACAAGAAGTTATGAAGAGGGGGCGGCGGGAGTGCAGCTGACCATCCCACCACCAAAGAATCGAAAAAAGGGTAAGAAATATCGTACAGAGAAGAGAAAGGCTGAAAAGGATAAACAATTGCAACAAAAGTATAGAATCCCATCGCTAAAAAAGACTTCCCAAAAGTAAAAATGAAAATAAAAAAAATAAAAAATAAAAAGAATCAGACCAGAAGGAAACCCCTTAACCACCTGTAAAAAAAAGGGAAAAGAGTCGATGTATCTTGAAGCAGGCGGGCTAAACTCCGTCAATACAGGTAGCCAGAATACAGGATATCATGTTTAAAGGAAAACAAATATACTCCATACAGCGACCCACACACTCATCAAAAATTAGAAGGAAAATGAAGCATGGCAGCATGAACACCTCTCCCGATATAATGCTCAAAGGAAAAGGTCGCTGTCGACACATCGAAGAAATCCTCAAGGTCAAAGAAACGTACAAGAAAAAGCCGGACACAAACACCTTTCCCCAGGTTCGCTGAAAAAAGCATGATCTAAGGGAAAATAAATCATGACAAAAAGAAGAAGGTAGCAAGCCGAAGACATCCTTTCCTCCACATTAAAGGTCGTATTACATGCTAAATATTTCGAGTTTGGTATATAAAAGTACATGAGTTTCTTTTGTAACGTCCCCGGTATCAAGAAAAGCAAAGCAGAGCTCTCAACAGACGAGAATGAAAGAAAAATGGAGTTGTAATGGCTGATAGAGAATCATACCGTGTTGGTAGCAGTTCGTAATCCTATTAGATCTGATGGTTGAATAGGGTAATAAGACCCGGGTCTTGTTCGCTTTGCGGATGAACAGGCTGTTGCCGCTCCTGTTGCCGCTTGTCAAAGTCGTAAATCGTCTCGATAATTTGTTTGAGACAAAAGGTTATTTCGTTTCCGTTTTTTTTTGTTCTTTTTATATATAGCATCATGACGACAGATAGGAAAGACGTGCAAACAGTTGTTTGTTTCGAGGACCATCGGAGTATGGTTCATTATTAGTCCGAGGCTAAGAGCAGTAATAACTCAGAAGGCGTAAGATAGACGTAAGCAAAATATCGTTATAAGGAAATTTTATTCAAGATTGGTGCCGTGCATGGCTGGGATTATCGTAATCGATCGGTGGGCTGAATTATCAGGCCGGAAATGGGATGGTCGAAAGAATGATCGTATTTGAAGGAGAAAACAGTAAAGGCGCGAGATGAAAGAGTGTCGTTGGTAGTTCGGTCCGTAGACGCTAAAAGCGAGAAGGCGAGAATTGTAAAAGAATGACAAGGGTATACCCAAGAATATGACTTGCATGGACCGCCTTTCGCGTAGATCGGTACATGTCAATTTTTTTATTTTGATTGGCTAGCTGGGCGATGAGTGCGCTAACTATTGTCTAATCCGTATTGGATTTAGTGCTGTTGGGAAGTTTCTTTCTTCCCTCTCCGGAAAAATCCCAACCCGAATCCAAGGATTCCACGTTCTCTTGGAGGGGGGTTGCTGTCCCTCTTCTTCGATCTTGGTGGGGAAGTGAATGCGGAACCAAGACCGGCTGCGGCGGGCATATCTGCAGCAGGGGCATCAGGTAAGGTAAGTTGCGATTGGTTGAGAGTGCCGTCTAAAGGAGCAAACTCGGAATCTCTGAAGGGGGATCCTAGTCTTTTGAGAACGGATGGTCTGATTTGATCTGGTGGGGCGCTGATTCGGCGGAGGGCTGCAGGTGCGATGAATTCTGTCGAAGAGCTTCCCCGTATCTTGTCGGTGAAGCTCATGCCACGAGCACGGGCCTTCTTGGACGGAACGCTGATTGAGGCACCGTCGCTGCCAGCAATTGAGGGTGTGCTGCTGCGCTCACTAAGATTTGTGCGGCTAGCATTGGCACCGAAGAGGTCTTCGAAGAAGTGGTCCTTCTTCTTGCCTTCAACTGAGGTGGCTGGGCGTTGAGCTAATCTGTCTTGTTCTTGTTGTCTAAGGGCATTCTGGTACGCTTCTTGCTTAGTGAAGTCGAATGCTGGCATCAGAGTCGGAGGTCCCCGACGTCCAATGGGTGTTTCCAAGGATTGGTGGCGTTTGTGGGAGCGTCGAGCGAGTCTAGCGTCGTCACCTTCTTCCTCGACGGCACCAAATGGAGAGCCAAGACAGAGCATGCGTGGAATAGTTGATCGGATGGTAGCATCAGAAGAACTCCTGACTCTAGTTCTTCTTCTGGGAGTAGCGAAGTTTTCCACGGCTTGCTCGCCAGGTTTGGTAGCAGCCACAGCACTGGTAGTCCTTCTGTGACCGATGCCATTGCCTTCAGTCTTGCGGTGAAGGATACTGGCTTTGCTTCCACTTCTTCTATGAGCAGAAGTAGAGCTGAGAGTTCTCCTGTGACCAGGGATAACTTCGGGAATAGGAAGCTCAATCTCGTCTTCAGCTTCATAAGAAGGCTCCAAAGTCGGCTTGAAGACATCGTGGGCTAGTGGAACATCACCTTGGGGCGCCCTCGTAGCCTCCTCTGATTCCAATGGACGAGAAAGGGATGCCAATGGACCATCAGATTGCATTGCCTCAGAAGTGCTTGCCATAAGAGAGAAAGACAAACTTCGAGTGGAGAACTGGGTTTCCTCAGCAATGTTTGCGCAGGGAGGAGCAAATTCCTTGATACGGATGGGAGAGGCCAGGCGACCGTGTCGAGTTTGAAGGTGAGGGTTTTCTGTGATTCGGCGTGAAAGTATTCTGAGCCTTTGTCGGGTGGCAGCTTCGGAATATGGCCATGCTCGTGGTACTACTTCTTTTCTTCTAGTAGGGATCTGAACTCGAGAGCCGCGTCGCCTTCGAAGGGAGCCTTCACCCAAAGTAGCGTCGATTGGAAGAAGACTTTCCGAATTTGTTCGCGACAATCGCTCTGTTGGGCTGGTCAAGTCGGTCTCTTGGATGGTTTTTGGGACTCTCCATGTCCTCTTTGCTTCCCGAGCTACTCTGATGCAAACACCGATCGGTGGGCAGCCACCAGGTGGAACATAGAATGGCGTCATAGTGGGATTGCTCTGATATGCAACATAGGCACCCCAGAGATGCAAGTCGAAAGTCTTACTCCAGTCCGCATCCTTAGTGCTATCCTGCTTATGTTGCCTCCTAGCAGCTCTGGGGGTCTTTTGGCTATCACCAACACCGATGGTAGTGTCGGCATCATCATCCTGACCAAAGGTCGAAGCGGCGTCGAAAGAATTCCTCTTCTCATGTCGTGGGCTTTGGGAGGACGCTGGGAACGAATTGAATGATGTCATGCTGCCAAAGGAGCAAGCAGATGAAGAAGAATACATAGACGCAGCAGAGCTCGGTCTTGTCATCTCCTCATCTCCTTCGCTACAAAGAGAGTGGCGTTTCCATTGGTCACCATCATACTCAGCACCAGACTTAGGAATCGGTGTCCTTGGAGGGGAGGTGGCCATAGGAGCAAGACCTTCAGCGAGAGTCTCAAATGGTGCAGATTCATCGCAGGGAGTAGTCACCAAAATTGGTGGCCCAAACTGCTGTTCCTTTGGATCCTGTGCATCCATACTTGATAGAGACATAAGGAAATTTGGTCGATGCATTTTGCCAAAAATTGTTGTAGATGGTCGTGAATATGAATGTGATAGATATATGAAATAGATGGCGCTACTCCAGTAGATGATTCACTAGAGTATAAATAAGATGGTTGGTAAGATTAATCAGTGCGACAGATGCGACCGGTGGATTGCTATAGCTGCTTGTCGTACGAGCGCAAGTCGGAAGGATGCAGGCCGGTAGATTTGACAAATCGCAATCCAGGAATCCGGTAAAGCACCAAGAAGAGTCGTTATCACAAATCGTCAGGTAAATAGAAAGAAATATAGCAAAATAAAAAAGAAACCCTGGGTATCAAAAGACTTCGTCGTAGGAAAAAAAAAAACGTCGTGAGAAAAGGAGATTCGGGAAGATGGAAGGGTGATGGGTAATCGAAATCGTCAAAGCTAATTAGAAGTTGCGCCGTAACAAATGATATCAAGGACAGTCGTATCAGCCAGAGAAGCTTAAACCAGTGCCATGTAGATGGTCGCAGAAAGACAAAGCAATCAACCCCGCAGGCAGATTATCCGTGGGCGATTCGGGTAGATGCTTGGGCCGTGAGTTCCTGTCGCGATCGACTAATGGGACTCAAGTAGGTCTTTGTCTTTGTGTTAGAGTCTCTTGCAAATTAACCAAGTGATTGGAATCTGTTAGAGGACTAAAAGGAGCGACTGCGATCAAAAGGAATGAAGATGACACCTGAACGAAGGTCGAGGGGGCAGTTAAAGAAAGATAAAGAGGCAGCGGTCGCGCGCGAAAAATTATAGATATGATGTTATATATGCTACGATAGCGCCACCAAAGATAGAAAAAGGTTGATCAGTAATGCTACGCGATACAAAAGGAGGAATTCCCAGTTATGCGTCGCAAAGTTATATAGTATTCTCTTCTGTTTTGTAGGTAAAAAGTCGCGAAAGGCTAGGACAAGTTGTCGGCTCTTTTTTTCGCTTATGGAAAGGAAATTGACTTTGTGGTGGTGGTGTTGTTGTTGGAAGGGGTAAAGCGAATTGGGATATTGATTAATGATATCTCTTTGGAAGGAATGGACTTCTTCGCGAAAGGAATTCTAGTTAGAGGAGAGTCGAGAGAGAGAGAAGATGCCGTCGAGAAGGCTTGACCGGTATAAATCGGTCGCAGACGGGGAGGGGGGAGGAAAGTGCGAAGTCGAAAACGGGAGCGGCGATGGAGAGAAAGGTGAAGAGGAAAGGGAAGAGAGGATGGTGAGGAGGAGGAGAAATGGAAGCGTAAAAGGGAAGGCCAGGCAGGCACATTGACTTGACCTGACTGGGAACCAGACCAGGCTAAGCTGAGGCAGGAAAAAGAAACACCACGGCCACCATACTAGTTACCACTACTACCACCGCTGCATTACCACCATCAGAAGGGAAAGGGAAAAGGGAAAAGGGAAATTGGGGTGGGTGGGCCACCAGGGCAGCGCCAGCACAGTGCCCAACAGGCATCACGACGTCTCGCCAATCATCACACTGCATGTTATTAGTTATCGATGTGGCCGAGGGCGACCGGATTCTTCACTTGCATTACCTACATACATTACATACATACATACACACATACATACATACTTCTAACACTAACAAGAACTGTTTGTTTTGCGACGGGACTGTACCGACCCGCTGCAGTCCTGTGATTGAATATTTTATGTTAGTGTGCCAGTATATTTGAATCGAATAGCATATGGGTACGAATGAACGATGGTCCGGACCATCGAACCGGTTAACGAGGCATTAGATTCGATTCGCCAATGCTCCGTATCAGGAGCCCTGTCCGGATGGATTGAGCTGACCCGTTCATGGTAAAATAAAAAAAAATAAAAAATGTAAAAAAATAAAGAGAGTGTGATAAATAAAAATAAAAAATAGAAATAAGAAAAAGTCATCCCACCCGGCGGACTAGTTAGTATTACTAGCTAGTGGCAATGGTATCATCAAAAACATTCGGCTTAGAAAAAACTGGTCTGGTCGAACATCGCACTGCACCTCCCATTCGATAAGCGGTCGCATAATATTGATTGGTATCGAATAAAACGTCTTGTTTTGGGCCTTGCATTCTCCATCTCTCATGCACCTGGAATTGGTTGATACTTCGTTCCGCCTTCCATATCGTTCGAGACGCTTTTTTTCCCTTTCCACCTGGTGCCATTTACGTATACATCTGCTTGAATCTTATTTTTTCCTTTTCGTAGCCGCCCATATTGAGGTCAATTCGGTTTTTGAGGTAAAATAAATAAAAAATAAAAATAAAAATAAAGGAAATCCGATAATGGAGGGGTCAAAAGAGCTCACTTGACCATCTTTGCCGACCTGTTCCTCATATCCCTGATATCTGTGCCGTCCTTTTTCTCCCTCAAGCTCTAAAGAAAGATCTGAAAAGGTCCTCCAAAATGGTATGAACAAAAAGATCGAGGAGGAAAGATATACTCTTCATGTCTATGGCAGCTATTTTATACAGGCACTATGACTCTAAGCTTCCAAATTATCACCTGCACTTTCGTCGCATCTCCAAATCTTTTTTCTCGATTCAGATGAAATTCGAGTTCGAAAATCAGACAATCTTTCTTCAGCCGATACCCGTCTAGCACGCGCAAACGTGTGGTGTGCAGATTTTTTTTCGTATACCCCGCCATGGTATCCCGAAAGCCTCATTCCAAAATAAACCCGCGATTCTTCTTCCCTCTTCCTATTGTGGGAGCCACCCACGCGTCAAGCTGTCACCCATGAGCCAATAGAACCCTAGAAGTGAGGGGTTATGGTGTGCCAGGCCCCCAAAGAACAATTCTTAATAGCGCGTTTTAGGAAAAATCATGAGAACAGGTTGTCGTGCAGCGGGGTTTTTGCAACATCAGAATTGCGTTGTTCCCGCGTTCCAGACGCGCCAAGACGACGCCGCGTGGTAGGACAAACATTAACCACATCACAACACATTTCTTGCCAATAACAATGGACCCTGAAGTTCCATCGCGTCGCTGTCCCTTAACTTCTGAACTTCGTCGGGGGCAGCTGGCAGCCCTTGCAATCCGACCATCAAAGCCGATTGGCAGCGACGGAAAACCTTTCCTTCCAGCTCAACATTCCGGCCTTTTGCTGCGTGGTCTACTATGTATTGACAAGTCACGTTTGATCCTTTCCCTCCCCTTGTCTCAGCGTCCCGTCTTGCAAACCAATTGAAGGGCATCTCTTGTCGTCACTCAGCTCTCCATTGGCCCAACCTCTAGACACCTGTATGCGCTGCGGACCGAAGACCAACAGATCCCGTGCCCTCCCATCTCGAATAGCTAATACGAAGCCGTAAAAGTCAAGAATCGCAACCTTTTAGCAAAAAAAAAAGCCTGAGCTTCTATAAATGTCAACCTTTGTGATATTGGTAACCTGGAATACATATTATGGCTTCGGAGTGTTTTTTACTCGATGGACCCTGGAAGATACGTGGCATGCGATCCATTGGCCAATTAACAGGGACGGGCTGGGAGCGGGGTACCGACCTGCCTACTTGACTTCGGCGCATTTCCTCCAATATACTACATACTGCAGATGCAGATGCAGCGAGAGAGAATTCAGAACTCTGTCCGAGGCTGCCTCAAAGTTTCTCTTTTTTCCAATCTAACCATCTACAGGTACCAAACAATCTTACTATCAAGCCACGCTGTTATGCATTCTTTGAACATTTAAAATTTAACAGCCAATTTTGAATATGCCTTTCTATCAGTTTTTATGCGGCTAGTTTGCCTTTTTCTTCACGAAACTCCAATGATTTGAGGGATGTCATCTGCTTCCTCGTTTGGAAAATTAATGCGCGTTCCATGTCGGATTTCGTAATCGGGAAGCTCTTTCCAGGAGGAGCGCGATGAGGGGCGATAAAAACAAGGAAGCCCGACGCGTCTTGGACCTGGTAAAATCATGAGGGTTTTTCTGGGGGATTTCTCTGAGGGAAATGAAGAAAGGGAGAATTGATGCGTTTGAGGAACTGTACGAAATCCGATATAGTGATGAGCCGCTGGTTGGCTAGTTATGCCGTCATGTTTTGAGTATTTCGAGATACGAATAATATAGTGAGATCTCGAGTTTCAGGCGGTCCACTGATCAACCCTCTGAAGAATTGTGCTCTTCGCTCTCCTGTCGACATGTCATGTCATATCATTTTCACATTGTCGATGGCGGGTTGCCGCAGAAAAATATTGATTCTCGTATTTTTCATTCGAAAACCGGTTTTTGCAGATGTTTCTCCTGCAAGAGAGTGAAAGGATCCTCCTTGCTCCTGCTCATCGACAGCTTTTCCTTAAAATCTGGATCAGCATCTGCGAAAAGCACGACCGTTTTTTTCATAAATGATTTCTCATATACCCTCCATTATCGTAGGACTGTTATCGTTGGACGAGAATTCCGAACCCTTGCAACAGAGCTGGCGGGATCGTACCACTTTTTTTTCCTTTTCTGCTCAAGGTCCTTATTGGACCGCCACCTATTATCGCTCGTTCGTGACGCGTTGGTAACAATCTATTTTGACAGCTCCACAAACAAGGGCAATGCTAGCTCTTGTCCCTGAAGGTCTAGACGAGAGGAGCAAGAGCAGTCGTCGCCAAAGATAACCCGATTGTCCAAGTTTTTAGCGCTTGGAATAAATGCCAGTTTCTCAAAATCGGGTTTTATTCGGGGTTTGAAAATCGCGACTATGGAAAGAAGGTTCATAACGGGTTCCTATTCCATAGATTCTAGAGTGTATCACCATGGCTTCGTGAAGCTTTAGCGATTCAAGCTTTGTAGGATTAGGAATAGATCGATGACAGGCAAAATTTTTGAGGGTTTATCGATAACAGGTAACGGTTTCCTTTCTAGCGCTTCCAAAAGCTAGAATATGTAACTGAGAATCGATAGATGGTGTGGCCTGATTGATATTCGAATCGTATTCATCCCCGCCGTTCGAACCATTGGTATGCAAGATCATATCCAAAAACCTAGGCTCAAAACTTAAAGAGTTTCGCCGCTTAAATACAGCCACGATAGCCGCACGCTCGGTACGGAGATGATCCAGATGTCTGGTCCAAGCTTATATTTCGGGGATTTTTATCTTTCAGAAAAAGATGCTGCAGCCACCCGAAGAGGCGACATTGAATCCGCCAGATCGTATACCAGCATGTTCTCTCGTGGCGGATTACGAATTTTGCGTCTTTGGCTTCCACAAGTTTTCGGCTCTTTGAGCAATGCCTGAGGCACCCGCATCGCATGGGCGATTGGGCGGGGCCTTGTGTATCCAGACAACGAAAAATGTGTTCTGTTACACAATCGTCTACAACAAACACCACAACGACAACCACAAACAACGAGGCACCTTCTAATTAGGAACAACCCGGCTGACGGATTGCTCTATCTCCGCAACTTCACTCGCCAACTTCTGTGCCGCTTGAGCTCCCCTAGAACGCTTGTAAAGTCTTCTATATAAAGCTGTTACTTGGATACAGCCAGCTGTGCACGGTCATTCACCCACTTCACATCGTGCTTCACTCAAGTTTATATTTTACTACAACAGCTAGATCCTAGCTCGACAGTTTCAACAGCATCATCGCCACCATGGGTCAAGAACTCTCAGAACCGATCGATGAGTCCATCGAGCCTTTACACCTTAAGCGCCGCGATCTAAAGTCTATCGCTGAATACATCGCCTCCGGAGAATGTCAAAAAGTCGCCGTTATGGTTGGTGCTGGTACGTCTCGTTTACCCCGGATTTTCAGGCATCGGTCGTTATCAGCGCCATTATCATGCCCACGGTACTAACAAGAACAACAGGTATCAGCACTTCCGCTGGCATTCCCGACTTTCGTTCGCCAGATACGGGTCTTTATGCCAATCTGCAGCGTTTGGATCTTCCAGAACCTGAAGGTATTACTTATACTCCTTTCGTATCCCCCTCTCAAAGGTCTCCTAGACTGATATAACCTTTCAGCGGTTTTCGATATTACCTACTTCCGCACCAACCCCCTTCCCTTCTATACTCTAGCTCACGATCTTTATCCTGGTAAATATCGACCTACAATAACCCACTCTTTCATCCATCTTCTCCACAAGAAGGGCATCCTGAAAATGTGCTGGACCCAAAATATCGACACTCTCGAACGGGCAGCTGGTGTTCCAGGCGAAAAACTTGTCGAAGCACATGGATCCTTCGCTAGTCAGCGTTGTATCGAATGTAAAGCGCCATACCCGGATGATTTGATCAAACAGCATATCCTAGCCGACCCCGTTGAGGTTCCCACGTGTAAGGATACACCAGAATGTAATGGACTTGTTAAGCCGGATATTGTGTTCTTTGGAGAACCGTTGCCCGCAGAGTTTTCGAGCAGCATGGAACAGCTGGATGATGTCGATTTGGCTATTGTCATGGGGACCAGTTTGATGGTATATCCATTTGCTGGTTTGCCGACTAGGGTACCACATGGTCCACCTAGATTGTTGATAAATAATGAGAAGGTTGGGGAGATTGGGAGTAGAAGGGACGATGTGATCTTCTTGAAGGCGTGTGATGAGGCTGTTAGGGTCTTGTGCAAGGAAATTGGGTGGTTGGATGATTTGGAGGAGCTTTGGGCAGCTACGGAGCCAGAGGAGAGCAAGGCAGAGAAGAAGGAGGAGGAAGAGAGATGGAAGTCTCTAACATTAGATCAAAGACTAGATGAGGAGGTTGAAAGATTAACGAAGGATGTTGAGGAGAGTTTGAAAGTTTCGAAAGATCATAAAAGCTGGGTTGAAGGTCAACTGACGAAGGAGAAGGGAGGAGACGTCACCCACGACGCTGAACCTGGCTCTCCAACCCTATCCTACAAACCAACGATTATTGAAACGCCGAAGCCCGCACTCCCTACTGATGAATCCTCAAAACCCGAAGAAACTAAGACCGATCCTCCAGCTACTGACGCTTCAAAGCCCGACTCTCCGAAGCTTGAGCCTTCAAAGGCCGAGGAATCTAAAGATATCTAAAGAAACCAAACTGAATTTGGATTTAAATTTGGATTTCCGGAGTAGAATATGGTTGCAATAGGGCGTTTGGGGTGGAATCAATATCGATTGGGAGTTATAGAATCAGTCTCTTTTGTCATATCGCTCCGAGATCCTGGGTAGTCTTTTCCCTGAAGGACTATCATAAAAAAACTTTTAGAATATGAACTTTTAAGGTTATATGGCAGACGACTATATTCGCGGTGATACTAGAGCCTTTAAACCCGTTTCTACAGGCATCTAAGCGGTCTTAACGTCAACTTTACCTAATTAACCATGATTTCATAAACATAAACTACACGCTCCGCCAGTGGTACTCCACGTCTTCGCCGTTATTAACTATTATGTAATCACTCCTCCCGCTCTTTCGCCCAAATCATTAACATTCCCTTAGTCATCGGCACAAGCACCGATGTCCACTCCATATCACTATCCTGAAACCCTTCCATAAACCCAAACTCGAACCTTCTCACAAACCTCCCAAGCGCAAGCGACAGCTCTGCTTCCGCCAAATTCATACCAATACAAATCCTTGAACCTCTGCTAAATGGCATAAAGTACCTTTGCATCTCTTTAGTGTCTTCAACCAACCAACGAGATGGATCCCATTTGAAGGGATCCGGGAAGACTACAGGGTTTGTGTGGTACGTATAAGCCGAATTTAGAACTACGGTGCCGGCGGGAAGGTGATGGCCTAGAAATGTGGCACCACCTGCTGGGGTGTCTCGTGGAAGAGGGCCGGGGACGCCGTGGCTAAAACGGAGAGACTCTTTAATACACGCTTGCTTTAGGTATTAAACTCAGTATCAGCTATCTCATTCGTCTCGAAAAGTATTCATAAGTTAATGTATTAAGGAAAAGACCACGTACGAGGAACGGTAAGTTACCCAATACTTCCTCTTTCACATCAGCCCTAGGAGAACCTATGACCCCCTTCAACTCCTCCAACAATCTCTTCTGGACCTCCGGGTGCTTAACCAGATAATAGATGGCATATGTTAATGCATGCCCCGTCGTATCCATCCCGGCTGCGACGGTAGATATAGCATCGTGGATTAATTGTTTATCAGTCAAAGCCTTCCTCCCTCTCTTTTCATCGTCTTCGAACAACTGTGCAAAAATGGTAACCATATCCCTTTCTCCCGATAGATACCTGAACTTTTGTTTCAATACTGCGCTGCTGCAAGTGTCTGTAAATTTAAGAACATCGCCCACAATTGGGGAGATTTTGGAGACATATGACCTAGGAATGAAATTTCCAAGCACATATTCAATCGTAGCGACTGTCCCTGGAGCAAAATTTTGTATCGCTGTAGTGTCAAGCAAGCTCTCAAACCCCAACAACCATCCCGGACTAAACGTTGGATCTGATAGAGCGTTAAATGATTCCTCATAGGAGTAAGTGGTAATGATATCGACAGTCAAACATCGGAGTCCTCTGGAAATGTTTATGTTTGTCCCAAGCTCTTGGATGCGAGTGAGGAAGAAAGTGACTTTGGATTGCATTAGGTCTTCTAGTTTGTGGACTGCTGTTTTTGAAAAGTAGGGTGCGAAGGCGGCGCGGCGGGCGTGTGCTTCTTTGATGTCTACAGTTTCGACGACGGATTCGTTGGCTGATGGGTGGTTGTAGAAGTCTGAGGATTTGGAGAATTTGGTGTTTACTTTGTAGATTCTGGTATTGATTGTGACATTATATCAAAGTTAACTACCATATATATATTTTTGTAATGAATTCGCATTCGTGCAATATAAATAGTGATATAACTGGGGAAACTTTTAACTTACTGGTTGTAGACTTCAATATCATTGAAAGAGACATGTCGAGGTCCGGTGCGGACGATAGGTCCTAGTAGTTTCCATAAAGATCAGTTTTCTGCATACCTTAATTACTTAAATTTACAAACAAAGTATAATATATTTTCAAATTGATGATATCGATATACCATATTTATCATGCCACTTTTTCAAAGTAACCGCTTCCCTTCCTTTCTTCCATGGTAAAACAAGCCATGAAAATTTATTCCAATTTTCGGAAAGAAGAACGTATTTAGGGCCAGGGATTTTCGATAATGGATCGAAACAGAGACGATAGATGAAACGAATTGGTATATAAAAGAATATGTAGGAGAATAAGAAAGTAATTGACCCATAAAGGAGTTTGTTTGAAGGTGGCAGGGAGAGAAATTCGTCGAGAAGGGGTTGGATGTTAGACATGGTAGAGTTGATGAACTCTTGAGATGCCATTATGCCGTCGGTTGTGTAACCACCCCACCGATGAAGTGGATATCACCTTCTGACGAACTAGGATATGTATATACGGATGCTAGATTTTGAGAGTTCGCACGCGGAGCGGAGAGGATTGATTCGTTTATATATATAGAGTTAGGAGATCCGGAGATATTGTTTTGCTAAGTGCGGGCTCTAGATCTGGGACCTATGCTGAAAAGGGAAACTCACGTTAGATATATATATACCTCGCAAGCTCTGGAGCGACGACCAGATGACCATACAGTCGTATTACAATGCTGTATGGAATTAACCTTTGCGATATTTGTTGTTTTTTCCCAACGGATGAATTATAGACTGGCTGCAAGGAGCTAGCTAGCTAGGATTCAGGTTGAAGCATACACGGATCGAACTAGTATCGTGGCGCCTGCACCTCTAATTGCATAGGCCCACTCGATTTGATAACCTAGCCGAGACACTTCGCATCGATCAGTGCATCTTGTTACCTAGTTAAGTACCTACTAGGGTGAGTTCTTGAGAGCTCTGCAGCTCTGTCCCGCACCTGCTGCATACCAGGTGTAAGAGCACTATAGTACTACATTAGGGATACCCCTCGCTTGTTCAGAATTCTCGGATGCAATCGATCGTGCAGGTTTTCTTTTGATAAGAGTTTTATAAATATGCCCATTCCTCTAAGTGATCAAAAAGAGAATGCCCTTTTTTTCAAAAAAAAAAAAAAGTGATATCATATCAGCGGATAAGGTGTCAATACTGAATTTTAATCAGTACTGCGACTGCACTCAGACTCCAGAGTTTAACCTAGCGTTAGAATCCAACCCGGCGTTCGCTGCCGACAATCAATTGGAGACATGCATGCATGCGGGAAAGCTATAAAAGACAATGCTTAAGCATGGCCAAGATAGATAGTCGGTCGCTGAAAATGCCATTTAGTAAACTAAACTCGCGAATAGCGAAAGAAGCTACATGAGTTACTAATCATTATATTAGCAGTAGGGTTCATGGGGGTTTATACATCTTGGTTGTAGCCGCTTAAATAGTGCGATGCACGGGTAGCGGGAACCAATCAATTGAGGGGTAAAGTGGGTTTTCGCTGCCGACGAGTCGAGAATTCTCTTGGGGACAAGGCTTTTTTTTTCTTGATTGATTGACTAAGCTGTTTATTGTAAAGAGGTTTCGGTCTATATGTATAAGCATATCGGTCTTGGAATATCCTGATTTCCTTCCTTGTATACATATGATATTGTATATTATATTATTACATAGTCGCAGTGTACATATATGTTATATTCGGGACGAGTAATTGCGAAAGGCGCGAAGGTTGGAGACTCCACTTCCTAAGTTGTACTGATATGATTCTTTCCGTCGACGTCGACGAGATTATAGCTCTGCACGATAATTCTCGCTCTTCTAAATTAATTATCATGCAAGCGCATGCATGTAGTAATAGGCAGATACTCAAGGGGGCCTAGAGCATTAATAGCATGCTACCGCGATTTCTGTAGAACCAGTAGAGAGACGATCTTTAATCAGTTGACACTACTACAGCTTTAGAATTCGCCACGAGATCTTTCGTATTGCTCTGAGTATCTACTTCCCACCATCGATAAATAAAATAAAATAAAATAAAATAAAAATAAAAATAAAAAATAAAATAGAAATTAACCCAGCCCATTGCATTGTAATTAACCGTCTTGTGGGTGCCGTTAAAGATGTCTCATTTAGACGAGGGCATTGACGTTGTTACACAAGTTTTTAAGCCTAAATTTACAAAGTTCTAGCTTTAGATCTATAGAACAACGATACCCATTTGCAAATTTGAAGTCGATGGCTGTTATGCATGTTAAAAAGACTTTCGGAATTTCTGTTAACGTTCGGTAAAAGGTGAGACTCCCATGTTTTTGAAAGGCCATATGCCATTGCATCGTCCAGTCGATTTTTTTTTTGGAATCAGCGGGTTCTTGTGGGACGTAGCTAGATTTGCAGTTATTCCGTTTAGAGGCTTGTTGGTCAGCATTAGTCTCGACGCGGGTGGACTGGACGCGGGTGCCCTGATATCCACGGTATCTTTTTCGCGCTGACTGGTTTCCATTCCGGCTGGGGAGTTCAAGTCTTCGTTCATGACACGTCGACATACATACATACACAGCTAGCACTGACATAAGTCTGGGTACTTACGTAACTATCATTTCCATCCTGCGATTGTCACCCTTTACTTAAGTAAGTAAGTACTTACATATGAGTAGTTTTCAGTTCACACAACACGAACTGGTAGATATTCGTGTATGGATGAGCTAATCAGAAAGCTCGTATTTCTAACCTCCTAAGCACACGGCACGAGACCTCCTAGGCCTCGCGACACCAGAGCTATGACGGCTACAGCTGCTTCTGTAGTAGGCTCGATCGTATCGGGAATCGTCGCTTTTGTCGGTTGGAATATATTCAAGCAGCTATACCTTCCTGACCGTCATAAACCGCCTGTAGTATTCCATTGGCTTCCCTTCATTGGAAGTACTGTCTACTACGGGATCGATCCCTACAAGTTCTTCTTCGAATGCCGGGAAAAGGTGAGTTTCAATGGCGAAAACTTGTCTCGAATAAAATAAAACGAGACATATTTACTGATCTTGGTATAGTATGGCGACTGTTTCACGTTCTACCTCCTGGGGAGTCCCACAACCGTCTTTCTCGGCAGCAAAGGGAACGAATTTATCCTCAATGGGAAGATAAAAGATTTAAATGCTGAAGAGGTCTATGGTCCGCTCACTACACCAGTATTTGGCAAGGGTGTAATCTACGATTGTCCGAATGCCAAATTGATGGATCAGAAGCGACTTCTTGGACCCGGTCTTAGTGGAGCAGCTCTGAAAAGCTACGTACCGCTATTTGTGAAAGAAGTTGAAGATTTCATCAAAACATCTCCAATCTTTAAATCGGACGGTGGGATTTGTGACATCTCATCGGTCATGGCTGAAATCACTACCTACACTGCGGCTGGTTCACTTCAAGGCAAAGAGATCCGAGACATGCTTGATTCTGAGATTTCTGTCCTATACAGACATCTGGATGATGGATTTGCTCCGATAAACTTTGTCCTCCCTTGGATCCCCATACCAAGAAACATTCGAAGAGATCATGCTCAAAAGGCAATGGCAAACCTTTATATGGATGTCATTCAGAAACGTCGCAAGCGAGAGAATCCTCCCGAGGAAGAAGATATGTTAGACATGTTGATGAAATCGACATATCGTGATGGGAACGTAATACCTGATAAGGAGATCGCCAATCTTATGATCGCTCTTCTGATGGGTGGGCAGCATAATACATCGTCGACTGGATCTTGGATTATTTTATACCTAGCTCATGATCCTTCCCTTATCGAAGAGCTATATCAAGAGCAACTTAGGGTGCTTGGACCATCTTTACCCCCACTTACCTACGACCATCTAGAAGCCCTCACACTTCACAACCATATGATCAAGGAAACCCTCCGTCTGCATTCACCGATCCACTCCGTAATGCGGAAAGTGAAAACACCAATGCCAGTACCAGGTACCGATTGGGTAATCCCGCCATCCCATACCCTCTTATCAGCTCCAAGCTTCCTAGGCCGAACACCCGAAAACTTTCCCAACCCCCAAAAATGGGATCCTCACAGATGGGACGACCCAAAGGCCGGGTTTGCAGCTATGGGGGGTGGTGATAGTGGTAAAGACGACGAAGCAACAATCGACTATGGATTCGGTGCCGTTTCATTAAAATCGATAAAATCACCATACTTACCCTTTGGAGGCGGGAGACATCGATGCGTGGCTGAGAAGTATGCGTATACACAACTCGGAGCGATTTTGGCAACTGTAGTGCGTTTGTTGAAGTGGGAACAAGTCGATATGACGAAGGAAGTTCCGCCTACTGATTACTCCAGCATGTTCTCAAGACCGATGCATCCCGCGGAGATTAAGTGGAAGCATAGATAGAGCTGCTGTTGTAGAGCATTTACCGTTTCTGTGTTAGCTGTTGGCTTGGATCTATTTAGTTCAAGTTAGCAAAAGGAATCGTCTAATGCATACTATCTCACTAACTTGGAGGGCTGGTCAACCAATAATATAAAGGCCTCATGCTGCAGCCACGCTGTAGGTTCGTAGACCAAAGATCGATGCATGCAAGACGCACCGTACAGCTGAAATCTATTTCCGTTTACCGAAGACCTTGCAGCATGGATCGAGATCTCTATGTCAAAAAGTGGCCCAAGTTAAATATAGATCAGAAGCGGGGAATTCTACCCGCACAACTAAGCTAAGTTGTCGACCTCTAATTTCTAGTATACGCACGTGAAAGAGGTGAACATGCATGGTGGTTTCAATAGCGAACTATGGGGTCAGATCTGCCAAAGATTTACGAATTGGATCTTAACCGGTTTTGTGATACCGTTTCAACTAGTATGCTTTTATTTTGGATTGATACTAGACAAGAACTTGTGCGATTGAAATGCATACATGTATACATTATAGTACAGTATCAATTGATCGGAGGTCGTTGGAAAACCCTTATCCTTTATCCAAAGATGATGTGTAAATGGGCAATAAATGGCATCTGCTATATCTTAAGTACGCACATGAAAACGGGGGCTATAGTGGTCTCGTTCCCAGTGGATGTATAATCTTCAATATCGAGGAGTACTCGAGTCCTTAATCGCCAAATCCACATCAGATCAATTCCGCAAGCGTCGGCTGGCCGGATAGTTCTCTAGGTTGCTCATAATCCGCAGGTAGCTCCCTATGATAACCTTCTCGACCGGCATCTGGCAGTTCGGACCTCTTATGACCTGGGTCCAGTTCAAACTTCTCATGCCCACCTAGCTCCTCCATTGGCACTGGCGGTATCTCAGGTAGCTGCTGATGTTTCTTTTTCCACAATACGAATAATATGTACCCAATCACCCCTAAAACAGCTATCCCACCCACTAGCCCCCCAGCAATAGCCGCTATAGGCACCTTATTATTTTCATCCTCAGGTTCGTGTTCGTCGCTACTTTCTGAAGGAGGCTCTTCCTCGGTTACATTACCTATGGGCCCGCGCCCGACATTGTCTTTTTCTAGTGTGGCTTTAATTCCACCTTTCTCAATTTTCACAATATTACTATTCGCAACTCTCTGCTTCGCCTTTGCGACGCTCGTCTGATTGTTTTGATAGTCTACCCACACATACGCGACCCTCATAAATGGGATTCCCAGATACATGGCTGCAGCATTCTCAGGAATAAACTCCCCGTCATCTTCCAAGGTGTCTAGAAAAACTTTACATCCTAGATCTTCTTGCGCCCCGACTCTTTCCTCGATTCTCCCAATTAAGTCCTTTGCTGTAAGTGTGATATTGACACGATCATCAAACTCGAAATCAAGAGAAAAGTTTAACTTTTCAGCGGTTTCGCAGTTGACATACCATTCTAAACCAGAGGAAGTCGCGTTCAGAGCTAACAATACCGAGTTTCGGAGTCTGTCAGGAAATCGAATATTCGAGTCTCCAATTAAAATCGTTGTCCTGAGATTTTCGAGCACAACGGGCTGATTGTCGCCCGGAGATTTAGAGAGGCTAACTTTCCGAGTATTGAACCTTCCTACCTCTCGTTGGGTTTTCTGAGTATATGTAACTATGGGGGCCTCGTACTTTTCCGTATCTACGCCCCCAAGTGTTATCTGACTCGAATTAGTTTCTAGAATCAATTAGCCCTTGTTAGATTTCAACATATATGACTCGTTCTGATATATATTATCATGTATCCAAGTGGAATACGCGGATGACCTACCGTATGCATCATAATACATAGCAAATCCCATTACCTCAATTCGCTGTGCATCGTAAACAGCCTGTAAAGTCCCCAGTGACTTAATTTCAAGTCTCAAGTCATCCGTGCCATCCGGGGATCCTTCCGTGACCCCAAAACTTCCAGGAGATGCACCGAGTCCCAGTGGCGGGACATCGGAAAAGACCACTGCGGCCATGAAAGGAAAACTTCCTATCCGAATACCCCCAACGGAAAGCGTATCATAGGCCATTTCGCCGTTCACATCGACTCGAGTATTGATCGCCCCGATGATATCGATCGGCTCGCTCGTCGTTGATAGAGATGGATTGTCTAATAAAAGTTTTTAATTGTTTTTATTAGTTATGTTATTCACCTTGGTAAATAGTATATCGGGACCATGGTTATGCTTTACAGGCTCCATAAGACTGGATAATATCGCAATCTAGCGATCCGGTGCAACTATGATCACTGATGGCCCAGGACGAAGGTACCCACGTCAAACCCCCTCCTTTAAGCTGAACTGTGACCTCCTGTAATGGAACTCCTAGATAATTTAATTTGGATGTTGGTCAGCTACTTAAATTTCCTTTCCCCTTGTCAATACTACATGGTATGTAATAAATATCTGGCTAGGGAAAATTGAAAATATATTATAGCGGTTACATCCGTGGGTTTCGATCGAATCCTTCAAGTATCGATTACAATCGGAAGCTAGTGAGTGAGAAAGCTAGGCCTACCGATTGATATATTAACAAAGAGGCCATAGGAATCGCTGCCATACAGCTTCTGGAGTTGAAGATATGAACCACGTTAGTATCCCGATGTCAAGTCCATACTTAAAGTATAGATATTTACTTTTATAACTCTTAACCACCTAGCCAATGATATGAAAATTTACCAACCTGAAATTTGAGATTATCAAGAATAACGACTCCTTCCTGTATCGGAGTTTGCCTTTCGGTAACTATTGCGATTGCGCCCGTGATTGTTGCTTGGAACCAAAGCAGCGTGGCTAACTTTCGAAGACGAATCCGCCATCCAGCCTTGTTTACGGTGTATCGATCTGGTCCGAGCACCATAGCATAGAAAACCTCGCGCAAAATGTTGATGCCCAAATATGTTGCATGTACTCGGGTCAATTTTGGTAGGATCGCTTGAAAAACTTTATGAATCTACTAATGCTAGTGGGGAGGAAGTCTGAAATATATAAATAGTTCGCTCAGATCTCATAACCCTTCTCTTTGGTATTAGCCCGAGCAATTCAAATTATAGAAAGCAAATTCGAATGGGAGTGTTTTCTTAAGATCTTGGCCGTATCGAAAATGAGGATATATCAGTATTAATCCTGCATACCAGCGGCACAGTAACCAGGGCATGTTTGCTCAAAGTCAAGACTGCAGAATCTGTAACAATAGGCGGCTCAAATATTGCAAATAATAGCCTTTATCCTTGAAATTACGTTCAGGGACCAGTCTATTGTTCTCGTGACTGCAGATGTGAGATCCGAGGCCTACAGGGAGTGAACGCCGATAATGTATTTGGTTTTATTAGTCGAAGGTAGGCGTCGGGGCTGGGCCTTATTAGTTTGAGTATATAGCTGATAATCATATTTAAGCAAATCATGATATCAATGGTATACATCCTTGCCTCGTCGCCAGACTCCTCAATGGTATCCTAGATCAATTTATCAAGGCTCCAGAAGTCAAAATCTCACAAGGGCTTGCGAATTAATGTAAGCGCTTCAGCTACGCCGGTGTAACGAAGGGTAGGTTGTATATGGTTTGAGAGGCTGGATCCATGGAAAACGTTAAAACTCGCCAGTTGTCAATACCATATGTATGATCTATATGGACTGAGTAAATAAAAAATTAAATAAAAATAAAAAATACAGACTTGAATATGTAATTAAATTCGATCGTTCACAGTGAGTATGCCTAAAGAGTTAGGGGGCTCGTTGGGTTTTGTTCCGCCTGAATTTACCCTCGTGGCGTCGCGTCGCCACATAGATCACTACCTTATGCTCCGAGGGTTTGAGTATTTCAGAATGTTGTGTAATTGATAACATATACGTCGTTTGTCGAACGCTGCTAGGTAAGTTAGGTAGTAAGTACTAGGTACCTAGTAGCGAGCACAACTAACAAAAGTGCGTTCATTCAAACTACCACGCTAATGCCGGTACCAGCTAACTAGCTCACATCTCGAGTCTATCTATCGCTATCCCTAGCCCAATACATACGTATGTATTGCCTCTGAACCACAAAACTTGCACGGCCCCGGAATTGAAAAAGGTTCGGGAGAAAAGACCTAAACCTATAGATATAAAGATGATGGTTCACGTTAGAACCCGAGAGACAGTCGACACCGTCATCGGCTTGCTATCCACAAAGCTCCCGGTAGAGCTGGCCTTGGACATCATCGAGCTAGCAGAATATTACCCTTATTCAATCATCGGATCACGATCAGGAACCTCCAATTGCTACTTCTATCTAAGCAAGGGAACGAAAACGTATTTAATCGTCCAAATCCCATCTCTCGATTCAATAAATAGCGGGGAAGGAGATATCCAACAAAACGCTGGAGAACAACAACGCGAACCGAGAAAACGGGTGGTCCGGAAGATTGTCTTTAGAACTTCAAGTCACGATCAAGGATATGGCGGCGAAGCTGGATGTCAGGGCACTTATAGAGGTGCATTTAGTTGGTTGAGTGCGGACATTTGGCGGAGGAAGACGGAAAACTATAAAAAAGATATGGAAGCCGCTGTTGCGAGCGAAGCAAAGATTATCGAGGCAAACGGCGGGGATATTGATGATGAAGGAGAATATCACCACTGGTGCATGCATCATGGATATACTAAAATTGGAGAAGAAGAGGATCAAGATGAGAGTGATGACGAATATTCCGAACCAGATCCTTCCCCAGAGCAGCCTTATGACGGCGAACAACAAGAAGAAGAAGAAAAGACGCTGGAGGCCGGACAACCGTTCCTACAGGGGGTTCGAAAAGCAAAGCAAGGTTATTATAAAGTCGGGAGCTGGGTAATTCAAAGGAATGTGTGTGCAAAACCTATTTGGACGGATCATGAAATTGTTTGGGATGCTACGGTAGATGGCCCCGGACCAAACGTAGAACTCTGGGAGAGCCAGGATGGGTATAAAGATGAAAATGGACAACTGATGGCTACAGGATGGCTGAAAAATGGGAGAGTAAACAACAGTATTTTTGTAAAGGAGTTAAGGGAAGGAGATGAAGTGAGGGTTATGTTGCAGGCTCAATTTGGGGGTTGGAGCTGCACTGCGTCCCGCTGCGAGGTTGAGTGCTGGTGGAATCTTTGATACCTCTGGCCCGAATAGCTCGATTTTGAACGGTTATCTGTTATATTAATTTAAAATTAAACATTGAAAAATATACAATAAAACCTTTAATTTTGAAGGCTATTTTCAGTGGTTTTGATTCGAATTCGAATGAGTATTGAATTGAAACGTTCGAAACTTAACTGAAGCTTGGATTCATATATATTCACCTGTGAGCCCGGTTGTAATTTGGCTGCAGGTTTTTCACCGCAATAAAGTGTATGTACCCAAAAGACCCCTGGCTTCAGCTGAATCATCCGGTACCGTGGCCTAATGGCAAGGCATCGCTTTCCGGTGGCGGAGATTGCGCGTTCGAGTCGCGTCGGTATCGATTCATTCTTTTTGCACTTTTTGCACTTTTTTGCAACACTTCTTTTCAGACATTTGTTTCTATCTTGTTTTGGAATCCTTCTGAGACATACCTTCTATTTTTGAATTTGTGGAAGTTTCGGCGCAAGCCCCACCATAAATTTAAAATGGCGATTGGGTTTGCACGGGATCTGGCCGAGCAGTAAGTGGAGAGTCTGGTTTACGGGGTTGGAATCTGTATGAAATTCACACAAAAACTACGATTGATTGAATACACTATGATACAATTGATATGGATACTCGAACTGGTTGGATGCTTGGGCTATTGGAGATGTAGGCGCATCTATTAAATAATGTGTGTTTGGTGTATTCTACCGTAGGGGATCTTGAATCCAATGCTCCATGACTGCAATGCTCGAAACTATTTAGAGTGTATGAGTCTGTCATCTTCACTGTCTCAAATCCGCAAGTTCACTTTGCCCAGAAGCTTCGTCTCTTTCAACCTTGGCCTTCTGCATCTTGATTTCTTCTCTGAACTCCTTCAATGCTCTGATTTCCGTATTGAAGAAGCAGAATCCCATGATTCCGTCTAATGTACTTCCGATTCCCCAAAGCCATGTTGCAACCCAGAGAGCAAGTGCCGCAGCCCTAGGCATCCACCAACTACCGATGATAATACCGATAGTGGCGAATATCTGAATAAAGAAATGCGCCATTCTCCAAAATCGTTGTTTTTCCTCCCGCTTTTCATAAGTATCGACCAGTTCGAGGATATCGTCGTATAGATCCTTAGGGAACGCTGGGAACGAAATCTTCTCTGGTGGTGTTAGTTTGATTGTGACGTCAATTCCAAAGTGGTCGGATGGCGAGCATTTTAGATCGGGCAGTTTTTCCATAAAACACACTTTGGCCGCTGTAGCGGATGTTGTGAGAGGAGAGTGGAAGATGTAGTCTAGACGTTTCGCCCATGGGTCGAGGTTCTTCGGGTTAGGGGGTGGATCTGGACGCCAGGTGTTCAAGGCCGAATCGCAAGTCAAGCCCATCACTTGGGTGTTATGCTCCGGGGTCGATGTGGGTGGGGATATCGCGGGTGTGTCCGGGAATACGGAAAGCCAGGAATCAGCCATGTGGCCGTAAGAGCGAAGGAGTTTGTGAGCGAAGGAATCGGGAATCATGTTGAAGTCGCCAAGCTAGATTTTAATATTAGCTTGAAGCAAAAAGAAGGTGGCGTTTGTAGACATATCCTACCGCCAGTGTGATATGGCCCTTCTGAACAGATCCTCTGAGCAACTTGGATATTTCCCATGCTTGGGCTGTTCTATGGCAGAGGTACGAGTCGTTTGGTTCTGCCTCGTATGGGGCGTGAAGCTATTCACAAGCTAGCATCAGCAAAAAAGGTATCCACTTAGAACCTCCGAATATGGTAATCCCTCACGTGTGTGCAAAAGACTTCGATATAATGTCCGCTCTCGTGCTTGATCATCGCAGAAGCAACCCCCTTCCCAACAAAGAAGTCACCTCTAAAGAACGCCGTCGGCCGCCCGTTCAACGGGTATCTAAACATCGAACTTTGTTCAATTGGCCATTTCGACATAATGACCAATCCCGCACCGATCGAGCCTCCAAAGTAGAATTTTCCATAAGGAAGGAGTTCCTTGGTCTTTTCGCGGATAACCTTGTAGTCGTCGTAAGACCAACATTCCTGGAGACCAACTATCTCCCAATCGGACTTTGCAATCACGTCGCCAATGTAGGCCATGCGACGGGCACGGTGCTTGGAGAGGTATCGGAGGCCCCAGCAATTTAGCGAGAGGACACGGATAGAATCCGCTGTGACGGCGGTGTTGACAGACATCTTTTCAGAGAATACGCTGTCAGCCATGATGTTTCCGTTTGTTTTTACACGATAAAGCCCGCAAAAAAGGGTCAATGAGTGGATAGGGCGGAATGTAATCGATAAGATGAAAATCTCGATCAATCGGGAACCTGGAGGCACCTACCTTTTCTTAAGCTTTATATCCCGCTGCTCTTTCTGAATCAACTTCTAGACTAACGAAGTACTCGGCAGCATGTGCTCATGCAAGTTTTTGGGGGCATAAGAACGTAAAAATAGAGATAAAAAAAGCCCGGCGGAGAAAGAGCAGTTACGAAAGAATACGACAGAGCTGAAGTTCCACGATTGGAAATTTGAATGAGAGAAGAGATTCGATTCTACGGGCAGCTGCCCCGACGAGAACACACAGATTAAAACCCAGACGAGGAATCCAAGGCTGGAAGAGGGCCAGCAAGTTGCATCATGCATGTCTCGCTTCCACCAAAGCCGGCCAGAAAGAGCCAATGGACGGGGTTTGTGTTGTGGGGGAGGTTCAGATGTCTTGTTGGAAAAAGCAATGTTGCACAAAAACTCTCGCCTGGCTGAGACATTGTTCTTCGATTCTGGAAGACGTCCAAGACAGTTGCAATTGCATTGCGCGGCGATCGGTTGATTTCAATGTTAACATTAACGATCTTTCTCTAAGCTCTATCTTTCTATCGTCATGCAATAAGTACCGATGTATCTTCAAACGCCGGTTCCACGTCCCGGTGTATGCATCTGAGACAACGTGGCGGTGATAGTGGGTGCCTGATATAGATGTCACGTCCATTGTCATGTCAGCGCCACGCACGGTCTAGATACCCCAAGTGGACTCGTGTTCATGCACCATTCCTAGTATATTCGATGCCTTGTTCAGCGAATTTCTTCAATCGAGATCATATACATTAATTATGGTACATGTATGTGCATTTTATTTAGTTTACACAGCTGATAAATTAATATAATCATGGCGGTGAAATCAAGTTAGAACGCTCTATCACGCATCACCTGTATACCGGATTTAATTAAAACCATTAACGCCCTTCTCGAACTTGTCAAACAAATCCAATGGAAACTTGTCCGCGATATATTGGTACCCTGCCAAACTAGGATGTAATTGATCCCCACTATCATACGGTGGGTTCAATTGAGTCGCGTTCTTAGGGTCCCTAAGGAAGGCATCAAAGTCGATAACGGCATCAAAAACCTTCCCCTTCGACTTCCTAATCCAATCATTGATCCTTAGTCTAGTATTCTCCCTTTCCGGTGCCGAATAAGGCTGCAGGCTTGGGTTAGGGGAGCCGAATGGTGTAATTGTTGCCGCGAAGATTGGCAGTTTAAAGGCATGAACTCTGGTTGCAATCTGTTGGAAGGCGAGAACAAGGCGTTGGTATACAACTTCTTGAGCCTCCTTTGTGGCCGGTGCGGTTCCGATATCGTTGACACCTTCGAAAATCATGACGTATTTTGTACCGGGCTGGGCTAGAACGTCACGTTCGATTCTCCCTTGAGCGTTTGGTCCAAGTCCGTCGTTGAGGATTCGGTTACCACCAGCTGCTTGATTGATAACAGAAATTTGGCGGGTAAAGTGCTTCTTCTGCATGTTTCTCAACAGAAGATCGGGCCATCTACATAATTACTGTATTAGTATGTAATTTCCTCCGGACTAAAAGTTGGTGTTAACGTGTTTCGAAAGAAGGCATGACTGACCTGTTGTTACCGTTAGTTGTGCTACCTCTGCCATCCGTAATGCTATCTCCGACAATGACGAAAGCACCCTTTCCTCCATTAACCCATCCCTCAACTGCACTGAGGAAGTACCAATGGGCTGTATTAGCAGCATCTGGAGCATTGAAGCTTGGCGCATTGACCTGGTTCCCAGATGTGATCCAAGAAGTGGTTCTGGATCCTGGGTGTGAAGTGACCGCAAACCCAGCTTGACCCTTCTCGAGATAGATAGTCACAGCAATGTTTTGGAGAACGTCGAACTTGAAATCAATGGGGTCTGATACAACGAGACCGCCATTCGGAACAATGATAGAGGAACTACCACTGAAGGTGACCTGTTTCAAAGTTTTGGTTTGAATTTCGGAAATTCCTGCAGTATTATTGACTGGGAGCGCAACCGTGACCGCAGTAATCGGGAGGTCGTTTACGCCGAAGGCATTGGAAATGCGAATACGGATTTGTTCGGCGCCGAGGGACATGAAAAGAGTTTGGCGGATTGTGGCGTTGACAAAGACCCCTGCTGTTCCGTTCTAGTGGCCGTTAGGCTATTTATCAATTTTAAAACTCCATTAAAAGGCGTTTTATTGTATGATAACTTACGTATGGGGCTGGAGGAAGGTTTCCAGGTTCTGTCAATTGCGGCATAGAAGCCCAGGTATTAACCCAATGGCCATTGTGAACTCGTTTCTCGAGTGAAGCGGCGCTAGCGCTCAGGACTGTAGCTGCAAGAGCTACAAGGGTATTAAGAAACAACATGGTAAATGGTTGTTAATCGTTGCCCTCGAGTCTGGATCTATGAATCGATCGGATGGCCCTGCGGACTTGCTTGAGATCTGAAGTAGAATCGAAACCTATTCGACACAAATCATGGCATATGCGCGCGTATTGATCTGAGTATTTATAGTACAGCTTGATCTTTGAGCTCCGGCCATGAATTGCGCAACTTTTCGTCAGGAATTCGAATTATTCTACGAGGTATACCGGTACGCATGGTGCTTGTTTTGCCGTGGCATCACTTTAGCCTGGAGGATAGGGATGATCCTTCCTTCTCACCGAAGTCTATTGTTATCATAGTTGATGAATGGGCTGTATTTTCTCGAGCTAATATAGCTAATCCTTGAGGTCCGTTGAAGTTAAACCAAGGAATTCAGGCTAAGTACCATGGCATTTATAAATCTGGGGAAAAATACATAGTTATGCAAGGTCTGCGGGTATCAATTCTTGATCGATTGCCCGGCTGAATTGAACGTCAATCGTAAAACAAAATGTAACCACAAGGAGAATTTAAATAATCCACCATTCACATCAGCATCGGATCTCGGCTGTCTACGACGGATAACTGAATGGATATCCTGGCGAGAATCGTAGGCTCAAATCTGGGTGAAATCGGATAAACTGGAAGGCATCCTGCATCGTTCCGTCAGAACCGACGGGCTAAAAAAAATGCAACATCTGACAACGCACAACAATGATGCATGTTCGTTGCGCCGTGGTGTGAGGGTGTCATCATTTTTGGAAATAAATTGTTAAACGAAAAAGTTTTGCGAGTTTAGATCTTCAGGGATTCGTTCCCACATCATGCAAGCTGGATTTGATAGGTTTTCTACCATACCAACATGTAGTTGGGCCGAGGAACTAGAACTATAGCGTTAAAATTGCACATTGTGTTGGGTTTTCCCTGCGGTCCTGCAGTTACACCGCATGCATGGTTGGTTCCACAAGGCTGCTTCGGCCTCATGTATCGACTGCCGGACTTATGCAAATGCGAATTGATATTGCAATTGATATATTATAACTACACGTTGGATACCATCCCGCTTCCGCCTGTGCAGTTGCAGCATCTCATGTCGGCTTAGCTTTAAATCACCAGTCCTTATCACATGGATCTCAAGGGTATCACGACTTTTCGCCTGCCATCTTGGGCCAAAGGTTCCTTCCCCTTACCGCTCTAAACTTCATCCAGCTCAACACCCTGAAAATCACTCTTTAGAGGCCTGGTGGCGGTTTTCCGAGGTTCCCTTTGCAGCCATACTCCGAAAATCACCATGGTGATACGGTCTCTTTTGTTGTGAAATATATCAACCCTCCTTGAGCGTTCCTACGGTCGGTTTTGAGGCTCCGATAAACTAAATTAAAGTACCGGTACCGGCGTTAGAACCCTGGGCTAGATCTATCGATATACTATATTGCGGGGGAAATTAAGATACATCTTAGCTTTGTACCATTGACAAGCTTTCGATAGCTATCGATATGTCATTGCAATCATTGAAACTTGTTTCGCGGCCATGGCATCATTGGCATTATTCACCCCTGCGGCAATCTCTCGGATATTTATTAATGCGACGCGAAATATCAGACATACCAAACCGGGTCGGGAAGGTTTCTTTGGGCCTGTCGCTACAATACATCTGCCTGCGCGCCAAACCCTTAGATTGACATTAGTCGACTGCATAGATCAGTCCGGCCCGTTCAGAGACATGCAACAAGGATTTGTATCGCCTTCCTTTCTCATAACTTCAAAAGCTTATGTTGATATTCTGAGGAATCCCAATACCCCTCCGAAATCGCAGATTATGGCTTTCCGGATAGAGGGACCCGCCCGTTCCAGCGGTCACTATCTGATAACGCCTTCGATCGTAGGAAGGTGCTATATCTTGATAGAAAGGAGAATGACTTGATTTAATCGTATTCTCAGAGCCTAAGGCTTGGGTTATGGCGATCCACAATTGTTATAAGTAGGCGCTCGTTCGCCCAGATATTTATTTTCTAATAGACAGCCGCAATTCTATCGATTATTCTTGAAGGCTTGTTTTAACTAGCCTCATTTCTAGAATTCTTAGGAACTCCAGGATTATTGTTGTTCACAATGGCGTCGTTCAAGTCTGTTGCTTTGCTGGCGTTGGCTGCCGCTGGCGTCAGTGGTTCCCCGGTGCCCACCCGTACCACGGGTGAAGCCGCCTGTGCCGAGATTGCTTCTATGCAAAAGGCGTACAAGGAGGCCTATGCGGCCGCAAACCCAAGTGCCACCTGTAAGTTTATTCAGAGTTCCCCTTCATTGATCCTTTCGTCGATCCCTCGGTACTAATTAAGGATGCATAGACACCCCGATGATGACTGCTCCAGTTGCGCTGGCTACGGAATGTCTCTTCTCTGTTCCAATCGACCGCAAGGTTGCCCTAGAGCAACTTACTGGAATCCAACGCTATGTTCAGTTCCAGAGTACTCTTGGTTACCTGAAGAACCCACCAAAGGAGGATAGCTTCCAAGCCCCCAACCCACTCGACTTGGTTACACAAATCAACGAACTTTCCCACAAGGTTCGAGCAAAGGAAATCACCAAAGAGTATGACTTCGAACTTAAACTTCGAACCATCTTCGCATCCGCCAACGATGGTCATCTCACTGGTACTATGGGTGGTCTTTTGGCTATTCAATTCAACTCCCCATTTGATATCGTATCTGTCTCCAAGGACGGGCTTGCTTTGCCAGAAATCTACCAAGCCGTTGTCAAGAATGGAAAGATGGAGCCAGTTGGTTCTCCAATCATCACCATTGACGGACAAAATGTGACCGAGTACCTCAACAAGATTGCTTTTGGAACGGGTCTCCAGAGCCCTGATGCTCGATTCAACGGTCTTTTCCCATCTCGTGGTCTCCAGGGACAGGTTCTCAACGATGGTTTCTTCAGGAATCGAAGACGTTACCCTGGAAGCGACGGGTTTTCTGTCAGATTCGCCAACGGTACTACTAGAGATTATGAATACTACGCTACCGTTGCTGGAAACTTCGATACCGTCACTAGTGCAGGCACTTTCTATGAGGCCTTCGTTAAGAAAGGACAGATGTTGGCTTCCAAGCCAAATCCTCGATGCGGAAAGGATGGTGACATCTCCAGCCAAAGATACCAAGCCCGCATTGGTAAACGTTCTAGCGTTTGGAAGTATGCTGGTCCACAAAGTGGCCCACAATCCGAATTGAAGCCAGACGTCACCGATGGAAAGGGAGGAATCTTCGCTGGGTACTTCCTTAAGAGCGAAACTGCTGTTCTTCAACTCACCTCCTTCGCCCCAGAATGTTGGTCTGATGTTCCCCAAACCATCAAGGCTATCTCCAACTTCCTGAAAATGTGCAGAAAGAGAAATGCCAAGAAGCTCATTATCGATATCACCAACAATGGCGGTGGATACATCATGTTGGGCTACGACTTGTTCTTGCAACTGTTCCCACAGACTGTTCCATACAGTGGACAGCGTAACCGCGCCAACCCCGGTGGTCTCGTTGAAGCTCGTGCATTCGACTACATCACCTTCGAGATGTTCGAAAAGCTCGTAAACCACAATAGCACCCTATCCTCCTTGGCATTCGCTGCTACCTGGTCCAACTGGGCTCACTCCGTCATCCTCAATGACGACTACGAGAAATTCAAGGACGTCAATGAATTGATCGGCCACAGCAAGATCAACAAGGACAGATACTCTTCGCTTTGGCGATTCAATATCTTTGAGCCAATCTTCGGTCTCGGAGTTCACGACTACACTAAGGATAACCTCACCCCACCATTCGAGCCTGAGAACATCATCTTACTCACCGATGGACAGTGCTCTTCTACTTGCTCCACTTTCTCTGAGTTCATGCAAACACTGAAGGGCGTCAAGTCCGTCTCCGTTGGTGGTATTCCAACTCCCGGCCGTGGCATGCCACTCGTCGGTGGTGTCCGTGGTAGCGAAATTCTTTCTTTCAGGAACCTCCTTGATGCCGCCGACGCCGTTAGCGTCTTGAGGCCTACTAAAGATGAAGTTGAACTTGCCAGACGCAGGCGAGATCTCCCACAGAAATTGCCATTGCCAATCAGCGGTAATGTTAACTCTTTGGACAATGTTAGGAAGGGACATGATGCTCCCCTCCAGTTCATCGAGGAACCTGCTACTTGCAGAATGTTCTACACTAAGGAGACTTTGGCAGATATCGGAGCTTTGTGGAACTCCGTTGATGATGCAGCTTTTGGAAGTGGAAAGGGCTGTGCTGTTGGAAGTTTGAAGAACTAAGGGAGGTGGATGAGATAATGATAAGGAAGGTTGATATGATGATGTTGTTTAAGAGGAGGACAATACCCCTGATACCCATGTCGTTTCTTTCTATAGCTGGTAGATAGATAATGTTTATAGCTAAAAAGCTTATTGTATATAGGATGATCTGTTTCTTACAGTACACATATGTCTGAGTGCAGAGTATCTGCTGCAATTCTGTGTAAATATTTAGCCAATCTTTTATTTGAGTACAAGGAAAACCTTTAACTACTAAAGACTCTATCGTGACTGCTCAGCATCGTAAAAGTTGGACCCTTGACAAGCCAAACTTAACAGTTATCTCGTAAACTAAATGCCTGCTGCGGAGGGGTAATAGCAGACCCTCACTCTTGAGGCAGGGGAAAATATAACTTTTGTCTAGATCCACAAAGATCCGTGACCGTGAATGCAGGAAGCCGAGATTAGAAGCTCATTACCTAAACTGACTAGGCACTGAATCCATAACAGAAGGTTCTGATGGTGATATTTCTGAAAATCCCGAGGATTCGGGTAAATTTCAACCCGGGGTCTGGCGTTATCAGGGGAAACAGCCTTGACTTAGTCAAGTAAAGTCAGGGCACAAAATCCTAGATATCTTAGATACAGACCTACCGGATTCGAGGATGCCTTGGCCGGCGGGGGTGAAGGCTGAACCGGGTATGTGGATATTTAAAGTAGGTACATAGATAACACATGCCTGGTTCCAATCCATGCACGGCAAGGACTAAAGGAGAAGCTATAAAATGGGCTCGTATTGAATCATAGCGTCACGTCAGTCTACCCGGGAAGGATTAATACTAGCCCCAGATTAATTTGGGTTTAAGGTCTACAGGTCTTGTGCAACTAGGCACTAGTTAATCGATAGTCCCCGCCCATACAGTGTACTAGCACTAGCCGAAATTTAAATCTAGAGATTGGTCTATCCACTGCACCTGAGTAGATCTAGGAGATACCCCGAAACAACATTTCACTGACTGAAGATGGACCTGTGGATTGCGCACGCGCGCATGCGGGGACAGATCGATGACGACCAAAAAAAAAGGTTGGGAAATTTGTCATATCGAATAAGAAACGAATGCTAAATCTGAAGAATGATGGTTAAATCAATATTCGGTCGGCAATATCAGTGCCTTGTCTCGACACACACCTCTTTTTTGGTGGCTGACCCGGCGTCTGGCTTCGAGACTAGTCTCGACTTTTCAAGGCTGGACTGTGCTTAAACAACGCAAAGATTAAATAGTAAGTATCTGCTAACATTCGAATTCAATGGCAGTGGGGGCCTAGACTGGTACCTTCTACGTACGCGTACTGGACCAGGAATATCTTGCACGAGTGTTTTTAAATGGCCGGAATAATCCCAATTCAACCTGATGTAGGCCTTCGATGATTTGCGACCACTACAATCTAATTCGAGCTTTCGCCGGCCTATCGTGTACGATCGTATCCTAGCTATCACTAGTACGTACTGCGTGGATTCATGTATGAACCTTTCTTTTTTTAAAAAAAACTACGTTCTAAGCTGAGCTAACTTTCCTGGCGACTTATTTTCAGTTTAAATTGGAGTTTAATTCAATTGAAAATGATTTCGATTAAACGTATTTCCCCTCTTGTTCTATAGGTCTGATTGGCGTTTGTTTAACTGCTCCCGGGATCCCGTCGCCGAGCCTGAAATTGACTACCTTAGTATCCTAAAGCCCGGCGAGGGACTCCTATCTCCTCGAGTCTTAAGAATGATCGATTAATAAACACCTTAATAAGTCTACTCCACGCGGCGTATTTACAAGCAATGGTATATACAGTCCCTGTGGATCCTGGCGCTAGGAAATATATCTTGCCGTTACTATGTCATATGAGTGTATAACAAACGTTAAACTACACTTTTTCAATTACTATTTTTAACGTTTGCGCCAGCTATTCATCTTCGATTAGATTGGCACACTATCCTATGATCATGCTGATAACTGACCAAGGGGGCCCTGTGTAGCTCATAATTATAGCTGTGCACTGACCGGGCTGAAAATGCAACGACTGCTCTGTCTTCTTGGTATGTATAGCATCTTAAGGATTCAATCGGTGACTTAGATTATGCTTTATGTATATGACTTGAGTTAATATTATTACTTTTGTATCATTTGGATCTTGCTATTGAAGGCATGTGGACAGTTCTTGGTGACCAAGTAAGTTATTCGGAATTGACTTTCGACTCACAGTATTTGTAAGTTCCGTTTAGAGGAGGTACTACGATCATATGATAGAGTAGGAGCTTTGTTGGTACCGTATTGTAGACCTGGCGCATACTGAGGAGTCTTGTAGGATTTATAGATATTTGAAGGCTACTAGTACTAGATTCTATATGATTGGCTCTAGATCAGTGACCTACGGCTTGGTGCTCGGTGCGCTCAGTGCTTCTAGATCTAGTCCCATTTTCAAACGGGAAGAAAGGGAGGGAAAAGGAAAGAATAGAAGTCTGTCTAATGGTGCCTGTATAAATAAGTACTTACTAGGTCTGCGCGCGCAAATGGGAGCTCTATAAGCGGTGGGAATTGTTGTAGTTTTTGCGTTGTTCAACATTCAAGGGTCGCGTGCCAAGCCGAATCCATCGTGAACCTCAACATCTTACCGACGACCTTTACACCATGGATTCAACTGACACTAACGGCAGGTTGTCGCCGCCGTTCAAACGCCAAAGAACAGTGTCGCCGTCTCCACCATTCCTTGATCGCGAAATCTTCGAAGACGCGGTCGCTTCTAGGGTAGCATCGAGCGTCCCTTCACCTCCGACCTTGCCAGATGTGAATGCCCTGCGCAAACAGGGCTCCAGGCCGAACTACAGGTTAAAATACACACTTACAGGGCACAATGGAGGTGTATCCAGTGTCAAATTTAGTCCTGATGGGAAATGGATAGCTAGCGTTTGTACGTTGCATTGACTTGCGTTCTTTGGACATTTGCTGACGAAATTGAATAGCTGCGGACAAAAGTCTGCGAGTGTGGGATTCACGAACGGGGGAGCTCGAGCAAATTTTCGAAGCTCACACGGCTGGCGTATCCGACGTTGCATGGTCTCCGGACTCAAAAACTCTTGCGACGGGGTCTGATGATAAAACAATAAGGCTGTGGGAGCTCAAGTCGGTAAGTTAAACCAGTGTCTCTAATGGATAGTAGAACTGATGGGGTTACAGGGGCGAATGATTAGAATCTTGAAAGGCCACCATAATTACGTATACTGCCTCAATTTCAATCCGCAGGGTAACATGATTGTCAGTGGGTCATATGATGAAGCCGTTCGAATATGGGACATCCGATCAGGAAACTGCCAGAAGACCCTCCCGGCGCATCAGGATCCAGTCTCGGGGGTCGATTTCATACGCGATGGCACTATGATTGTGTCCTGCTCCCACGATAAACTGATACGGATATGGGATACGAATACCGGCCAATGCTTGAAGACATTAGTTGAAGAGGAACTCCCGCCGGTGAGCTGCGTTAGGTTCAGCCCAAATGGAAAGTATATTCTTGCCAGCACCCTAGATTCCAGCATAAGACTCTGGGATTATCTCCGGGATGGCGGCAAAGTATTGAAAACCTATCTGGGCCATGTCAACGCGAAGTATTCCATATTTTCAGCGTTTTCAAGAGATGGAAAGCTCATGTAGGTACTCCTGGGCCCACAAAACTTTATGATTTATAGGATCCTAATCCACCTGGCGTATCATTAGATTCTCCGGGTCTGAGGATTCGGCAATATACATTTGGGATGTACAAACGAAGGAAGTCCTCCAGGTCCTTCGAAGTCACGAGGATGTCGTCTTGGGCATTAGCGCTCACCCTAGCGAGAACTTATTGGTGTCTTCCAGTTTGGATGGCACAGTCAAGATCTGGGCAGATGAGGAAACTACCTGAATAGTTATTGGAATGGCAGGACAACCTCCGACAAGAACGGGTTCCTCGCGAAGTTTCCCTCCATGGGTTGGTCTGCTACGGTGATAGCCTCCGAATCTCTTTTGCAATAAAAGGTCCGAAGTGCTGGGTCTTATCCAAGGCAAAGCGTGAAGATACGTCCGCATACCTTGAACTGCGGGGAACTTAGCAAGCTATACTTGCACCCAAGAGGGTTTCGGTTACACTGGCGGGATATTCCGTCCAAATGAATGTCAGGATATCTTCCTGGAGTATTACTGTGACTAATCGCACTTTGGAATCGTATGCGCAGGACATTGTATTGACGTCACTAGTGGTGTTTTTCATGTCCCAGGGCTTTTGGTTTCAACCTGCCGTTTATCCTTTCAACTTGATCGGAACTGCCCGTAGAATAAGCTTTGGTGGTTGAGTTACATGTCGAATAAGGCACACACTGAATAAACTTTTGGCGTGAATGTCACATTAGGATAGACTTTCAGTCGCCACACACCCTGAGCCTCACGCCTTACAGTGTGCCCATCATAGAAACATGTGGCTTCCGAATCGCTGCGACAGGGTATCTTGGGAGCCTATAGGCGGGATCTCTGGACATTATACGACTAAGGATGTTCTAGAAATATAATCCCTTCAGTTCTATCTTCTCAAGTACCCTTTTCTTGCAGGATCGGTAACTTTCTCTTGAACTTCTTGAGCTCCAATATCCATATGAAGGATAACTCTAAAGAGTCCCTAGGAAGCGAACCAATTATTGGGCAGCGGGGTCTTAAACTCACTCAGTAATTGCTTGCGAATTGGTTGTCGTATCGTGAGCCCTGTCTCGAATAACCCCCCAAACCTAAATGAGAAACGAAACAACCTCACCACCACCCAACACAGAGTGTCGACCAGGAATTAAGACAAAACTTCTCCCAGAAACTTCCAAACTCATTCAGAGTCAAAAAAAAATGAATTGGCGAGTAATGTGGGACTGTTACTTTTTACTTAGCATGTGGTCACGATGGCTTATATTTTGGACCGGGGCCCCTCGCCCCAGGGTACCATAGCATTACTCATACCTATATTCTTTCTCGCATCAAATCCGACATCGTGAGAGTCTTCGGCAGGTTCAAAGACCATTTTATATTAGTCTAATTCGCCTCAAAGCCAAGAGGAAGGGTTAGAATTTGGCCGTATATATATCGCAGCTTTGACCCATCCATCGAGCGAAAAAAAAAGTTTTCCAGAGTCAACGACAACAATATCTACACAGCAAGGTCTTCTATAACATCGAGACTTTCACTCTTTTTCTTTTATAGAGTATTGCGCAGAATTTTCAACAATGAGGGTTGGCGCTGCGCTGGCAATCCTTTTTGGATTGGCTGCCACCCCCTCTCTCGCAGCGGATCCGATCGACTGGGACAATATCGTCTTTGAATGGGTCACCGTAACAGTGACAGCAAGCACCTGCCATCCACATACAACTACGCTGTTATCGGCTTTTATACCGACAGCTGAATCCCAAAATACCTCTACCCCGACGGCTCCTACTGTTTTAGCGAGTTCCGTTACTCAAATACCGTATAATGCCCCCGCACAGATACTCGGGCAGCCAATTGTCCAAGAAATTGTAACTTCTGTCCCGCATCCAACAATACAAACCACATGGGAATCAACTGTGACATATGAATCGTCGCAATCAACGGTCCCTGTGGCGACTGCCACTCTTAGACCAGCCGTAGTATCGGATGCGAACTTAGCCAACCCGCAAAACCTACGGCCGAAGGTTGAACATGATCTGTATTACGCAGGTGACAGCAACTCTAGTATGTAAAATCTTCCTAGTTGCTTGTTTATCTGTGAAAGAAAGTTGCTAACCATCGCTAGACGCCAATGATGCCACAATGCCAATCGCGAATGTGAAGTTAAACTTCACCATGGCTGCTGTGAACCTTGAATCGTCGAAGATCGAATCTGTGACTTGTTCACCAAACCCTTCAGGTTCTGGAACGATTATGAAAATAGTCTTTAACGACAAAGAGGCATATCATGTAGCCATGACTACCTGGCCTAAGAACGATGACTTTCTTCTGATTGGGTATTTCCTGGGATGTGGGGCATACTCCTCTGGTGAAAGGTCCTTCAGCAAAGTCCATCAAGTCGTCTCGAACGGAGTTTTGACCATCACAGCCACTGTTGAGGATCTTTCCATAACTGAGGCTATAACTGAAGGTGAAATTAAATTCGGGAGCTTCAATTCTGGCATCGCCTCGCGGAGCGAGACGAACACTACTGCTCCTTACTATGGCGTTGGAGTTCCAAATGAGTGCCTAGGCGACAAAACCAATGACTTCGATGTTGAATTAGACAACAAACTCGGAGTTACCAAGGACCTTCCGTCTTTCGTTTCGAGGTTTAACGCCAAGAGGGCTATGCGAAGGCGCCGTGAGGCCTCTAGATTTTCACGAATTCGATCAGATGATGTTCCGAGCCATATCGAGAGAAGATGGAGTATCGGTGGATTCTTTGAGGATATTGGAAAGGTATGCCTCGCACTTTTGTCCACTTTTGATTAAGTACTAATATCAAATGATAGGCTATCGTTGACGTTGCCGAAAAGGTTGTGGATACTGTAAAAGACATTGCCGAGACAGCTTGGGACGGAATTAGTAGCGCTATGCAAAAAATTGGAAAAGAAATCATAGACGCTGGTAAAACAATTATCGGAACCGTAGCGGACTTTGACTATATTGATACTACGGCCTCGTGGGACACATTCCTGTCCAAAAAGACTAAGTTTCCGAAATCTGAAAAGATTGGCTCAAAATGGAATACTCCCTGGGGTTTACCAGGACACCTGCTCGGTGCAGATACCGAAACCGATTCCAGAATTTTCTGTGTCAATTGTGGCGTCAAAGGTGATATCAAACTCAACGGTCATCTTACTTTCAGCCTTAAGGATGGTTTGAAGGCGGCAACCTTCACCATGAACGGAACAATGAGCAGCAATCTTCAATTTGGGTTCTGGGCACAGGCCAAATTAGAGGTTAGCACCTCAACTGAGCTCTTCGATATTCCACTTGGCCCAATCACAGTACCTGGCCTTTTCGATATCGGTCCGCAGATCGTCGTCATGGCGGAGGCAAGTGCTAGCATCGCTACTGCTGGTATGATGACTGCTGGTTTCTCAATGAATTGGAATCCATACATGAAGGTTGATATGATCGACTGGACCACGGAAACAAAGGGATGGGAGCCTACCCTCCACCCCATGATTCAACTAGACGGCGAAATCGTCGCTACAGTTGGCATCGAAATGCCTATCATGCTTGGATTTGGTGTCAATCTTTTGAAAGGTTGGGTTCTGGAGCAGGTTGTAGTCTCAGAAACTCCCGGTGTTAGTTTGTCCGCAAGATATGCTGGTCAAGTCCGAGTCAATGATAAGGAGAAGTGGGCTGGAATTGATGGAGCTATTGATACAGACGATGGGTTTACTTGTCCCAATAAGATCGCATTGTTTTTGGACTTCACAAACTCGATTGACTTCGCTGTGACCGATGTCATGAAAAAGAACTTGGGTAAGGCCACGGTCCCTCTTTACAGACAGTGTCTCGGAGGAAATCCAAGTTCAAGCTCGACCTCGACCTCAACCTCGACTACAGCTACAGAGTCGACCGCAGAGTCGGCAACATCTGCGACATCCACAGAGACTTCTACTACAAGTATTGAAACTCCAAATCCATACCCTACACCAATCTTAGAGAAGCGTCAGGAACAATCCTTTACAACGTTAACCACCATGACGACTTTTACAACTACCGAAGACAATCCAAGTGGAACTACAACATATACCACTAGCTCCATTGTTACTTCCATAGTTCCCGTTGTTACTGCCTCAACCTCGACCCTATCGGAATTGGACGGTACCACAGTTACATTCACCGAAGCAAGCCCTACAACGAGCCAAGGCAGTGGCATAGATAGTTCTGATCTCACCGTCTTCCCAAATCATTCCAACACGACTACAACCAAGAGCAAAGAGACATCCACCTCTAGTAGCTCTAACAAAGTTAGCTTACAAACTACTAGGTCAACGGCGAGTTATGGGACTGGAACTTTGGTGACAGTGGTTTCTCAGGCTTCCTCTACTCTCGTCTCCTCTTCAGTTATTACAACAACCTCTACGTTCTCTACCACTCGTTTAGTCAGCAATGGAACAACAAGCTCTGGACCCGCTGAAGGGACTACCGCATCACCAGTTACCTCAACTGCGACATTTACTAGCGTTCCTTCAATCCAAAACACGACATCGGTGTATTCGAGAGGAAATAGTACTGCCACCACATTCTCATCCACTACTACTTCGACTTTGACTTCTGCTTCAACGGCACCGACGTCGGCACTAAACTTCCCTAAGGTGACCATCAAGGATGCCGCTGACGGACTCTTCCTCAACACTAACGCAGATGGAACATTATTCCTCTGCAATGGTAACTGCGGCTCCCCTGCAGAGTTCTACACCCGATCCTCCGTCGTTGTTGGAGACACTCACGATCGTGTTATTCACATCTATTCTCGAGAGTTGGAGACCTATGGTGTTAGCAGACTTCGCCTGCACAATCTTGACAAGCTGCCGAATACCTCTGTCATTGTTGGGTTGTACGAGTTCCAGCCGACTAAGGTTGTAGTGGTCTCTTCGGCACACCCTGATGTTTTCTTCTTGCCTGTGGCATGTAGAATTGAAGGACAACAGACTAAGATGTTTGTGGTGAAGGAGTTGGAAAGTGGTATCGAGACTTTGAAGAGATTAGGGTCGAGTATCGCAGGTGGCAAAGTTCTCGAGTGCTCAGTAAAGAATTTGGATCTTGTAACAGTTTGAAGATGAGAAAACTTATCCTCGTTTGTTCATATTTTAAGTTTTGAGTTTTGAATATTTGTTTTGCACTTTGAAGAATCCTTGCCATTATCTGCTCTTTTCCCATTTGAACCTATTTTCGAACGTTGATGACATGGAGCGAGCATCTTAAACACTCATGGTCATTTTATCATACTGTATATATACCTTTCAATCATAACGAATATCATATCAACCAATCCAATCGGCCAGACAATACGATTAATCGGGTTTAAGACAGTACTTGAAAGGACGTAGCTACGTAGCAGTTCCATTAAACCCAAAACTTTCATCCTCCCGCGAAATCATATACCACTCAAATCCCGCACTTTGCGGGGGCATACCATTCGACGAAGCAACTAGCTCAAACGGTGCAAATACCGCGCCCCCCATATACCATGGCCATTCTAATGACTGCAAACTTCCCACGCTATGAGCATGTGTCGACAATGAGTTCACCGGTCCTTAGCTTAGCCTCGAAGCTCGGATATTACACAACCCACGCGCAAGATGCCACGGACGAAAATACTAGGCACAAAGTTGCGTGCCGTAGCCTTATTGTTAGGCTGGGTTCCTTTCATAGATGCATACTATTTTGCCGCCGTAAAAAGTGACCCTACGATACCACAAGGCCTCCCAGTGTGGGGATGGCAGCCAGTTGGTGCAGCGGATGATATGGGATGTAAAGTTGGAGGCACTCAACAGCTAGGATGGGTAAGTACTAAATACTCTGAACCAATCCTACAAGTTTAAATCTTCATTCATTATAATGAAGAGAGATTAGCATACTGACAAAATATCTGGAAATCTAAAATCTGGAGTATAATAGCTTCAAGCATTTGGTGTCTTAAACCAACAAACCCCTCCTAATAACTGGCCAAACGGTAATGCCGAAGGTTTCATATTCTACTCCGACGAAAATTGTCACCTCGAACAATCCGAAAAAATACTTTATGTTAAATTCGACCCAAACTCTGTAAAGGCCCAGGTAGTGAACTTTCGGAACTTGCCGTGGGAACTCGATATCGAAACTACAATATCTCTCGCTGATAGTAAATACAAAAGTTATCGAGAAGTCAGAGCGAACGACGCAGATTTACAAAAATTCCTACCGGAACAAATTCAAGAAATGCCTACAACATACGTCTATGCTGCTACACCATACTTCGAAGAGGAAGGACGTATGATATGGGGAGGAGATGCCGTGGAAGGTGTTATCAGTCTAAACATCTCGCCACCACAGCAAGGAACGGCGCCTAATCCTCGAGCTACCGTTTTCGATGCCCTACTATCGTTGATGTCGGGTCTGGGGCAAGATTTAGGTAATCAACAACGGTTATTACTCTACGCGGATGATGCGATGCGGTCTTTAGGATTAGGGGTGATGCCACCCAATGTGGGAGTCTACAAAGCGTCACCGGTGTCGAAAGTATTGGATTTTAACACAATAAATATGAACCTGGCTCCTGATAATGCCAATAATAATTTTTTCAACCCCAATCAAGCACAGAACACGGGTATGAATATCGAGGAGCCGGTTCAGGAGGCTCAAGATATCATGCCTAGGATTAATCTCCCCCTTTACGGCGATACCGAGAACAACCAGCAAATTGAGACTAGAGGGAGAAGAATGCGATTCAACCATCCTTACTTCGAAGATTTGGAGGAAGGGTCAGAACTACAAGAGGAACAGATTCCTGAGGGAGAACCATTGAATCTAGCAAATTTCGAACCCCGTCAAGAATATTTTGACCCCATTGGGGTTATGCGCGATTTACTTGCTAGATGGCAGAATGTCCTACAGGAAAATGCAATTATTGAGGAAACAGCAGTACGGCGGTATAATCAAGATACGAGTCAAAACACAAGAGACAGGCTCAGAGAAGCCCTCCAGTTGATGGATAACGGAAGAGCATGGACTCAGAACGTGGAAGCAACTACACAAGCCTTGGTTGATGCGCAAAGACTTTACCTAGAGGACCTTCAAGAACTCGAGGAACAGCACAAGATAGAAGCAGGGTTATACCAAAGCGAGCTTGATGCGATCCAAGATGTCAAATCTGAATACGAGTCAAGTTTCGTCCCGTCCCAAGAACTCACCGCAAAATACGAAATGATTGGGGCCGCAATGAACCAGGCGCAAGAGTTGTACGAAGGTGCCGTCGATACTTTGGAGAGACAGCATCACCGATATTCGTGGGAGTACAGTCTGAATGAAAATGACTTTTATGAATACTACGTTAAAGTTTTCCGATACTTCCGAAGAATCGAAGTTCGGCTAAGGGTATTGAGAGACGAGCTTGGACTCGGACCTGACAGTCCGGTGGCTATTTATGGACTTCGAGGTGATGATGAGCTTCGAGATGATGATACTGGCGAGGTCTACCGACACCCTAGCAGTTACAATGAACAGATAGCGTTGCTCAATCTTGGTGGCATGGATGATTTTAACGTGGCACAGAATTACGAGGAAAGCAAGGAGCAGAGCGAAGAGGGAGAGGAGATAACTTTTCAACAGCAGCAGCAGGTTATAAACTCAAGTCCTGAGGAGAGCGGGGATATGAATTATACGGGAGGGACGAATGTCAACCCAGATGCAACGGATTTTGATCCTGATAGTTTGTTATAATTTATAATATTCGAGTATTTGGAATAAAAAGATTTTGGAGCTGTAATGAGTTTTTTTTACATGTGTTTAATCTTGTGAACGAAACGCTCCTTTTAATGTTTAGTAGTTCGGAGAGCTATATCCTAATTAAATGATGTATATGTATATCGTAAAGTTGAGATCTACTTAACTTGTCGTAAGTTCGACTTTATATCGGTTTTAATTTTATTCGCTCCTTGTAAAATCAATTTTAACTATCACTAGCTATAGACTATGAAAGCTGAATAAAAGACTTCGATATTCATGTAACATTGGGTAAAAATAGTACCTACCGCCAAGATGCTATTCATGTATCTCATCATCGTCGTGGAGGTGGGCGAACAAATCATCAGTAAAACGTTTTACTTCGGCAGCCGATATTCTAGTCTCGTTCGAGCAGCATAATTGAACCACCTTCTTAGCTGTTTCCGGCAATAAATTTAGTTCCTTTTCCGTGGGATCCCCAACATCTGGCATTTTACCGGCCCAAATTTCTAGTATAGTTTTCCCCATTGCATAGACCATACTGATTCCTAACTCTGGGTGTTGGTCTACGGATTCCCTTCTCTTGCTCGGATCATGATGCCCATGATGCCCTTGCCCCGCCATAGACTGTGGCCTAAATGCTGCCGAGCTCTTCGAATTCTCGAGGTCAATAATCTTCAGTTTTCCGGGGTTTATTGGCGATGGTTTGGTCGTGGTGCTACTCCTCCTTTCTAAGCGATTTCTTTCGATTGTTACCCTCGCGGTTGTAATATCGTCAGATGCCAAGATGTGATTTGTATATTGCTCCTCTGGGAGCCCATCAGCCGTATCCAAGACTATATTTTCGCATTTGAGGTCCCAGTGTTCGAAGCCTGCGGACTCTAACGCGGCAATAGCGTGAACGATCTGGCGGAACCAACAAATTTTGATTTCCTCCGGAATAATAGTGGTGTAACAGTGAGTCGATAGATCTCTCTGGGGGTGGTACGTGAACAAAGCTCCAATGAATTGGGTATTGACCTCCTCCAGTTCATCTTCTACCGCACTATCGGTAGCAGCGAGCTTTAAGGTATCGATTGTTTCTTCATCTTCGATGTCATGGATGTAAACCAACCCAACTATCTTTACAAGCCATTTCTCGAGCTCGGGTCCTTTAGCCACCAATCTCTTATAATTAGTGACTTCGAAGCTAAGACTAGATGCCTCTCTTGCGAAGTCTACAGCTTTATAAATGCATTTTGTTTGTGGTGCTTCCGATCCCGGTCTAGCTGGTGATTTCGCAATCCGGATATTTGGACGGATTTCCCTCGCCTCCAGAAACTTCAAGGAAGAGTAATGGATTTTGGGGACTTGAGGGTCGGATATGATAGCAGTATGCGAAATTGATGGGGGAGGAAGAGGATCGGACAAGGTATCACCAGTTAAAGCAAACCCGAACCGACGATGAGATGGTAGATTTGAAGTTGGATCCTGCTTGAACAGATTTACGAGATGGTCTGACAGTAAAACCGTAACCCTTTTCACGCACTCATGCTCAGAAGACAAGAAATTGTCTAGCACGAAGTTGGAATGCGAAGATGCATCCGAATTGTCATCACGGTGAAGGTCGAGATAGATGTGTTGAGGTGTTGCCGACGACGAATTAGAGAACCAGACCTCCAAGCGACTCAGCACGGTCGAAGCTGAGGGTTCATCAGGCGTGGTATGGGCTTTCTCATAGAGGAGGTTTGGTCTTTGTTCGGGTTATACGCCATTGGTTATGCTGTGTATCAGCCACAGGGTTTTACTTTTGGTCTTGGTGATACTACATGTAGTATGATATCGTTTCGGGTGGAACCGCACTGAGGGACTTACTCGTAACAGTCTACGGAGGCCATTGTCAATTACAATGCAATGCAATGTTGCTGATATCTGATGCTTTACTGACTGTCGCGGTAAGCTCGGAGAGGATATTTAAGTAAGTAAGTGAGTAAGTGAGTATGTACTTATGGGCCAGGTCCGATGCTAGCTCGGAAAGCAAAGAAGGACGCGGATGTCTTCATGATATTGGTTCGTGTCAGTTATTACAATTATAAGCTAGCCAGGTGCGGGAGCTTGCACTGGCAGGCCAGGCCAGGTTTTAGACGGTACGGTTAATACGTAGACGGCTGCTATTGTCTGTCTGTCCTAACTCGGAATTCCAACACCAACACCAACGCGTTCAGAAAGTGTCAATATATAACGTTTGTATGAGCAATTTTAATTTAATGCATGCTGGTACTATCCGCGCACGGAGGGATATCGAGTACTTGGTATGTGATCGGAGCCGCACGTCGAAATTTATGCATCAAACCAAAGTATATATACTAGGCATACGTGCTCGCGTGGTTTTTCTCAGAGTACTATAGTATATAGTGTTCAGCATGGGGCATGGTGATAATGTGCTTGCATCTGCGTGATGTGCTAATAATAGGCAGGAGACGATCCGTCATTATACCGTTGAATGATTGGACTTTTGTTGTAGCGAGAATATTAAGTCGGGATAGAAACCGTAGCTGCATACACTAGGTAACTATAAGGTGTTTTGTTTGAGGTAAAAGAAAGATATACTTGTGATTAAATCGATTTTCTACCTCTTAGCCAACTGTCATTAACGTTATATTATGGATTAGAAGAAATTCTTTTCATTTCGAGCGTTTCTTTTGCAAGATGTATCTTCCCGAATTGATATCCAAGCCCAGAATTCAATATTCCAATCGATTAATTAACCAAGATGTCTGAATTCGTTGACATATTCCACTTTATTCGAATCCTACTTTGCATTGCCTTCGTTATCCCCGGCTTTATTCACAATGGCGCCGTATTGGGGCAGACTACCTCAATCCTCACTTCCAGAGCTACTGAAACATTTGTCGAAATCCATATTATTATTTCGACGGCTGTGAAAAACCTACCCTCTTGTCCTTGTCCAACTTCCCCCCTAGCCCAAGTAGACCTCGCAGTTGACCTATTGACCACCGCGACATTTCTCGGAGCCCCAACTGAGTCGGCCGTAGTGGTGGAATTGCTGTTTACCACACCCGTTCAAGGTTAGTCTCCCACACAAGGTAATTCTAAGAATGGAGTTACGCTAACTGCTTCCCCAACAGCTGCTCCGGCACAAGGAACCATGTCCACAGTATCTTCTTACTTTATAAACAGGTTTGAAGACCAGATTGTTGTTGATAGCAATCCGCTTGCCCTTTATCTTGGCAGTGACAGGAGCCTTTCACAAGCATCTGATATATCCCACCGTCTATACATCTCTCTCCCTCCCGGAACCAAGGGTGGGAAGCTTATACAGCGGTTTAAGGATCTACTACCTATATCAATTGGAGATAGTACGAAGGACACAGTCTTCAATGGTTTCGTTAAAGGCGAGGATAGCTATCTAAATTTTAATATTACTACGACAGACGGGACCTTTGTTCTAGGGTTTACAATTTGTCCTGAGGAAGAATTTGAATGGAGCTTTGTGGGACAAAGAATCTATATGTACGATATGACAGAGGAATCGCTTTCAAGCGGCTGCCTTGCTGGAGCGGCTAAGATATTGTCGTACAGTGAGTATGCTATGAGAGAAATTAGTGGGTTATCACATCTTTCTACTCAGGATTGAGTATCTACTGGACTTACAGCCACTTTATAGATCTAGAATATATCGAGGCTCCACTCTGGCTGACGGGCTTGTACTATAATATACATATACGTCACGTGCACAAGGCGATATATATAGGATAGAAACTATAGTGTTATATCTCTACATTAAAATTTAAAACGTTCTAATTAATGGAAAATATCATCTCCTATGTGGACACAAATTTTAGGGGATCATAGTAAAATGAAACCCCTAAATTAGCTAAATGAGCTTATGAGGTAGCTTAATCTCGCACTAAAACGTTTCGGCATACGTTTACAAGGGAGGTTAGGGCAGATTATATTTCCTGTTTAGGCAGTTTCTGGGGATTGCCAAAGGAGGAAATCTATGTAAATTGCCAAATATCCCGTTTGGGAATTGCTGGGCGGCTTCCAACACGTGCGGCCCGTCCTTCCAAGCTCACGCACCACCTTCATCCTTCCCTCAGGTACATCACCAACCGATCTCTTACTCTTACCCTTATCACCGGACCTTCATCGTCCTCGAACGGTGCCTGCTCTAGGTACTCTTCTCGCCGGGTTAGCCATCACCGTACTTACTACTTCGTTTCGGTATCCGTACCATTCTACACTCCCTTACGCCACACATCCCACAATGGATGGACGACGAGGCTCAACAGGTCCGGCCAATGCTTCCTCCCGAGGCTCTAATTCCGCATACCAGTCGCAAGCTTCCGGCCCGGGACCTCTAGCTAGCATTGACTGGGTGATTGGCACTCGGTATGTTACTTTTTCGGGCTACCACTATCACAAACCTGGCTCCAACTGACACACTGGACCCCATTGCAGCGTCAAAATCACTACCATACTCGACGACACCGTCGAAGGCAACGTCTTTTCTTATGATACAGCAGCCAACTGTGTCTCTCTTATCACCGGCCCTAATTCTACCTCTACGCTTTCCAAAACCGCCCCTGTCAACGTTCGCATCCTCAAGATACCTTTCCTCAAAGATGTCGTTGTCATTTCGCCGTCGAAACCACCACAGAATGCTTCAACATTGAAAGGTCCGTTCAGTGCTGCTGAGCCACAGATACGATCTTTGAGTTTGCGAGCGATCAGGGACAGGGAACTGGGAGCTCTCAGAGCCGAGTCTGAAAAGCTACAAGGACATGGGGTCGGGGTTACAGCAGAGGGGCAGGATATCTTCAATGCTCTCAGCAAGACGTACGTTAAGATCGCTATTTCGCCTATTATTGGAAGTGAGAAGATCTAACCATTTGGGAATGTAGGATGCCATGCCGATGGCAAGGGAAGGACATTGTTGTACTCGACACCATCATCATCCAAGAACCATACACACCTGAAAAATGCAGCTCTCCAAGCCCCAGTGGACAAAACGCACTTACTAGAGTTAAGAAAGTAGTAAGTTTTCGTAACGGTTTTGACTCCTATAATCACAAAAATCACAAAAATCTAATACAAATTTGCGCGAATTCTAGTTGGAAGGAGAGCGGAAACGATTAGATACCGTACGACGAAGTAACGCTAGCACACCGAATCCGCCGGGAGACCGGAAAGGGGGATAGGGCCCTTCGCCTAACCGTGCGAATCGTCGAATCGCGAGCGGAGGCTCCACGGGATCTATATCGAAAAGGGGATTGGATAGGTTAAGAGGATAACCCTGCCATCTATATCCTGATTTCTCCCGCGAGCGCCCGCTTTCCTTCTCGGCGATTGTCTATCCACTACTCTGTGCTCTTTGTTTTCGCTTTTATTTTCGAGGGTTATGGAGGGTTGCTGTATATGCAATGCATGATGGGCGAGCGATGGAATAATTGTAATTGAATGGCGATAAAAAAAACAATGGAAAACTTTTGATACCCCACAACTTGTTTAAGTTTCCTTCATGCAGTCCCGAGTCGTTACAGAACTCATACTCGCGGGTCAATATTCAAAAACCGGTGAATACCTGTTCACAGTTTGGTTACGAGACTATGCCAACGCAAAAAATGCCACACGGAATGAAATTGCGGGATTCTACGTAACTCATATAAGGTGTACGTGTCTACAGATAGTTTTGCAAGTTGTGCTCCTACATAGCTGCTAGAATAGCTATCATATATGAGCCAAAAAGTCGTCGAATAGTTGTGGTGACATATCCTCAAATACCTATACCTTCATTCTATAAATATGTGATTTGCACCACCAAGACACCAGATCGAAGCATCACGAAACCCCTAGGCTATAGGCTGATGGATACTAAAGCGGTATTTCTCCCGCCCTACTGTAATATTTTATCTAATAACAGACTCCGCTATCAAAGCTATTTTATATTTCCATGGGCGGTTTGGTTGATGAGATTGTTCTAATGGTTACCAGAGTATTCTCAGAGATACTTAAGGAAGTATGTCTATTTCCTACGGAAATATTTTCTTATAAAGACCTACAGCTAATCATGTCGCTCTCGTACTAAAATTTTATATTTGCCGCATCATTCAAGATCTTCATTGTTTATATTTGTCTAATAGAAATATATACATAACATCGTTAGAACGAAACACCGGTATATAAACACGGACGCCCTGATTAACCCCTACCAAACCTCTAAAACTTTTCTATAATCTAGTTAGATTTGCAAAATCTCAACTTCCCTCACTGTGGTACTACTTCTGCTTACAACCTAAGCAGAATAAAATCTCATGGGCTCACCTTACAGCCGCAGATATATATATATATATATATATCAAAAGCATCAACATGGAACCTACTACAGATTAAGGTCGATCGGCTCGCGCGAATGAACACCATCTTCTTAGCTTGTCTATTAAAATATTGGACATCGATACATTCAATTACATGAGCCGAACATTTTACTCACTTCGCATCTGAAGCTAGAGTATAAGCAAGGTAGGAAGCCCGTTCTCCATATGTGAATGTGGTAATTTTAAAAACATCGATGGATACTTATTTACACAATATTCTATTCAGGCGTCCTCATCAATCGAAAGTCCAATTCAATACCTATTAATGCAAAATAATGAAGTTGTTACCACGCCTCAGTCCCCCACAGCTTCAGCCCCTCCTCTATCTTCATCATCTCGCCATCAATTATTTCCCACCACGGCTGGCCTATCAATGTTACTATTTTCGATTGCACTATTGGAAGCTGCTTCTCCACATGTACATCGGCGAACATAGAAGAGAAGAAAGATTTGCTAAGCGATGGCCCTACACCAGAGATTCAGGTCCCGTATCAGAAGGGTCGTGGGATTTGCAAGGATATTAAGATTGAATTTGATGTTTTCTTTTGCAAAAAATATCGGATAGTTGATTCATTTACGAGAGTCTCACCTTACTATGCTGGCTCTTCCGTCGTCTGGTCCGTCATCCGGTTCGATGGAGCTTATCTTGTAAAGCCGTATGGGTCCGTGTATAGATTAAATATTAATATTCTCTACAATCTCAGAAGTCAATTAAATAGAAAGCTAGAGGTCCGATCAATAAAACTGAAATATTAAGAACTGAATGCTTTGGCTCAAGACATCGGACGATGCAGCAATGGATGTATGTACAAATATTTGATCTAGAAGGGCTTTCCTCATATATTAATTATGTGTATACCTTTTCTTTGTGCATATTTTTCTTTCGAATTTTAGTAAACGGTACTGATTTACTGTGGCCGTTAGTTTAGGCAGACACCACATCACTCGTCCTGAATTCAATTTTAGTTAGTCTTGTGAGGCTTAGATGTTGCCCATTTGGTACCTATACGCAGTCTATCAAGAACAAACCACCATACGCCTAGCTAACTCTAGGGCGCTCGAACCGTAATCCGTTCGTACGTGCTTGTATGCGGTAGCCTAGGCGTTAAATTATGTCAGCCTTGTTTTTAGTCGCAGCATATTGCTAAGCTTGTATTAGTCCAAGCTTGTATACAGTAATTTGGGCTGATGCAACACAGCTCTGCGTACAATTACCACAATCCTTCACCGAGGCTCAATGAATCACGAAGCTAATTGATAACGTTATCACGTCTTCAAAGGCACCGAATTGCAACTGTGTCTGATTCCTGGGTCTTGGTATCGATTTCACAGTCTATAAAGGTTTAAAGTCGCTCTATACGGGGTGGGAGGACTACTGTGCCGGCATATCGATATATATCTCACAATGCACATCCTCCAGCTTCCCGTAGAACTCCAACAGGAGATTCTCTTCAACCTTGCATGGCACGAACACTTTATCGCATCACAAGTCTGCCAGAAATGGGCTTCAATCTTCACCAGCGAGAAATTCCGACGGAAGCGCTATGTTTACGACAAAATCCAACCAAATGTACCTCTTCCGGGATTCCCGACCAATTGGGGATTTCAGAGGTACCTCCCCCAGGATGAAGGACCCCCGTGGCGATCCCGAAGTGGTGGAGAGTTGAGTTTACACGGACTTTTGTGGTCCGACACGTTGATTATGTTCCTGAGCAGGGAGAAAGGAGAGGTTAAGGCCAGATTACTGGTTACGGCTGACGCGGTTGGGTATTTGACTGAACCGAGGGGGTTGGGACTGTTGAAGCAATTCCATGAGAAAAGATACGGGCGACGAAGTCTTTATGATATTACGGAGTCTCCTTTGCTGGATCATGATAAAATATTCTTTTGGGGAGAACCAACGACGAAGATTCCGAACCCCGAGGGTCATGAGGATGGGGGAAAGAAGGGATTTGTAAAACAAGTTGGTTTTGCTAGTCCTGCTCCTAATGACTCCCACATATCCGAAAAGAATGGAAAAGATGGAGGGTCATCCGGCGAAGGATCTGATGCAGCCCGACCAGCTATCTCGAAGAAGCTTCCAAAAGACCCACCGGTTGTTATCTTCAGAGGTCCGGCACGTGTTCATCAACTCAAACCGGGGATACAACCTCGTTATGTGAACAATCCCGGTGAATCAAAGAGTTCACCATCGTCGGAGCATAGACGCTGGACCGTCAATGATTTCGAAGAAACTTATGAAATCGGGACAGAGCCCTTACACTATTCTGGGTCTAATGGCGACAGTATCAGAGACTTCCTCGAAACTATACGGAAGTTTTTGGCAAGGGATCTCTTTGTGGATGAGAGTTCCACTTTGGCTTGCTGGTGTATCTTCGATACCGAGCATAGATACCTCTATTCTTATGATCAGCAATCAGGTGCCGGTAGTCTTTCACATCGGGATCCCAGAAGGAATATATGGGTTCCTACGACCATTCTTAGGAACGGCGAGAAACAAAACAAGCACAAGGTAGACTATACATCTAGAGCGCGAACTAATCGAAATTAGAAAGACGCTGGCTTGGGCGTTGAATATTTTTTCATGTCCTCCTGCACTGGATTGTTTTTTATGGACTGTTTTTTCTGATTTTTGTCTCCCAGAATAGCCTGTTATTAATTGGAGGGTTTTCTATATAACTGAAAACATTGTTTACTTTGGTTGACCATGTTCTGAATTGGGTGTAATCTTGACGATATGGGTATACTCTAGAACCTTCTCGGCCTCCTAAGGTTAGATGTCGGTCTTATATATCTTAAATATTAATTTTGTATCATAAATTTTAACTTTCGACTAGTTACTATGACCAATTCGCAAGCGGCTGCATATTGACTGCATGAAAACTCAAAATCAACGCACATATCGATATCTCTAAGCTGGTGGATTCGATAGTGCAACAGCTTATTAAAATTCAAATCTACTTCATAACTCAACCATAGTTACAACTAGACTACCGTAATTATATAGCGCCGTATAGCCGATTTTTCCTCCAATAAGCCAATAATGACCTCTCCTCCTCCTCTTTCTAACTCTCCACTACGCAGACTATCATACGGCTCATACGACGGATCCTCAGATGGGCCTTCACTTGAAGACCGAGAAGCCGTGCTCTCTTTAAACCTCAAAGATGATTATCTACTTCCACATTCACTCGACGATATTGGTATAGACAATCAAAGGCGTGAAATTCTCGTCCGTGATTCAAGTAATCTTAGAGAAGATGACGAGAAAAGAATAAACGAAGTTATTGGATTCTATAAAGAAAAATATAAGACGAAATATCGATCCAGGTATAAGTGGAAGTATAGAGAGCTGCTTAAACATATGGAGGCGAAGGAAGATAAAGCTGCTGGAACTAGGGACAAGGACTTTGATCTATTTGGTTCGAGTGCCAGGTATGGTTTTCAGGAACAAGGGGAGAGACCTGCGGGGTATCAAATAAGAATACGTAAAGGTAATTAGCCAGCTATATATATTTTCAATTTGCGGACTCGAGACAAGTCAAAGTTATTAGTCAATGCTAACGGTGCTTTTCAAATCAAGGGTTTTTCAATTTTCCAAGTATCTTATTATGGGTTATCATTTGGGCTACAGCTTTGGGGGTGGGAGTTCTCTTAATCTCTGGTAGATTGGTAGGAGTTTGGGCAACTATACTATCTACCAAACAAAAGCTAGATAATATTCTAAAAATGTGCCTTAATATAACCTAAACTTAATTTATCCTCTATTCTAAAGAAAGATCGGCTTGTCGTTCTCAGTGGGGGATTCTTATATCAGGACGTTGCATATAACTTCTCGTATGATACATATCGACAACCAATCCCAGGCGCTTGGAAAAGTTCTGGATCTCGATTTAGCCAGATGAAACTTTATTATACTGGAGGATAACCAGACTAAGAAAATAAATAGGAGCTCTTAGTCATTACCCTTGACTTCATCGTCTTTGATGTGAGTCTACTCGCTTCATGAATTCAAAGGAATCAAACCACTCATTCGTACGAAAATCAGTGCTGCCCTGCTGGGTTAATTATAACATATGCAATAAAAGTTACTCCCAGGTTTCATGAATTCATGGAATTAAGCCTCTTCGAGGCTCTTTAAGCGATAAAAAAAGCCTTACAAAACTAACAGCGATCCTGGGGCAGAAAAATAGTATAATGCATGCAGCCACTTCCTCGGCCTAAACTAAGAACCGACGTGCGAGATCTGGCTATCAAGGTCTTGTGCGTATCGCTCTACCACGAGGCCTGTCGGATCACGAAGGCCGTTCGCCTAACCATGTCAATGATTCGGCTTTAGCCGTATCTATTTACCGGGGTCAGCGAACAAGCGGCGCTGAATGAAGGAAAAATGCAACAGCTTGCAGCAAAAATCCTCAAGCATTCGTATGCAAGGGAACCAGCTTACGAAATAGAAAGAGGTAGTACAGGGAGGAAGGGAAAAAAGGAGCTAAATAACCTGGGGTCAAAACATGGAAACATGGGAAAATCGACTAGGGTTCTTTTGACAGGCTGTGTCGCCGATTTGACTTTTATCCAGTAACATCTGGAGAAGAGTATAACCATGGGAAAGCTTATTTGTGGCGAGTTGATTGACATTTCGCTTCGATAGGTATGATAGTATTACGGTATTAATGAATGAATGCATGAAAGCTGCATAGGCTGGATCCGAAGTCGCAGTTGCGGATGTTACGGTCGTGGAGACTGTAGACGGTTATACGGTCCGAAGGGGCGATTTGGATTTTGTTAGATGACTTCACGATAATGCGGGGCAGTGTAACTTCAATTGAGTATCAGTCCTATGGTTACAAGATATAACTTCATGACCAGCTTGGAAATTTATATAAAGAGCCAATGTATGCCGCCTTATAGTATCCAGTTTCTCTTATCAATATCAGCATTTTCTCTCTCAACAATAAAATACCAGTCTTTTGATAACTATTCATATTTAAATCCTCTTCGAACTTTTCTCAAAGTCCTACGATACCGAAAATCCTTCAAAATGCAACTCACAAGTGTCTTCGCCGTTGTTGCTGTTGTCTTGAGCCCTCTCGTCAGCGCTGCCGTCTACAAGTGCCCAGCTACACAATACACTGAGCACTACTGTTGCGGAAGCTCCGGTCCTCTTACCAACTGTATGTTATTAAAACCTTCTTCTCAAGTTTTTTGTTTTCTCTCTACGAAAAGGGAACAAATAAAAATCTAACTTCTTCAATAGGTGTTAGCGGATCTAGCCAAGTTGCTTGCTCAGGCCAATACCAATACCCAGCCTGCTGCGCCGGCCCCGGATACAACTGTATTTTCGCATCCATGGCCAATACTTGCGCCTGCCCGCCAGTTTATAACTGCCCTTGCTAGTTTGGAAGCACTCTGGCCGGAGTCTTGGACGATTACCCCTGAAGGGAGAAGAGGGGAAGCTTTGATAGTTATAGTCGGAATCATGTTAAGCTTTGATAGCTTGAAAGTGTATCATGTATGTTAGCATTGGTATATTGGTTTGCACATGTGGATTATTTCGGTAAATCCGTTATACGCATGTCTACACGAACTTAATGAAGTCAGATTATGACAAATACAAAATAACCTAACAGATTTTCGGTGAGAGGAGAACGTGATCTATAGTAATGAATATACTAGGGTTTAGGCCTTTATGCGACATGCTGACCCGATATCATTCGATTTTGAGCCACTGGTCAATTAATTGCTAGCTATTTTTTTTAACCTTGCATAAGATGCATGCTACGTTCACCCTGCATAAAACATGTCGATCCATATGTATGTACAGTTATGCAGCTGTAGCGCCCCCTTAGTTCCAGCTGTCAATCAATTCAGCCTCATCGCTGATCAGGCGAATCGGTTGAACCAGGATTATCTTAACATGGTCTCCCCAGGCTGCAGTAGAGCCGCAATAGGAAAGAAGAATATACAGGAATAATGTATATAAAGGAAATTTAAGATCTCATTTAATCATAAGTTACACAGCTCTTTGCTAATTGGTCAGACCAGTGTAACCGTCAAATAATTGAGCAAGACATAGGTGAAGATGTGAAGTCCTCGGACCTACTGATCTCATGACCATATATTTTGGGGTCGGTCTGGGTTGATATACAATTACAACACCACTAAAGACATGTCTCGAGAAAAGTTTGATCTTTTGGCACGAATATCCTTTTCATCTCGCATGTCCGCGACAATTTTCTGTTATATTAGAAAAGTTAGCCCGTAACAAACGCAATAATGTATTTTAATTGAGAGGGAAAACTAAGGAGAGTATTCCGTGATTGCTTACCCTTAAGCGCATTATTTCTATATCCTTTTCTTGCGATGTCATTTTTTCGATATCTTCGTCAATATGAATTGGAGCCGGAGGCTGTCCTGTTGTGCCCATTTCTGGATTGCGTCGTAATTTATCTTCTTGATAGATTTTCGGTTGACCTGGTATCTGTTTTGGAATATTCGACACAACTGGACCAGGGGCGTCCGCGAGAAGTTCTTTTAAGGGTGGAGCACTAATGATTTTTGGTACTGCTTCTTTAATTTCTATATAGTGCGATCTTATTAGCCTTCAGCTAGTTTGCAATACAAACAAACACTTGACCTGCCAATAATAAATAAAGCGATCGATATCTACTAAATATCGATAGTAGAGATAAAATAGCCACCAAATATTGTACGCTCAAACCCAATGCGAAACAAGAGTAGCCCGAGTTCAACTTACCATAGAAGCTCATTTTAAAAATGAATTGAGATATTGGTTTATGTATATCGTCGAACGCCCAAGCAAGTTTTTCGGCAGGCTTCCAATTTCCTCTCACCTTCCCATCCCTAAACAAGTTCATTACCACTGTAATCTTGCCTTCAGGATTATTTTGTTTCGGCGGTAAAAATATATCAGTTGGAGCATTAACCCTCGCCCGAATATGCCAAGGCGCATCCACATCCACCGTATGCGTTGACTTTGTGATACTTTTCCAGGCAAACCATTGGCACACAGACCCGATGTTCTTCAAGTCATGGTTATGGCCGTTCACATATCCGATGTCGACGCGGTAGCTATCGGCTTCCCAGCGCTCGTTATTAATGTCGAGATCGAATTCCATCGGCGGTGAATCTGAAATTTCACCTTCGTAGATTTCGTGCTCGTAGCGACCTAGCTGCCAGGTGCATTCGTAGAACTGACATCGGGAGTCCCGGTCGAGATTCACGGGCTCGAGGCGCTTCCCGAGCCATATAAAACTGATTTGAATACCTCCGTCATCCTCCTTCTGCAGTGGTGATTTCAGACGCTTTAAAATACTGGCCATTGGTGAGGCTGGGCTGGTCTAGTTTGATCAACATGGTTGTTGGGTTTAAACGTTTGTTGTGATCGTATAGCAACTGGTAGCCTGTGTATCATGGTGTCAGCCGGAGAAAAGGCTGCGCCGAGTGCTTTCGCGTACGCTTAAAATCCTAATATCAGCCGTCGATATAGACAACGTCGATATGCATATATCCTCTAGGGGATATTCATCACCAAGCTCTGATTTTAAATATATTAATATACAAGTCTTCCCAATCAATTAATATATCGGCTATAAGCCTCGTCAGATAACAACATTAAGCGGACCAGCCGTAAATTTATAGTAAGATGCTTCAAACTACTGGTAAAAGTCCAACTACTTCGTCGGATGAAGCATGCAATTCTAGCTATAAGCATACCCAAAGCCAGAAGGAACATATATTAGAAACGATGACAAAACCGAACCATGTAAAGAACTCCTCCAAATGCCACAATTATAAATGGAAAACAAAGGTGAATTAGCTGAGAAAGTCCTATCTCCTCCTTTTCACGCCATCCTCCACTTTCCTCAACCATCCCTTCAAACCTAAGCCTCTCTCGCAATTCGCCACAATCCACTCTTCCATCTTGTGTCTCACAGCCCTCACTCCCTTTGTAACAGGCATAACTCCTCCTTCCTCTCCCTCCACAAACATCCCTGGATTCAACAACAAATCAAACATCTCAAGCCAAATCTCCCCTTGCCAGTACCTCTTCATCCCGCTCACAATCTTATACCTCTTCGGCCTTCCTGGGGCGTTATCCCCGCTAACCGTAGTAGTTTCAATATATTTCCCAAAAAGCATACTGTGGACGACCGCAGCAACGCCATAGTAATCGATTTGATAGGTCCAAGGTCGCATCTCTCTCATCTCCGGGCAATCTTGCTTGTCTGTCTTCCAATCTGCGAGGAATCCAACATCTTTCCTAAAGTTATGCATATCAATCCCTCTGCCGAAATCAATTAAGACAAGTCCCTTCTTATCCCACCCATTTTCTCCTTCTGGGTCATATAATGAACTCCATTCCGAGTCCTTCTCATTGGGGTTATTGCCATTTGCACCGACAGGCTGTAATCTGAGCAGACAATTATCTGCTTTTAAATCTCCGTGAAGCAGACCACGTGAGTGTAGCGCCTCGACGGTTCTGAGAAGCTCGACAGCGAAGAACATAACTAAGATCTCCTCCATGGTGCCGCTCTGTGTGTGGAACGAGGTGTTTGGGGATGCTGTGGCGTTGACAAAGTCCAGCAAGGTTCCCTGGGCGAAGTAATCTATAACCAAGAAAGCTTCATCTTTGAATAAATGGAACTCGTGCGCATTGACGAGTGACTGTGTAGCCCTGTGATTCCCTAAGCGTTGATGAGCTAGCCGCGTAACATAAAACTCCCAGGTCGAGATTGGCGTTTCCATTTTGATAGCTTCAAGTTCACATCGTTTGCTGATTCCGACTGTTGCGGTTTCGCCTGCAGTTTCCTCTTCTCCGTCTTCATCATCGTACATCCCTGCCATGTTATTCTCGGCGAGATAAACTGGAGCAAATGCTCCCTTCCCGATCTCTTTCCGAATGGTATATGAAATTTCACCATTTTCGAGACCGATGACCGGCTGTGAGGGTATCACTTTGGGTGCATCCTTTCCGGTCGCAGTTATGGCTCTGATGTATTTCCTGATTCCATCCGAACGTTTGCTTGGTTGGGTCGAGTTGTCATAAAATCCCTTGAAAGATGCGAGAGGCTCCGACAGTTTTGAAATGATGATGTCCCGAAGAGCCGGATCCATCGGGTTGCATTGCGCATCATCAATGGTAGATCCGGAGCTACTCTTGGATGAAGGACCCGGAGCGACTTGTTTCTTCGGCTGTAACGCATTGGATGTGACCGACTTCTTAACCTCCTTCGCATTTTCTCTCGGCTCTAGGTCTTCAAAGGAGATCAATGACGTTTCCGTAGGCTTTGAACGTTGGTGCTTCTCCGACAGAATCTCTGGTATATTTTCTTTGTCAGGTAAAACAGCTATTTTACCATTATTTCTTGGGAGAGCGTTGTCATTTTCATCTTGGAACGGGCTCGAGAGATCAAGAGGGGCGTCGTCTCTTCCCATTCGTCCTGGCTTACAGGGCGTGGTAGTAGACTTCCTCCTCCCTCGGCCTGCTCGAACCGTAGATGGTGGTAGAGACTCCGTTTGCTCGACAATTGGAGTCATAAAAGGTAACTGGCGTGATCCTCGGTGATTGTATATTGTATGCGGCTCTTCATCCATTAGTTCTTCGTGTGCGCCACCTTCGTTATCCAGGTGCATCTGGTCCAACTGTTCAATTGGAACACCTTCTTCCTGAGCTCTCTGACGTAACGTATCGACATCGATTGCGGTAAAACCTGTGTCCTCGTTCTCCCCAAAGGCTCCTCTAAGCATATCTGTACGTTCGTCGTTGGGGTCCTGGCCGCCTTGGCTGTACATGGTATCATTCTGCTCGCCGTCCTCCTCCTCTTCGTCCTCATCAGAAGACCCCTGCTTCTTTCCTTGTGATGAGAAGTCATCTTGTGCGACGAAAGGCTGGTTAAAGATGCTGTATATTTCATCATTCGCAGCTCGTGTGTGCATAGTCATAGTCGGTTCTGTAGATAACTGCATAGCCATAGACCGCCTTTTCTTTTTCGGCTTACCCTTGGGCGAAGACGACAATGCGACTATTCGATATTTTAGTGTTAGTGGCACGTAGACGCTTAAAACATTGATCACTGGCCAGAATTGGTACATACGGGTAACGGTAGTACTCTTGGTGACGAATTTCGCGTTTTCATCAGGTACCTCCTGGGGCTCCTTCTCTACAACCGCGTGTCGGCTACCCAACATATCCATCATCATATCATCTTCCTGCTGTGCCTTTGCCCGGTCACGGTCGAGCTGTTTCTGGCGCTGATTTCTTCTCTCATCTTCTCTGCGCATCTCAACCCAATCGATATCAAGCAAACCACGGGACCGTGCCCGTAGTTCGTCAAAATCACACTCATCACGTCCTTCTCCATGCATATAAACAAGTTCGAGTGCCGCAAACACAGATTCCCGGCGTCTCGGTTTGCCGGATTGTGATAAAGATGGCTCTTGGGAATGCGACTGTGACTGGAAAGCTGCCTAAAAGGTTCGCGGAAAGAGCAGATATTTAGAAATAAATTTCTTCTAGGTACATAATCGTGGTCTCGTTCAAGGAAATCCGGCGCAGAGCGCAATGCAGCCGCTAAAGAAAGGCGACAATATAACGTAAAGAAAACAACAGCATTTAACTCACTGGATCACGGAAAATCTGGAGCTTCCCTTTCTTGGGTGCTGGTGCCCCTTCCTGCTTTAGGATTTCACCCGCCCACGGTCTTGGGGCTTCCACGTTTTCTTTCCTTCTTTCTGCTAGAGTGGCAATGCTATCCCACCCGCCGTCTCTTTCTGATTGTTCTGGAAGTGCTGGTGCAGCAGTACCCGGGGCATCTGAGAAGATCATCATTTTGTTTTTCTTCTTTTGTGGGGCTTGTCCTTCCGCTCCAAACCCTTGGGCGGGAGCTTGTGGATCTCTCGCTTCTGTCTCGCTTCTCCTCTCACCAAGCGCAGCACGAACAATAGGAACAGCCGGTGAACTTGGTTCGTTGACGTCTGGTGGGTTGGCGGCTAGTCTGACTGCGAACTCGTCGTATTTCCTTCGTAGCCTTTCAACTGGTCGTGCATTTCTCTGGATTCCCATCTCGTAGATCTCTTCTGCCTGTGCCCTACGGTTTTGTGACTCTAAGAAGCCTGCAAACTCCTCGTAGTATAAAGCTAGCCCAGCACCGATTCCCTTCCTAGCCAAAAAAGCAAATGATTCCCTTGGGGCATCAGAAAACTGCTGGATCCATGTCATCCAGAGCTTCAGGTATCTGGCATCGTTCTTAAACTCTGCAGAGTCCTCGAATTTATGTGTAGCACGGTACAAGGTCTTTTCTAGAAGCCTTCCACCGCCAGCGGTGTAGGTTTCTTGTATCCACCTCACGTATCGTAAGAAAGGATCCAGAGGGTCATCGAGTTCGTCCGCGGTTTTTAGCTCGTTTTCGAAGGCTTCACGTGCAGCTGCATGTTCAAGATTCTGAGTTTCCGTGTCTTCAGCAGCGAGAATAGACTGGGCGAGAGCACGTGCTGAACGGCCGCCGGGAAGGGCAATAATATTTTCCTTTTGAGCCTCGATCACGGAGAGCTGGACAGGGTCCGCCATAGTGAAGGTGGGGTTGGCGGGGTTGGGATTATGATGCTGGTAATATCTGATCGATAATAGGTATCGCCTTAACGGAGTTCAAAAGATATAGGAGATTCCGGATGTAATAGGTCTGTTGATAAAAGGTAACTAATTCCCTAAGTATATTGAGGATGTCGCGATGGGTTGCTTTGAAGATAAGAAAGCAAAGTCGTCGAGCAGCTTAGCTTAGCTTTCTTCCATTGAATCAAAGCCTTGGCTGTTTGTCAACAAACTAACCGTTTCAGGGGCAACAGGGGTTTATTGACAACGCACAAAATCCAACAGCTTAGCTTGTGTGACGAGGAACAACACAGCTGTCTGAGCCACGTCTGAGCGTGACCTCCCTCAAACTACCCGGCACCGGTAGACACATCGACACTAGCTAACACTGATATCAGTTGATACCCTAGTCTCGACCGACACGAGAGTGCTCACCAGATGCACGCAGAACCCAATATTGGAAACCCTCTTTCCCTCGATATTAGAAATTACTGGTCGAAGACGCTTTTGAATCTGGAATTAATTTACTGAATCATTCTCCCAATTGAATCATAATATTGAATCATTATTAATGAATCATCATTGCATTCAATTCAAACTATTCAAAAATCGCCTCAAATATTCTATTTCAATCAAACCGACTCAAAGATTTTCTAATTCTTAGATCATCATCAATTATCATGGCAAATATTGATGATGTTCCTTTCGAGATTCTGGATATGATCCAGTCCAATCTTCCCTTCTTCGATCTCCTCAGGTGCCAGAATGTTTGCCAACATTGGGAAGACCTGTTTTTCTCCAACAAGAGAAAATGGCACTACGACGGCGTTTACGATTATTCAACAATAACGGCAGATGGAATCCATCGCTTGCTCAAGCTGTATTCTGGTCCAGGCGATGAATTTGACACGGCCTACCAGCTCGTAGCTTTCGCAAAGGGCCGACTCCTTCCCAACTTTCATGTTTACGCTCTAAGTGCTGAGCCCAAGTGTACGGTAGAAATTGGGTTAGGCTGTACCCATTGTCAAAAGAAGATGAGTGATGAAACCCCCTCTCAGTATAAGATGAACTTGTCAGAACCAGTCGTTATCACTGACTCCCCACTCCTCGACGAACCACTGCTCTATCACAAACGGGTAGAATCTGGTGACGCTCTTCGTATTGAGAGAACCGAGGAAGAAAACATTTTCTTCGACTGGATGCAGTCATACCACATGAGCTTGACTCATGGATCAGAGCGTCTCGTGTCTTACACTACTGTCCAGAATCCCACAGGCGATCCACTATTTGACACTGCATTTATCATCGCAAACTTCGACCTTAAGCATCCGAAGTATTCAGCCATGACCGTCAGAGAATTCATCGAAGATGCTTGGGACGATGTCAAGTCATTGGTTTGGATCAACCACCAGGCAACTTTCCCCTCTCAGCAAACGTCCGCTGTCACTATTGCACTCCGAGAGTTTGAAGAGGATGAAGGTATTTTCGACTGTTGGTTTCTCTGTTGGCGAGGTAGACCAGCTTTTGACAACCTATCATCGTATGTATCACCTGCACACCTCTCACCTTTCCGATTTTCTCTTGTTCTGATCCTCTTACTAATTTTTTAATTAGCCCTGATCTCATAGTCTATCTTCAGGGCACCGAATACGTCTTAAAGCTCTACAAAACAATCCCACTCTAATTATTCCAACAGCTTAATTCTAGCGTGATATTAACATTGTCCAGCAAATATCCTTCACTATTAACCGACTATGCCCGAGAGCGGTCAATGAATATGGTATTATTAACTCTAACTTGAATTAACTAGATCCTAATTATTTGGTTTGAACTAACCAAGTATGTTCACAGAAATTTAGTGCAGAAGTTTCTTGTTTGCGAGACAATTTGCTGCCACGAAATTCCGACGTTGAAACTATCCTGGAGCTAACTCTAAGTTTGCGATTTACCTCAGTTAAAAGCAATTCTTTTCTCTTTTTCTCTAAAGATATTTGCTTACTCTTTTCTCCTTAATCAACTCTACTCCGAGAAACATCCTATTCCAAAGTTCCTTAGATAGCCGAAGTATCTATCTAACAAACGCAACCATAGCACATCGATCTTCACCGGCTAATAACGTTCTAAACTATACCCTGATTGAATCCTCCGTGTATCCTAATCATCATTCGTCTTTCCCAAAACTTCATTTAGCAGGATATGGCGCTCAATATTAACCAACTCCCATTGGAGTTGCTAGATATGGTTTTCGACCATCTAAAGCTTCCTCATCAAATCACAGCTAGCCAAGTTTGTCTCCTATGGGAAGCCATTTTCAACAACCGCATCAAAGTCCCAAGTAAACGCTATAAGCGTTTCTATTCCTCACATGGCGCGGTCCCACAGCGAATCCATCGATTACTTGCCCTGAATGAAAGTTGGTTTGTAGATCACGAAGACCCAGCAACCGACGATGCAATTGATTACATCCTCTTCACTCGAGGGTCTGATAAAGCCCAAACAACTCTGAGTTTCACAATCAAAAATTTCGAGATTGATCAGTATATGGTGCAGATTTGGAAGAATAACCTTCACGGATGGAAACGCAAAACCATAAACATAACGGACCATTCGATCCTCGACGAGCCACTGTTCAGCAATGACACAATTGTCGCAATGGAACAAAGTGAAGAGGAATACGAAATTCCGGAGGGCTTCCCCCGGCTTGCCTATAGTAAAGCAGCCCTAAGAGATTACAGCAGATTCAATGCTAGTTTTATCTCCAAACAGACCAAGGGCGTCATCTCAGCAGCAAAAAATCGATTTTGTATCGAGATGTTGGATAACCCTTACAGTGGCTACAATCTACAGAGACCGAACCACTGTGGCTGCAATCTCAAGCTTCATTTCGGCTTGAGATGCAAGAGATATCTCCACATGACTCTTCGCGAGTTCCTTCGGAGCATATGGGAAGAGACCAAAATATATATGCTAACCCAGATCGTGGACGTCGATTTGGATAGCAAAGACAGCCAAAAAGATATAGAAATTTCTCGCTTCCCAAACATTAAATATGCATCGGTGGAGCTAACATACGGGTGGGCTGAAGATATGGTATTAGTGTTGAGGGGAGTGCGAAAGGGTAAGAGGAATTATGACGATGGTTGCAATGAATGTAGCCGGGTTTGGGCTGTTCCGCAATCACCAAATCCTCTTTCACAGTTTCGAGATTTCCCCCGTAACGTACGGGAAACTGAGACGGAGGAAGATGATGATCTCCCGGTCCCCCAACACTGATCACTAGTACTAGTACTAGCTTGACTACGAGCAACTTAGGAATGGCGATAAAATAATAGCTTGGGGGATTCGATAACCCATCAGTTAGAAGGCTTTCGACCCACGTGGTTATCCGTAAATCCATGCCTATCGTCGGATTTTAAGCTCTCACTGACGTTTCTTAGCTCTTGCCCACCTTGAATTCAAGCCATTCGAGAATTGCAAAGTTTGACATATTTGTGAAAGCATTCCATGGATACATAAACACGCATAAGCGATTTTCTTCGCTCCTGGTTCCCGGAAAGCCTCGTTTGATATGATATAGTCCATTCTTTATACCGATAGGTTGTACTTGTGTTCCTATAATTTAATAAACTAGTTATTTTTCTGTTAGCATTGCCTCAAGCCCCTGAGTGTTTATAACTCGAGCCCCCAAGCACATTGTATAGCCAGTATACAGGCTAGGTATAGGTATCGGGTCTAGTCCACAAAGATGCTGTAACAACACACAAACTGCAACAGTCCTCCTTTAAGCTTCAAATCCAGATGTATTAAAACCCTGAATGCAGGTGCAAACGCAGGTACAAATGCAATAATCATATGACCAAATATTAGAATCCTGATCATATGCACAGTGGAATTACATCGTGCCTGAGAAGATCCCTCTAATCCACCAATTTGAAGTTCACGGAACTTCCCACGCCCTCAATCCAGACCGATTTTCTGTTTAATTTCCATGCAGGAGCGGTTAAACCCTGCGGCAAACCGCTCGATTGGAACATGAGAGATTGTTTCACAACACAAAGCTTCAGGCTAACCACTCACGATCCCGATGAAGTAAGGATGCCTAGCGTGTCTCCCTGAATATCATTCCTTAGAACTACTCCTCGAGGTCATAGACTCTCAATTGTGATCTTCCAAGACTAATAATCTTTGCAGCTATATTGCTTCGAGCTGAGGTTTACTGTGTATACGTAATTTAATTTTTTTTTGTCTATTGAGAAGCTAGAAGGTGTATAAATAAATGGGTATTCCTCCTGAGCTTCATGATACTACCACCTGCTCACTACTCTCCTGCACATCAATCAGCAGCACAATAACAGTCACTCTTTAATCACACGCTCTTTTAAGTTTTGCTCTTTTTTGCTCAGTCGCTCGCTTTCTAAGCTTTCTATAATATAATCATTCTAGAATATCTATCTTCATAATATAAAAGCAAAATGCGTCCATCAGTTCTCTATACCGCCTGGGTAGTCTGGGCTCTCGCCGTTTCAGCTGCACCCATAATTAAACCCGGCAGCGATGTAACGCAAGATCTTGCTGGCCATAAAGTTCCAGATCTTGAAGGTGGCCTCGAGGACCTCTCGGGATTTAACCCTTTTGAGGACCTCGATACACCTGAAGCCGGGCCTTTAGCTACAGTTGAGGTGGAAGATATCAATGTCGTAAGAACTTCTTTATACATATAGATTCGCCTACCTAAACTTTCTCAGAATACTAATAAAATCAATTATATATAGGCTTTGACCAACAATGGAAACGCTGCCTCGAAGAGAGACGTTATCCAGGATGCCCTAAAGAACCTGAAGTTGGGCACAGAGACTGCGCCTTCTGGCGACTCCTCTATCCCATTGGATGTAGAGAAGACGACTCAAAACATCAAGGGAGCCGTCACAGTTCCAGGTGTTAAGGAAATTACCCCAGGCCTCGAGGGGGCTGTTACAGATGCTCAGGCTAAGGTTCCAAATGCCGATGGAGCTACCCCAAGCATCGATGAACCTGTCAAAGAGCTGAAGGGCACCGTCTCAACTCTCGAGGAAACCGCCCCAAAGACTGGTGATACCCTTCCAGTTACTGCTGAGGAACTTCCAAATGTTGGAACTGTTCCAAAACTAGATACACCAGCTCCAAAACTGGATACGCCTACAGTCCCAAAACTGGATACACCAGTTCCGGAGCTCGATACTACTGTCCCAAAACTAGATACGCCCACAGTCCCAAAGCTAGATACACCCACAATCCCAAAACTCGACACACCCACCCCAGAACTTGATACGCCCACAGTCCCAAAACTCGATACAGCAGCTATCGATACCCCCAAGGTTGACACAGGCGCTATCCCAAATACTAAGAGGGGCGTTCTAGACCCTATCAAAGGAATTATCCCGGGTTTGGGTGATGTTATCCCAGACCTCGATGAATTTAACCCAACCGCCGATAAAGCCGTCCCAAACGCCGATGAAGTTACCCCAGAAGTTAAGGAAACCGTCTCAGAAATCAAGGCAGCCACCCCAGATCTCAACGAAGTCACCCCAGGTGCCGACAAAATCGCCCCAGAAACCCCAGAAATCAAGGAGGAGCCCGCCCACAACCTCGAGGTCGTCAAACAAGCTTTGGGCCAAGACCTCACTCTCAAACAAGAAGACGGAAAACAATTCCCCAAGGGCGTTCTCATGGGCATGGCTTGCGAGAATATCGACGAAGTTCTAAAAGCGCAGGATCCTTCAAAGTGCATTCCAGCTACCGGTACTATCGTCAAGGTCACCCAATTCAAGGATGGCAAAGAAGTTGCAACTGACATCCTTACAACCGACCCAAATACCGGCGTCTTGTCTAAAGTCGTAAAGGATCCCAAGATCGCTGGTACGTAATTCTCTTCAAACTCTTTAGCTTTACCCTGATATTCCAGATCTAACTATATTTCTCTAGATGCCGAAACATTGACCAATGCTACGGGAAGTATCGAATCCGTCCCCAAAGTCGACGGCGCCGATGCAATCCAAATTGTTACCACTAAGTTGGGACCCGATGGAAAGGAGGTACCTGTCATCGCTGATAAGGATTCCAAGATCTTTTTCATCGTGCCAGTAGTTACTAGAATTACGTCCGCTGTCACCCAGGTTGAACAGCCGGCGATTTAGAAAGGATCAAAGAATGGATTTAAACCAGCGTTGTATTTTTAAAAAAAGGGTTCGAACGCTTTGGATGACATTTTTGGGGGACTTTTATTTATTCTCATGATTGTATTTTTATCGTAATAGTTATTCACAGTTTTAGTTAATTAGCCAATATATGTACCTTTGTTGTTTTTCAATTGTCAAATATGATTCCACCGGGCTCAGAACGTTTTTTAATCGGATATGCATACACGACGAGCTATTTTGATTGGAAACTTTGAGTAAACTACTCACTAGCGGAAGTAAGTACCAAAATACTCATTGTAGATGGGCTATAGGGCGCTTAATTTTACTTGCTTACGTTAGAACCGAGGCTACTACATTGTTACGAGATCATTCTTTGCCTCGTTAACCGACTCCTCCAACAATAAATCATATCTACCACCTTCGAACGTTCCTCCACTTAAAGTAAACAAGGAACATAAGCCGAACTTCCTAAAACAATGAGCTCAGAGCTCTAGAGACCCGATATCTACCAAGCACAAGCTATAACTTTTATTATTGTTCATGTAATAAAACAGAAGGCTTTATGATCTAGCTCTCAGCTTCCGACCTCAGTATTCAACCCAGGTAACTATGACTAATTCTGCCCTGGAAATTGGAAACCTAAACTATGCGTAACGGTTAAAGAGAATACATACTGCTTCTCGCGAAAACAGGCTATAAAAATGATCTTCAAGAAAAGCGGCATTGGCTTTCATCAACCACCGGAATCAACTTAAGATTCACCAATCTTTTCATATGATGATTCCGGTAGTCATGCGGGCTTCCCAAATTGCTCATCATAAAATGGTTTCCAATGATGATGTTTCCGTATCGAGCCCGCGAGAGAGCAGAAACAATCATGCCGTTTGAATTCAACATCCCGATCTAAATAGAGAAAATATGGAATTAGTATTACCGTAAGTGAGGTCAAAATCTCGGTAGGTATGTAAGGACACAACAGGACTGAGCCTCACCTTGAAAGAGAAATTGCTTCGGACTAAGGAAAATATGACTACATCGCATTCCTGACCTTGGTAGTCCTCAACAGTAGATATTGACAGTCCTTTAAGAGTATGATCCCTCAGCGCCTTTCTTAGTTTGCCGACCTGTCCAATATAGGGTGCCAAAACGGTGATTGCAGGGCGTGAGACAGATTCAGCCGTTGTCAATGTCTTAACAAGCTTCTGTATTACCTGAACCTCTACCATATTGCATACCGTTCCGTACCCAATAGCCTCTTCACTGCCGAGGACATTGATCCAGACTTGTGGCGACTCAACCTTACAAACTTTTGATATCAATGGGGTAACAAGGTTGCAACGGTTAAGTATACGTTTAGAACTCTCAACGTGGTACTTATAGTTATTCACGACTGCTTTCTTGTTGATATGAGCTGCAGTATTATAGGCATATTCTCGCAGAAAGTCGCAGATTTTAAGGTCGGCTCTGTAGTTGTACCTTAGCTTTGAGTTGTTCCATCCACTTCTCCCCAATCGAGCAGCCATTGAGGATACTTTCTGCCGGTCAAATTGTAGACAACGGTAGGAGTTTTGAAAGGGACCGCCGACTAAAGCGCAAAGTTTGAGGGATTTCCGGAATCTTAGCATCAATGCTAGAGTTAAGCCTTCAGTAACTTCATAGGCTTCTTCAAGAATAAGTAATTTTGGTGAGAAGGTATTATTGATTTTTTTCCCTAGGGCCATGTCAACAGTGCAGAAGACTATATCCGCATCTTTCCAGATTAGGTTATCGACATTTTCCCAAATACTCTCGTCCCCCTCGAACGGATCTAGGTCTTGATGATCCAGGGAGTTTGGGGGGAGAATATTCCGTAGATTTTCAGAAAGTGGATGCGTCGGATGGGTATTTATCCATCTCTTCCGATTTCCTGCTATTCCACATTCGGAAAACCCGTCATCGCAGGGGGGGGAGCGTGATTCTAGGTTTTTAGATGTAAGATATATGATCTGTACGCCCGTCATGGCCAGTCGACGTAGATGTTGTTGTAGTAGAATTTCAGATGGACAGCAAAACAAAATTGGCAATTTCTCGCGATTCTGATACGCAGTGAAGACGACCGCTTGTATTGTTTTACTCTTTCCAGTCCCGCTGGGCCCATTTATGAGAGTAACACCACTCGGAACCATGTCATATAAAACCCGGGCTGCTGCCTCCTCTTGGAATAAATCTAACTCAAATCGTCTAAGGGTCGCTAGATTTTCTTGATTTGGCGGGATTGAAGGTGCGATATCTTCTCGCCCTTTGAAAAGCCAGTGGAATTTTATAGGTATTTGCGGCTCCGGTCTTGGAAGGAGTTGCATCAACTCCTTAAACGCCTGCTTCTGAACCTCATAATATTTTCTGCTGGGCTCGGTTTTGACCCTGTAATAATTACAATATGGATTAGACTCTTTTTACCAGGCAATATGAACCAATGGGATATCTTGCTTACCGATATTCGAAGCTCGTTCGACGCTGGCTGGAAGCATCGGAGACACTATCGATCCTTTCTTGCCGTAATTTACTGATCAACTTTATGGTTTCGAGGTCAGTGTCCTTTTGCAAAATCACAAGCCTGAGGATCCCTTTCTCTAGGCATTCGGAGATTTTGTCGGATAGTAGATTGAACTTCAGTGTTTTTCCACACCCAGTACGAAGCGGTAGCGAAAGTTCAAATACTTGATCATCTTCTGGTTCCCAAATTTCTAGCTTAGGAACCCCTCGGTATTGAAAGTGCACAGTACACTTGATATTTTCGCCAGCTGGTTCAACTAGATCCCATTCAACGAAGACTTCTGCTTTAAATAGTTCATCTAACAGCGCTTGTTTCTGGCGAAAATCGGCTTCAAGGTCATTGAAATGGGTATTATAATATTCCAATGGGGATGAAAAGTGGTGTTTTCGATAGATATTCTGGTTGGTAGGCGTGCTGGACTCCTCAGCTTGTATTTCATATGTATAACCACCAGTTCTTAGCAATTCCACGTGGTTGCGTAGTACCTCTCGACTCCCTTTGCATTCTCGCTTCGTATCAATTCTCAGAGAGATTTTTTGGTCTTTCTTTGCGTTCAAGACAATCTTATAATGCGGTAAGTCGATGAATCGCTCTGGGATGTTAACGAAAGCATGGTGGTCGAAGGTGAAAGTGAGATAGTCTCCATCTTCTTGAAAACTTTTTAGCGCTTCAGAGCCAAGCTCGATCAAAAAGTAGTCTAGAGAGTTCGATCCACCCGGTTCATATTTAATTTCGACACTAGGGGCTTTGACGAATTTCGTATTGCTGATGATTGTGAAAGGAGCATCTTTCCCTTCATGGCTAACGGTAGCATAAATTAAACTAGTTATATCCGGGGATTTACACGCTTGGGCTCTCCCAGAGGTTTCCCCAGCAGTCTCGGCACTAGAAGGTGACCTTTGGGGTAACTTTGAAGTGGTAGCATATTTTTTGGAAGAACTTTCGGCTGGACCATAAAATTCAGTAAAAGGTCTTGGATCCATGGAGAACAAGATATATCGATAATATTCACGATAATAATGTATAAGTACTGAATAGAATTATAGAAGGCGGCAGATCTAGAGGGCTTCTGGGTAGCTGGAAGACTGATGGAGATGGGTTTGAGGGACAAGTATTGCATATATTGTAATCTGGTGATTCATAGCACGAGGAAACCAATTAAAGTATTATAATTATGATAGCATTGACAGTGGCAACGGAGGTCAGGACCCCAAAGGAAATCCCACCGAATTAATTCATGAACTGGCAACGTAACAACACTCGTTTAAGCTCTGATTCTGGCACATTATTAGTATTATACTTACCTGCTACCTGCTACATATACGTATATACCTGCTACCAAGTACCTGGGTGGGTTCAATTGTATAATTTTGTAGGACCACATGAGTAAGCTACGATATAAAAGAGTATTTCCAAATTTAAATATCATGCATACCTTACATGTATACAGTCTTTGTGGTGTATATATATGGTTAGCTTTTTAAATTTCCTGGCTGTTAAAATATAATCGATGGCCTCTTAATTTGCTAGCTAGCTGGATCTAAAGTATATATTTAATTGTTGGTATAATCTCCTTCTAGTTACATAACTACATAACATTAGTATATAATCATCTTGACGAAGTAATAATTAATATTCGGTTTGACTAGCTAGGTGCAAGCTTACTAGCTAAGGTAGTATATAAGCTACCTTATATAAGAGTGTCGGGATGTTGTAATTAGGGTGCTTCATGTGTTGATCGATCCCCGAAGAGAATCACGTGACTAAACTCTCGTGTCTCCAAACGTCCGAGTCGACAAACCCAACCTGCCTGGGGATGCTTTGTATGTATCACAGTGAGCGGGATATACACTATCGACATCAAACGGTGGGTCGTCCTCCGGGAGCCAAAACAAACATAACCAGCACCGGGGGCCTATATATACTCAAATCGATAACCTCAGACTCAATACTGCAACGTCGAGCTCGCTTGAGGCCTTTTTTTTGACTTTGAAGGTTTCTTGATATCGTCATTATCAATCAATCGAGTATACATTTAGAAAGCACAAGCCGGGTGTTACCAAATCGTTCGGTTGATTTCGAAGTTTCTTGTGGACACGGATGTGCTTCATCGGCTCGGACTGCATTGCGGCATCACGAGGCCCTCCTGTTCTTCAACCTTCTCCAATTGCTGCCTCGGGCTAGCATACATCTGGTAGGTCGTCCAGCCTGCATCTGATATGGTCTGGCTACCTTGTCGATAAAGACCTGTTTAGCGGTCTGTGGCGTTCGGTCACTAACAGTTTAACATCTGCACATGCACAGAATCCATTTAATTTCCTCTTCGAATCCTCAAAGCAACTGTTGAAGAGACAGCTTGCAGGACCTGTTCGGCTCGACCCCGCATATTAAACAGCACTATCCCTGGCTGTTTGACCCACACTCGCGGGCTGGTCCTGGCCTTGCCAAGCTCGCACTAAGGCGTACGGGCAGGGGTGAGCGACTCAATAGCAGTTCGATCTCCTGAATCGGATCGTGCTTTCGTTCTTGGATTTTTTCGAAAGGTGTGCCCGCTTGCTGTCTTTTGCCAGTCAGCAGTTCACCTCTCATGGTCTTCGGATGAACCCGCCAGCGCAAAATACCGAGTGCTAGTCTGGGGTCACGGGCGGGCTTCCTTGAATCACAAATCAAATCAAAAGAAAAGAAGTCGAGCAAAAGAAGAACAGATCTAACCAGTTTCACTCTTGATATTTAATCCACCACTATGCCGGAGCTTCAGGAGGGCGAGAATTCCGTTCCCCTTCTTCCTCCTCCTCCTGGTTCTCTTGCTGTCACGGATACTAGTGGTTCAACGGCATCAATATCAAACCAATCACACCAAAACCAACATTCCTCGCTATCGGATGGCATTCAGGGAGAAAGTTCTACCGCCGCTACTTCTGGTTCCAAGGACTCCTCGGATGCTGCTGCTAACACTCTAAGATCGCTTCCTCCTGACCCTTATTCTTCCTCTTCTTCTACTTCACCCGCCCCTGCTTCGTCTTCCAGGTCCGAAATGCCCACCCGACCACAGCCAGATATAAACACCAGACGGCGATCTCGTGGTCAAAGTATTTCTACTTCCTTCTCTCCCGTCGGAACCAACAACAATCCATCTCCAACTGGCACTCCGACCGATAAAGTAAGCCCTACAACTCGGGCCCGTAGTGTCTCCCAATCCATCCAACAACAACAACAATCCACTTCCGATCAACCCGGAACCAAGGAGGAGGAACTCCCAAAACCCAAGGATTCCCTTGAGCTTTCTACATTGTCGTCTGGCGACTCGGACGAGGAATCCGGGCTTACCGAATCCGCTCGTGACCGACGCCGGAAGAAGAAACAGCGAAGAAGGGGATTAGGAGGCCTAAGCTCCGACGGTAACAGGATGCGTGACGTCCACGCTTCTTCGTCACCGACGAATATCAACAATCATCACCATTACCATGCTACAGACGATGAAATCGCCCATGGAACAATCATCAATGGTATAGCGGTTACAGACGCTGAAAAGCGAGCAGCAGACAAGAATGTCATGAAGAATCTTGCCATAAACGGTCTATTGATCGGATCATGGTATATATTCTCGCTGTGTATTTCAGTCTACAACAAGTGGATGTTCTCGGAAAAGCATCTAAATTTCCGGTTCCCGCTGTTTGTTACATCGTTTCATATGCTTGTACAGTTTTCGCTGTCATCGCTGGTGATGTGGTACTTCGTACAGTTTAGACCGGGATATGTGGACCCGAAGGAGAAGAAGAAGATAGAGCGAATACGATCATCTTCGTCGTCGTCGAACACATCACCAACCCGTGGGACAGGTGCCGAGGAATCACGACCCCTCAATGCAGGAGATGATAGTGACTCGGATGAAGATGTGGAGGATACCCGAGTTTTAGCGAATGAAACACAAGAACCTGGACCGAAGAAACCGATCATGACGAAAATCTTCTATGCTACGAGGATTGCACCGTGCGGTATGGCTACGGGATTGGATATTGGACTTGGCAATATGTCATTAAAATACATCTCGTTAGCGTTTTACACTATGTGTAAATCTTCATCCTTGGCTTTCGTTTTGATATTTGCGTTTATCTTCCGATTGGAGAAACCGACTGTCAAGCTGATCTCGGTGATTTCGGTCATGACTATCGGAGTTATTATGATGGTGGCAGATGAGGCGGCATTTGTGCTGATAGGGTTTATACTCGTTATGCTGGCGAGTGTTTTATCTGGATTGAGGTGGAGTTTGACACAATTACTGCTGTTGAGGAACCCGGCGACGAGTAATCCCTTCAGCAGTATTTTCTTCTTGGCACCAGTGATGTTTTTGAGTTTGTTAGTTATTGCTGTGCCTGTGGAAGGGCTTGGGAAGTTTTGGGGAAGATGGATGGAATTGATTGGAGAATGGGGGATTTTCTCGGGAATTGGCATGTTGATCGCGCCTGGAATTGTGGCGTTTTGTATGACGGCCAGCGAGTTTGCGTAAGTACTTTTCTCCTCCCTTTCAGGCATTTTCAGAATTATTATTTTTTTAGAATGGTACGCTAATTTTGGGGGGTAATATATAATAGTCTACTAAGACGGACATCAGTCGTTACATTATCGATCTGTGGAATCTTCAAAGAAGTAGTAACTATCACAGCATCGGCCACGATCTTCCACGACGTTTTAACACCGGTCAATATTACGGGTCTCCTCGTGACAATATTGAGTATTGGCGGATACAATTATATTAAGATCAAGAAGATGAGAGGAGAGGCTGTCAGAGGGGTTTTGGCAACCGAAGCGGATGATGCAGAGGGTAGGAGGAGTTTGCTATTCGAAAGACGAAGTTTGGCGCTGAATAGGAGTAGTTTGGAGAGTGGGAGGCCTTGAAAGGCTATTACCCCGACTCCGACTCCCACCTCACCTTCACTCTGAGACGAACTACCACTCCATTCACATATCTAATACCTCCCACTTCATAGACCGGGGGACAAGATAGGAGTGGACTACACCGGTATATATTCCAAAAAAAAAAAAGAAGCAAAGAAAGAAAGAAAGAAAGAAAGAAAGAAAGAAAGGAAGGAAGAAAGAAAGAAGAAAAAAAAGAGAAAGAACAGAAAGAAGAAGAAGGAACAGAAAGAAGAAGGGGTTGTAAGATTATATATAAAGTGACAGTTATAGTATAGCATAGTATAGTAGGTATATTATAGTGGGTAGCGTGGTTAAAGCATACTGGACAAGGAAAGGAAGGGGGGTTTTGCAAGGCTGGGCGTTCTTTGGGCGTTGGAAAGCATGATATCAATCTCTATCTGCTCTTCTGCTACATGTCATTTCGTGTTTAATGTGTATTTTATATGGGATTATAACTTAGATAGATCGGATACCATAGTTATTTTATTCTACCTTGAACTTCTATCCTCGAGTGTACACGTATGGAATCTAATCCTTCTCCTGGATCGATTCAATTCCTCCATGGATCCAGTTAGAAATTCCGACCGAATGGATCTTTCTCGACAAACAAATGCAAACAGCCTGCTTAGCTCCTTTAAAGGATAACGGCCAAACAGGCACAGCACAGCACAGCACAGCACAATCATTATTACTCATACCTGCATGGAAGCTCTTGGGTAGTACTTGAGAAGGTACTTTTGTATAAGTGTGTATGTAGGTCATTCAAGCAAGGTACACTTGGTCCGGTAATATTTATAAGCTCTCAGTATCCCCCGCCATGCCACTTGCCACTGTACTGACTGAGCTCCTAGGCTAGTTCGACTGACTGACTGACCTACCTATAGGTACCTAACCTACCTAATTACCTAAACATCAGAAGACGCTAAAGAAAAAGAGAGTCCACACACGGAAAAATATCACATCATCGGTCGGTCTTGGATTTATGACTATATCTCCAGTTTATTTTTATCTTTTTTTGTTTGATTTTATTTTATTCAATTTATAAAGGGACAGAGATAGTTGGGAGTTCATTCAAATCTTGTGTTTCTCTCTCTCTCTCTCTCTCTCTCTTTCTTTCTGTGATTAAGTTCTCAGGAATCCCATTTGGAAGACTCATTCGCTCTCATCATCCAACCACAACCCTTCAAGTACAAGTACCTAAATTGAAGGAAACACCAGCTCCCCACAGCTAACTACCTAGTTAACTACATACTGAGCTAAGGCATCTCCAAGATTCAGCGCCTCAAGCAGTCTCTCGAAATCGCCAAATTTCACCGTAAACAGCCACCATGAAGCAGCGTTTCTCTTCGCTCGACGTTCAGGTACTTATAATGCCTACTGCTTTTTTTCAAATTCACCTTCGCACTCTATCCCACCAACGCCAAGATTTTTTCTTCCCCAGAAGTGGTTCCCCCTCCACAAATACCTGATAAACTGACATAGCACGACAGGTAATAACCCATGAACTCCACCATCACCTCCTCTCCCACCGTCTCTCCAATATCCACGACCTCTCCTCCCGTACCTTTCAATTCAAATTCACTTCATCGGCAACACAGACCAAACACATCTTAATCGTAGACTCCGGCTTTCGATGCCATCTCACGAATTTTGCTAGAAATGTCGCGGCAAGTCCTAGTGGGTTTGTGGAGAAACTTCGAAAATGCTTGAAGACCCGGAGGGTTACCGGCATCAGACAGGTTGGAAGTGATAGGATTGTTGAGTTGCAGTTCGGCATTGTAGGTGATAATGCTGCTGCTACCACCTCTGCTACCACTGCTACTGGTGGTGGTGTAGGAGGAGGAGAAGGAGGGGCGGAAGGAGGGGTGGAAATTAAAGGGATCCCTCACGTCGGTGGATACCGTCTGTTCTTCGAATTCTTCGCCGGAGGAAACATAATCCTAACCGACGCCTCCTTCAAAATCATCACCCTCCTCCGAATCGTCCCGGAAGGTCCGAACCAACCCAAAATCGCCAGAGGAGAAACCTACACCATCTCATCGGCATCTACAACCTTCGGTTCACTTTACACCAACACTTCAAATGCACAGATCAAAAAAGCGTTAAAATCCCATCTGGAGAAAAGAGAGAATGAAGAAAAGAAGGGAATCGACGATTTGAAGGACTGGCAGAAGAAGAAGTTGAAGAAGACAAGGAAGGATGATGGGTTAAATCGTGTTCTGGGCGCGGTTATGACCGAGTTCAGTTCTACCTTGATTGAACACTGTCTTTTAACCGTGGGCGTGGATCCCGATTTAAAGGCTGGAGAAGTGGTGGGCGACGATGCTATCATCGATAAAGTTGCCGAAGGCTTCAAACTTGCAGAAACTATGGTCAAGGACATCGTCGAGAATAAAGAAGTCATCGGCTGGATTATCGCCAAAAAGCCGTCACCAAAAACCGAAAAGGCCGACACCGAAGATAATGGGACCAAATCGAAGAAAAACAAAAAGAAGAAGGTCGCATTCGGAGACGCTGGTATTAAGGAAGCAGAAGACGAATTGGAAGCCATGCTCGAACTGGACGAGGATATAACCCCACAAACCGACGCATCAGGCTACATCTACGATGATTTCCATCCTTTCCTACCGACCCAATTCAAGGACAAACCAAATGTCCACACGATCCCCATCACCACATACAACAAAACCGTCGACTCCTTCTTCTCCTCCATCGAATCCCAAAAACTTGAACAAAAGACAGCCGAGAAGAAGTCATTAGCGGCAAAACGCCTTGCAAATGCTAGGAATGAACATAAAAACAAGATCGAAAGCTTGAAATCCGCACAAGAGGTTCATGTAAGAAAGGCTCAAGCGATTGAAGCAAATGTGGAACGAGTCGAGGAGGTCATCGATGCTGTTAATGGGCTTATCGCGCAAGGTATGGATTGGACCGAGATTAGGAGTTTAGTTGAAAGAGAAAAATCGGCAGGTAATGGAGTGGCCGAGATGATAAGGGACGTCAAGTTTATGGAGAATACGGTAGTAGTGAGACTTTACGAAGAAGAAGAAGAGGATGATAGCGACGACGATGATGATGAAAGTGGCAGCGAAGATGGAAACGGTGAGGAGAAGGAAGGGAGAAGTCATTTGGATATTGAAATCGACCTAGCACTTACAGGCTACGCCAATGCAAGAATCTACTACGAACAAAAACGGTCAGCAGCAGTAAAGGAAACAAAAACACTACAATCCTCCGCCAAAGCCTTAAAATCCACGGAGAAGAAAATCCAAAAGGATCTCAAACAAGCCTATAAAGCCGAAAAGATGGAACTACGAACCCTTAGACGACAAGGATGGTGGGAAAAGTTTTATTGGTTTAGAAGTTCTGAGGGTTACCTGGTACTTGGTGCTAAAGACCCTACACAGGCCGATATGCTTTATAAAAAGTATTTCAAAAAGGGTGATGTCTGGGTCCATGCTGAGGTACCGGGTAGTTGTCATGTTGTGGTTAAGAATAAAGTTGAAGACGTGAACTCTCCGATTCCACCGGGGACGTTGAGTCAGGCAGGCAGTTTGGCGGTAGCGTCTAGTGATGCTTGGGAGAAGAAGATGGTGATTTCGGCGTGGTGGGCGGGGTATGAACAGGTTGGGAAGATTGGAGCTGGTGGAATTGTGCTAGGCACCGGTGAATTTGTGGTTAAGGGAGAAAAGAAGTGGTTGCCGCCTGCTATGTTGGTGATGGGTTTTGCAGTCGGGTGGCTACTTGCTGATGGGGAGGGTGGTGAAGATGAAGATATTCTGGAAGAGGAGAGAACAAATTTACCCGAAGTTTCTAATTCTGAAGAAGAGAAAGTTGAGCAAAAAGAGGATTCAGACGATGATGAAGAGTTCCCAGACACCAAACTAGAATCCGAGGAAGAAGAAGCGGAAGCGGAAGCAAGTTCCAGTGTAAAGAATCCTCCAGCGGATGAAGAAAGCGACGACGATGACGATGAATTCCCAGATACAAAACTCGAAGACCCATCTCTCGAAGAAAACACCCGTTCGCAAGAAGAACAAGACGAAGAATCCGATACCCTCGACGCATTGCCAAACGGCCGCAATGAACACCCCTCGCTCATCGACCGAACCGCAGCATCCTCTCCGACCCCCTCCGTAACTTCTACGATTACAGGGGGTCGCCATCTCAGCGCCAAAGAGAAAAGGGATATAAAGAAAGCTAAAGCGAAGGGATTAAGTCTTCCTGCATCAGCACTAGCGACACCAAACGGAAGTAGACCCCCCGTTGGAAGGAAACAAATGCAGAAGGCACCCGCCGCACCTAGGAATCTATCATCAAAGACTGCACAACAACAAGTTCGTGGGAAGAAAGGAAAAGCTAAGAAGATTGCAGAAAAATACGGAGACCAAGATGACGAAGATCGAGAACTAGCTCTCAAATTACTCGGAAACGCAAAGAAGGAAACCGAAGCCGCCGCCGAAGCTCTCGAAAACGAGAAGGATAAGAAAGCGGACAAAATCAGAGAAATGGAGGAAAAACAACTCCGATTGAAACTACAGGTTGAAAAGATGAGAAGTCAGGTTTTGGCGGATGAAGAGGCTAGGGCCCTAACAAAAGAGAAATACTTGGATTTTGAAGAAGAATTGGATGAAGGGAATGCTTTGAAGATGGTGGATTTGAGGAGGGTTGTTGGGGAAGTGAAGTTGGCGGATATGGATAGGGTTGTTGATGCGATCCCCATCTGTGCACCTTGGTCTGCGCTGCAGAGATTTGAGTGGAAGGTTAAACTACAACCAGGGACGCAGAAGAAAGGAAAGGCTATCAGAGAAGTTGTAGAGAGGTGGGGGAAGGAGGTTGTGGATAAGAAGAAGAAACCATTTCCACCTAAAGCCGGAAGTGATCAAGGAGGGCAGATTAGTGAAGTTGCGGAGAAGGCGAGGAGGGAGAAGGAGTTGATTAGAGCTTGGAAGGAAGCAGAGTTGGTACAAGGAGTTCCGGTGGGCAAGGTCAAGATTATGATGCCGGGGGTGGCGGAAGATAAGGGTAAGGGCGGGAAGGGCGGTGGGAAGTCGGGTGGTGGGAAGAAGGGAAAGAAGTAGCATAATAACCACGTATAGATACAGCCTCTATGAGGTTATGTATGTAGTATTGTGAAGAGCTTATCAGGGACTAGCTTTACGATGTTGCCTTTACCAATATAATACCCAATGGATTGAACGAATGTAAGACTCTATGAATGTGCATTTCGGTGATATTATCTATCGTATTCTATGCTATCATATAGTTTATCATAAAATTATTTCCAAATAGAAAAGCTGTAATAAATTAAGACTGGGTACCATCTTTTGGATACCCGGCCTTGAAGTTAAACGAGTGAATAGAAGTATAAGACGCTCCTTAGTTTTTAAATTTTGGGGGTTGATATTACCATTATGATCTTGTCTCGTCGCTGGACTCCTCAACTGTGTTATGATCCCAATGCAGTTAAAATACTTACCTGCTGTGGTTATATATGATCGAATGAAATATCAGCTCCAATACGCATGTTGAATGCTCCACATACTCAAATTATTACCTCCACCTCATCTTCCCTCAACTCTCCATCCCACTCCTTACCCCCCTCCTCCACCAAACTCATCCCCGTCCCCACTCGGGCCTTCCCGGCCCTTCGTCGTCATTCAGCTTCAGTGCTAGATACCTTGTCGTCATACACTTTGCATTCTTCAGTGACCGCTCGGCTACTAAGATACGATCCAAAGACCCTATTTTCAAGATCCTCCAAAGTATCTCCCCTAGTAACACCCTTCTTCTTCGCGGTACGTCTGAAGTATACCCTCTTCGCCCATTTCCAGGATTCGATGCCCAAGAAGAACAAAACGGCGGCGACCATAACGATACCCCATTCCCATGTTATCCCCTCATGTTTGAAGACTTTGTGGTTGATAACTGGGATATAGAGTGTTGGGAAGATGGTAACGAATCCGGCGATGATCGCCCAGAATAGGAATTTGTTCCTCCAGACGTCGATGGCCCATTGTGTGAAATACCTCGTCGAGCCCGGTTGCATTCTAAAGAAACTTCTTCGCATATCGACCATCTCCCAGGCTAGAAATAATGCGAACCAGGTTAGGCATGCGAAGCAAGTAGCTCTGGCGCGGAATACAGTGTCACATTGTTCGGAATATTGGTTATTGCAATTATCGCCCAAATCCCCGTTTCCGAAACCATATAGAACGAGGACGAAGGAGGAAAGGCATAACGTTGCGACCCAGAGACCGTATACTACCATGTCTAGCAGAACTTCCCATGTAAACACTCCATCCTTTAGACTTTGTGGTGGACGTTTAAGAATATCCGGTGTAGCGACTTCAAATCCCAATCCCATATCTGGCATTCCACTGGTAATCATAATAACCCACATGATTTCAACAGGTGCAAGCGGGAATACTGAAATTCCAGTTCTGTCTTTGAATGCTAGACCGATAAGGAGGGTACAGGCTTGTGCGATGTTTTCGGCTAGAAGGTGGAGAATGAACTTTTGGATGTTGTCGAACATGCGACGACCTTCTTCTACGGCGTTGAGGATTGAGGCGAAGTTATCGTCTGTTAGGACGATGTCTGAGGCATCCTTTGCGACGTCGGAACCGGTTTGTCCCATTGCTATGCCGACGTCTGCGCGTTTGAGGGAGGGGGAGTCGTTGACGCCGTCGCCGGTCTTTTTTAGTGTTAGTGGGTATTATTATGTACATATTGGGTATAGGTTTGGGGCTGGATTGCTTACCATTGCTACAAACTTCTTACGTCGGTGTAGAGCCTCGATCATTCTAACTTTTGTATCTGGCGCGCAACGAGCGATGACAAGAGGGAGTACTGGGAGTTGGTCGATCTCCTCATCCGTGAGTTTATCAAAAGTACTGGCTGTCATGACCATAGAATCCGCGACATCTTTACTAAATTGTTGCATTCTGGCGGGTATGATTCCTACTTCTGCTGCGATGGCTTTGGCGGTTTCGGGATGATCCCCAGTAAGCATGTGGACGTTTATACCTGCTCTGTGACATTGGCGGACTGATGAGGCTGATTCTGGACGAGGTGGGTCGTATAAACCGATTAAACCGCAGAAGTGGAGGTTACATTCGACTGTTGAACGGTCGATTTCGGCGTCGGTTTTTGAGATCTCGTGGGTGTATTCTTTGGAGGCCAGGGCTAGTACTCGAAGTCCTAGTGCTGCGAGAGATTCCATGTTTGCGAGGATATCATTTTTGATCAGTTCTGAGAGTTCGGTTGGGTCGCGGCCATCTTGTAGAGTTATAGTCGAACAGGAGTCGATGATTCTTTCGACGGCACCCTTTGTGAAGACGAAGTTTTTGTTTTGTACGCTATTGTGGAAGATTACGGACATCTTTTTTACGTCGGAGTCGAATGGGAATTCTGCAAGTTGCTTCCATGTCGGTGTATCCCCCGTTGTGAGTTTTAGACGGTTATGGTCGAATCTTGAGGCGAAGACTTGGATTGCGATTTCGGTTGGATCTCCTCGGGCGCTCCATTCGCCGGTACCGCTCTTTTGGACTATCGCTAGATTTGCGAGTGAGGCTACGTTTAAGAAGCTTTCTAGTGATGCATTTTCAGGTTTGGAGAGGAGGGATTTGGTTTCAAGGTTTTCTTTGGAGATTGCGTTTTTATTACGAGGTTCTCCGGCATCGAAGGTTACGTTTCCGGCTTCTGGGTTAAAGGGTTCTGATGAAACGTTGACAGAATAGGTTCCTTTAGAGGGAATCCAGGCCTTTTTGGCGACCATCTTGCCTTGCGTCAAGGTACCGGTTTTGTCCGAGCAGATATCTGGATTTTATATGTTAATTAACATTACCTTCAAGGATATTATTGATCGATCTTGTACATACCAGTGACGGCTCCAAGCGCCTCAAGAGATTTCAAATTGCGAACGATCACATTTCTCTCCACCATTCTCTTCGTCCCAGCGGCCATAGTAATAGTTAATACCACAATAAGAGAAGCCGGAATCATAGACAATCCCGTAGCAACTGCGTATATAATAACCTCCCTATCCGATCTAAACTTATTCGCTCCGAACACGATAAGCGCACAGACAATCGCAATTCCGAATAGCAAGATTGCTAGTTTTGACAGTTTCTTTTGTAGAGGCGTTCCAACGTTGACTCCCAAAAACCTTCCGATGGCATCAGATACAGTGAGTGTCCATGCTTGTGCGTATCTATGTGGCTTTGCGGTTCCATCGGGCTTACGCTTAACAGGACGAACGCGAGATTCGCGTTTTCGAAGAGCGGCGGCGATGGAGCCGATTTCAGTAGACATTCCTGTTGCAAAGACGATTCCGCGGGCGCGACCCTTTGTGACCGTTGAGGAGCTGTAGGCGACGTTTAGACGGTCTCCTGGGCCGGTGTCATCTGGGAAAGTGGCTTCGGCGTCCTTACGGACGGGGAGAGATTCACCAGTGAGAAGAGCTTCATCGGTTTCAAAATTTACGGATTCGATTAGACTATGTATTGCTGTTAGCTATTGTTCTTGACATATTTAATCATGGGGTGTGTATAAACATACCGGACATCGGCAGGGATAGTATCGCCAGTTTTCAATTCAACCATGTCTCCGGGTACGACTTCAGCAGTAGGGACGGTAAGGATCTTCCCGTCACGAACGGTGCTAGCAGTTGGGGAGCTAAGTGATCTGAGAGAATCCATAGTCTTCTCTGCTTGAAACTCTTGCATGAACCCAACGACGATGTTGAGGATGATAACGGCGGCGACTACGCCACCTTCGATCCATGATTCTATACCAAGACTGACGGCCATAGCAAGAATGAGGACCTGTAAGTTTTTAAAAATCGATAGATCAGCGTGTCTGGTTATTTTGTAGATGGGAGGGTGGTTAAACAATATGGTATTACAAAATACATCTTATGATATAAAAAGTATACGTAGAATATCCAGGTGTAGATATGTATGGATAATGAAAAATGTAGTTCAACTAACTAGAGTCATTGCGTTCGCGACTTGTCCGATCAGAATCTTGATGGGTTGGACACCCGGACCGTCATCTAATTGGTTGGGACCGTATTGTCCCAAACGTTCGGTGGCTTCTTGAGACGTGAGTCCATCCTGGGTGTTCGCATTGGTTTCCTTGATCACTTGGTGATAAGTCAAAGCATGCGCGGGACGGGAAAGTAAATCGTTGGATTGTCCCGGCGGAATCCCGTTTGCTTTGGGTTTCTTTTCCATAGCTAGCTGAAGTATATATATGCAGTAATCAATTCGTTGGTTCGATTATAATTACTACTACTGTTGGATAGCTGGTATTCGAAGTAAGGTATGTACGTGAGCTAAAGTGTTAGTTCAATGAAGTAAACTGCCCTTCTTCCAACGTGTGCGACCAACGAAGGGCCTTATATATCTTTGCATATGCACGCAGTGAGCTACAGAAGCTAGGCTTCCGTCAACCGTCAAAAAAAAAACGCTAAGACTTTTTCTACCCGTCTACCAGATTGTACCCAGACCTTCTAGGCGGGAGGAAAACGAACCCCTAGCAACAGGCTTTCGACATATCGAGTTTAGTGAGAGCTCCCCACGATTTTCGCATATTTTTTTCACTCCATCACAGGTCGTTTCCGCAATCGAGGATGCACGGAATTGCACGACAAGATCTTGGCGAGAGTGGTGGGAAGAGCTTGGCATTTGTCGTTGCATTGGCGAGAACCATGAGTACCTCAGATTGGGGGTGTAAATCGGGATTTCCGGCAGATATCCAATAAAAGGCAGTTTTTGGGCTATGATCTATTCGATTGACGTTGAAGCTGCGTAGCCTGCTGGTCAAAATGTGTTTTCTGACAATTCGCTGGCAGAAGACGTCAATATCAATGTTCTCGTTACACTGGCTTGCCTTCGAATTGAATCAGCGAATCCTCGGATTCGAAGCGGGGATCGCATCAGATTCAATATCGTACGATTGTGAAAGTAAGATTTGCCTCAATCCCTCGAATTGCTAACCATCTTGTATCCGGCATCCCGATCGTTGTCTAGGAATAGCTGATATCCAGGTCTCGCATCTTGAAGACAGTCGAGTTGCCCAAATAAGGCCTGCTGGCCAAGGTTCTTGGCGATGGTTGGTCGTTTGCGTGTGACGAAACCCGGCAGGTGTCCATGCGGAAGGAACTTAGTTTGATAGCTTCGCACGGATGGGGTTTGTCGGACGACGGAGTTTGGCAGCTATCAGAAAAGTCTTCGATGTTCTTGGATTTAACTGTGAGCCATTGAGGTCTCTACTCTCGATAACGTGGGTCTTGGACTTCGGGAAGTTAGAAAGCCCAAGCTTCATGTCGCAAGATCCTCAATCTTGTAAGGCTTGGCCTCGGTTTTTCTAGCCGGTGCATGATGCATGATGTTGTTTGTGGAGCAGTAGTGGTTAGCCGGTCTGGAACGATATCGCCACCAGTGGCTTGAGGTTGAAGCTGAAGGTTGCAGATTGAAGAAGTGGCGTTGCATTTGGAACCCGAATTGGGTTCGGTTCGACACGGTTGGTCCAGCTCAAGCTCCTTAATCACTACTACCCTGAAGTCTTGAACGCGTAGAACGAAGAAAACTTCAGACCGAAATTTGGCCTTCCCAGCAAATAACTGCTATAATTCTCGCTCAAAAAGGCTTCCTACGGGCCCCAGGTCTTTTTATTTGTTTTCGTCAATGGCTAAAAGAAACAGAAAGGTACTATCTACGCCTTCAGACGACGACAATTCAGGCTTTTCCCAGGGTTCAGACGGTGACCCAGACTTTGGGAACATCTCCCAACCGGCAACACAATCTTTGTTGCAAGATTCTCGTGTGCGAAAACCCAGAGGTGCAGCGATTGCTTCGACGGCTAAGAGACGGGCAGCTGCTAATACGGATGACGATGAGAGTGCCGGTGAAACGGTCGTGAGAACTAAAAAGGCCCGGAGGAATACAATTATTGGAAAACTTGAGGATCTGGACTTTGAAGTCGAAGAAGAGGAAGAGGAAGTCGTTTTGTCAACTACGAAGGCTAAAAAGTCTGGGGAAAAGGCGAAAGTCGATACTGTCAACGTCAAAACTACGAAGACAGTGAAGACGCCAGTGAAGGCTGTGAAGGATACGCCCAAGCGACAGCGGAAAACGAAGGAAGAGAAAGAGGCGGAGAAAATGCCATTAGCAGATCGTACGTTAAAATTTGCATTCAAAATTGGTGCTCACGTTAGTAGCGCTGCTGGCGTGGAAAACTCGATCACAAATGCTACCAGGATAGGCGCAAATGCCTTCGCATTGTTTTTGAAATCTCAGAGGAAGTGGGAGAGTCCTCCGTACAAGCCGGCGAATATAACAGCCTTCAAGAAATTTACAAAAGCTCAGAATTATGATTCGAGAAAGTCTGTTCCTCCAATCCATTACGTTGGTTATTCTATCCAGTAGCTGACGAGAGGCAAGTCAAGACATATGCTACCTCATGGTTCATATCTGGTGAACCTGGCCCAAAAGGATAAAGAAAAGGCAACGAAGGCCTACACAAGTTTCATCGACGACTTGAAACGGGCTGAACTGCTTGACATTGGTCTCTTCAACTTTCAGTAAGACTCGAATGGACCCATTCTTTCTATATTTCCCTCTAATTCGAACCTGAAATAGTCCAGGCTCATCACTTGGTGAACCCCGGGATGAGGCAATCGAACGAATTGCGAATGCCCTGAATAGAGCCCATAAAGAAACAAGTTTTGTCAAAACAGTTCTCGAAACTATGGCGGGACAAGGAAATGTAATAGGTTGCAAGTTCGAGGACCTTCGCGACATCATCGCCCTTGTAGAGGATAAATCCCGAGTCGGCGTGTGTATCGACACTTGCCACAGTTTCGTAAGTTGGAATCCCCTCTAGCTCGCCCGTCAGATTCATCACGCAAAAAATGTATGCCTTTCCCGAACGATCTAGTAGTGGCGTGCTAATGATTCCGTCACAAAAAACAGTCAGCCGGCTATGATCTCCGTTCTCCGGAGGCATACGGTGCGGTCATGAAAGAATTCGATGAGGTGATCGGTTTCAAATACCTGTCAGCTCTGCATTTGAATGACTCGAAAGCCCCCTTCAATTCGCATCGAGACTTGCACCAGAATATCGGTCTAGGTTTCCTTGGTCTATCGGCGTTCAGGAACGTCATGAACACGAAGGAATTCCATGATCTGCCTATGGTCTTAGAAACACCATTGGCGGGCGACGACGTAAGCGTCTGGGCGAAAGAGATCAAGCTTTTAGAAAGCTTGGTCGGGCTTGAAGCCGACGATCCGACATTCCTGGCGCTGGAAAAGGAGTATGCGGATAAAGGTGCTGCGGAGAGGAAGGTAGTCCTGGATAAACTTGAGAAGAAAGAAGTGGAGAAGGAGGAGAAAGAGGCAAAGAAAAAGGAGAAGGTCGAGAAGAAGGCAGCAAAAGACAAGTTGAAAGACGATAAGACAAAAAAGAAAACCCCGAAGAAGACGACAACGGCGGCGAAGAAGGGAGGCAAAGCGACCAAGGATATTTCAGATTCTGACTCCAGTGAACTCAGTGAGCTCGAGACGGAATCAGACAGCGATGCAAGCAGTTGCGGAGGCAAACACTGAGGATCCGCGTGAACCTTGTGATATTTTCAAGCTCTCCCCTCGAGTTGAATCTTTATTGTCAACTTTGGTCATACAAGCCGAGCGCTAATGCGGTGGGCGGGTTAGACCCACTAAGATTATAATATCAATCAGCGGCCGCGTAGAATTGATCCAGATATATATATGTGTGTACGAGGAAAAGTTTCGGCTGGCTATTCTTGGCCGTTTATTAGTTCGACATCAATAACAATAAGCTGGAGATCGTGCGCCAGCCCACGGTGACTTGAGCCAACCTAGATATTTGAGTCAATACCCCACCGTTAGGTCTACGAATCCTGAATCCATTGTAATTTTGGCCTGAATATATTTATATTTAGACCGGTTTCTTCAGACAGAATGCTAGAACTTGTCTCGTTGCTGGAGCCGATTTATTGAAGCTACATCGAGACAGAGCCATACAAAGAAGACCCACTCTCTCTGGGACCAAGTGATGTGGGACCGTTATAGAAACTCAAGAAGCTTTACATGTCCTCGTATTCTAGTATGAACACAAATAGCTTCCCAGATTTTCGGTTTAAAATTCCTAAACCGAATTTGCGAGTTTGCTATTCATGTATAGCCCAACACCTGCGAGAAATGCGATGACTATTAGAAAACAATGTACAATGGTATTATATTCGCATAACCCTATTATGAACGGGTTAACAGGAATATCAGCGCGCTTTCGAAAAGGAATAAAATATCCTAACCGCCAATAACTGAGATTGAGACGTCACAGGATGACTGAATGGCATCTTCTCAACTACCCCGGCACAGCCTTAATATAAGTTTCTTGGCAGCAGTTTTACCACAACTACAACAACGACGAGCTTGCGTATGCCTGCCAGGGGATATCATGTCAAATCCAATTTAGCGGAATTGATGCGGTTCGCTGTTGGGAGCGAGGACGGGAGGCTACAACCTCAAATCGAGGCCAATTCCCGGAGTATTTAACCTTAATCCTACAAGGGACCCGGTTCAAACGCTCGGTTCCATTTTGCATGTGCAGCAATCCCAGACCTGTTTTATCTGATATTTTGCTATCAATTGATCATTTAGGGAAAATAAAAGCTGTGGTTTTTTTGAATTCCAGGAATTCGTTTCCGCCTATTCTCTTCAGCGCCAGAAAGTTTATCTCTGCGACAGGACCTCTATCTTCCGACAAGCCGGAGCAAGTGGAGTAGGTACGCCGAAGAGGCACACATGGGAGCTTTTAATTACGAGTCAGGAACATTTTCCTAAGTGGGACTGCTGAGATACTGAAGGCTTACGTACTTTCGCAGGGCAAGAAAGCTTAAGCTGAAACAGGTGTGGTCCGGGTTCAAACGCTCGTTGAACTAACCACTCTGATCAGATATGTCTCCACTGACGACCTTCCATCCTTCATACAGCTATATGCATCGATTATCGATAAAAAAAAATCAAAGCTTTTGGAGAGAAGGCGTCAAGGCACCAAGACTACAGCCCCTATCCTTGCGTATACTTGTTTTGCAAGCTTGGCTTCGGATGTGGAACCGGAGTTTTAAAACCAGGCTTATATGTTCTTAGCCTCGAACTTCGATCCATAACTGTTAACCCTGCCCAATTGAGTGTCAAAATGCAGTTCCTCCCGTGAAGTCCTTGTCTTATTTACCCCATTTTAATACTCGCCCTAATATATTATAATAGTTACGGAAAACTCCGTGACCCTTACTGGTCGGAGATTTTGAAACTTGATCCGACCATCATCATCATCTTATGCATGTCTAATTCGCATCGCGACATTGAGAGAAAGTATAACGCTCTCCGGGAATCAAACGCCATTCCGGACATCAATGCCCCATACTACATGCTGATTGCCTGCTACCATTGGATTCTAAGGAGCGAACAGAATGTGATTTGTGGAAATTTCAGACGCGAAGATCATCCAGGGAAAGATATCGATTCGGTCAAGCGGAAGACGTGATACTCGAAGGTTCCTCCAATTACGATTGCATCAGTATTGTATATACGATTTCGTTTATGATTTGGTCTAAGATGATTTCAGGTGAATCAAATGGATTCTGTCTATAAATATGGCCGTTTCTCGCATCCGAAAGTCTCAATTATCAGTTCAAAGCATCAAACAGTATCAGCTTCTTCAAATTCAAAGACTTCATTCAATTCTAGTTATCAATTCAAGCAATTGACTATCTCTTTTCTTCTTCTTCTTATCCAACTAAGAAACTTCTACATTTCAAACTTTCAAAATGCAACTTACTGCTATCTTCGCTGTCCTCGCCACGGCCTTGACCGTCGCCGCTGCTCCTCAATTTAGCGGACGTCCATCTGGTGTCCCGAGCGGTATCCCATCCGGAACGTTCCTTCCCCCAAGTGGCACCCACGCTCCTCCACCGCCACCAAGTGGCACTGGTGCTCCCCCAGCTCCACCAACTGGTACCTTCGTTCCTCCAGCCCCACCAAGTGGCACCGTTCGTCCACCTCGCCCATCCGGATCTGGTGCTCCTCCAACTGACCGCCCATCCTTCAGCGGCCCACCACCAACTGGTGTCCCAACCCCAAGGGCTTAGATCTAAGGGGCATGGGAATGCAAAAAGTTACTATAAACGAATGGCATCCCCCCAAAGGCGAGAATTAATTCGGTACAGCGATATACTAGACAATTTGTGTTTCTCGATATCAGCCAATCTTCAAATTTTCAAGACATGGACACACAACCCACCCAATACTATCCCGCACTCCGGTAGTATATTATTTTATTCAAGTTCTTTCAAAAATTTTGGATTTCAGAAAGTTTTATTTTATTCAATTCTATCATGGCAATTGTAGCTTGGAGGCTTCCACATAAGTATCTTCCGTGACAATGTATTCTCAGAGCTCCTAGCTAAAGTTATATGTTGGCGATAAAGGGCTTGAGTTCTGCAGCCGAAGTTACTTGGTATACTTGGAATTTGACTTCCTACATCCTTTATCCGAGCAGGAGTTGCCGTTTATTCTGATGTTCATATTTTGTGATTTACTTTTTGTGAATTTTTTTCATCTTTTTGTATATAGTTCCAAACAATATAACACCGCTGTCTCGATGTCGGCGGCTCGCTTGCGAAAAAAAAAAAGAAATTTGGTGCTTTCTTTGCTCGTAATTATCAACTAGTACTAGCAATGAAGCCCCTTTGTAATCCTATAGTCAGCTGATATAATTGTGATAGACTCATATATGATCCATACTTATATCAAAAATTCGTGGCAATAGAGAACGGGTCGTAAAATGAGTATATGTAACAAGTTAACCTCTTCGGCGTGTTCGTAAAAATAATTATGGCGGGCCAAACCGGGAAGGATTGTATGCAAATGTACAACCCATGCATACAAATATATCTCGTACATATTAGCCTAGTTGTTGGTTAGTCTATAAGCTAGCTTACAGCCTGGACGATCCGCTGGTATATAATCTACTTGTGCTGTTCTGCAGCTCTGAGGTGACCTTTAGAATAGAATAGAATAGAATAGAATTCAAACTTTTAATTTTTTTAAAAAAAATTGTATATTCGCAATTGCAACAACTTTACATGCGTACGAATAAAAATATGTATTATAATTTGTAATACTAGTATTAATTGTAAGGGATGCACACAGTTTGGTTAACGTTACGAGACTGAGGGATGCATAGACAGTAGTATTTTACGGTTTTGGAGCTTTATCATAATCACTTTGCTCGGCTGTTCTAGTTTCGAGGCTGAATAATCACTATAGAAAATGAAAATCCAAAATTCAAACTAATAAAAAACTCATAAATACAAAGTATTCAATACATAATTTTCGTTCGAATCATTCCGTCGTAAACTCCTATTGCCAATCCCACGTTTGAGGTTTTGACATTTATCTCATGTTGTTTCTTCTCTTTCTTTAGACCTATTTTGAGAGTTAGAAAGATTCGTAAGAGTTTATAGATCTATAGATCTAGCAAAAGTGTGTATATTTAAATCTCAGTTCGTTCGGCAAGTTGGGGATCTTGTGCTTCAGTCGGTTTGCATAGTCAGTTTGCATACATTCGGAACGCTCGAAATTTCGGCATGCAGAATCATAATCTAAAATACTCATTCGCCATCATCGCTGTATTCAACTCTCGTACTTATTATCAGACTCCTCAGTCGTACATATTATCAGACTCCTCAGGCTCCTCGTCCTTAGGCTCCTCAGGTTCCTCAGGCTCCTCGTCCTTAGGCTCCTCAGGCTCCTCGTCCTTAGGCTTCCCAGACACATCAGGGTCCCCTTCCTCAGGTTCCTCAGACTCCTCAGGCTCATCGCTTGGAGCCGGTCGTGTAGCGGTAACGGTGGTAACGGTAGTAACAACTTTTCCACTTTTCGTTATCGTCTTAATCATGACGTTAGGGTCAAGTGTCTTCGTAATGGTCTTCGTAACACCATCCTTCACAATATAGATAATCTGAATATTTTTACCACCGCCTCCGATAGTTTTGTAAACTGTCGTGGTAGGTATCTCCGTCTTGACAGGACGTCCACCAATATACACAACATAGACCGTTTTAACGTTATTGCCGTCTTTAACAGTCTTCGTAACCGTACTGGCTGCGTTATTTTGGGGAACCCGAGTTGAAACTGTTACGGGCTCCTGTTTGGTAGGATAGGCTACGACGTAGATGGTCTTCGAAAGCGTTATTGTTTCGTATGGGTAAGTTTTAATTATGGTCGTCGTAGGTTGAGGGCCAACAAAAACCGTCCTGCGGATAGTAAGGGCCGCTTTGCCAGTTACCGTTGCCGTTACTGTCTTAGTCTTCTGGACCTGCACAGTTCGAGTTCTGATTGTTGTGACGTCTTCTCCCTTAGGAGTAACATAAACGTACTCAAACCGCTGGACCGTTTTTGTTTGGAGTGGATAAACCCCTTTGAGGATAGTCTTAGTTAATGTGCCAACCAGAACCGTCCTATAGACGGTAATAGCAGCAGCGCCAGTTGCAGTTCTCGTTATTGTCACGGTCTTTACTACTGGAGGTGGTGGTGGCGGTGGCGGTGGTGGTGGTGGTGGTGGTGGTGGTGGTGGTGGTGGTGGTGGCGCCGGCTTTGGGAAGGTAAAGTATGTTGGCCAGCACCCAGCTGTTTGCTGTGGTGTAAATTGACAGGCATTGCACAAGACATATGGTCCGGCGCTCGACTGTACAACGAAAGCGCAGTGGGCGTTCCCAACTCCGCCCCCGCATCTCTCGATTCCTTGCTGAACGCTGGCCTTTTCACAATGGAAATGGGTAAAGAGTCCAACGTTTGCTCCAGTTGCTAGAGCGGTAGGAATGACCGCCAAGATGGCGGTGGCAGCTAGGAGGATAGAGTTGGACGGCATTTTGTAAAAGGAATGTAATGGTTTAGATGAAAAACGAGTGTCGTGTAAAGAGTGTTAGGCTTGTTAACATCTGCTTCTCGAGAGCTGAGGCAGCCGATGATGACAATGCAATAAGGACATTAAAATATATCGATCCTGTGGAAATCGGGATTATTTATACCTAGATGACTGAATCATACTAGTAGTTTATATCGCTCGATATAAAATAAGCGCGGTGTTACAACCAACCAACCAACCAACCTATAATGGCCAGGTTTGCCGCTATTGTCTATTATAGCCCTTCCTGGGGTGATATTTAGCGTCCCATGGTTTTGGGTAACATTTTTTATGAATACTGTTCCACGGTTCGGACGTTTGAGTCTCTGCGCGACGAACTTCCAATTTAATTTGTTGATATTATTCACAGAAGCGAATTAGACCCTGAAAACCCTGAAACCCCATGATAGGTTCCGTTTAAGATATCTTAATAGGGTTCCACCTGTTCAAATGTGAAAAATAACCGAAGCCTCCCAAACCTGCCAAGGTCTAGCGTTCTCCGACGCGATCGAGATTCGGATCGATAAGTAGTACAAAAGCCATATCATATTATATTACGGCATTTCCGCCGGAAATATACTTGTTATCATAAGAATTAAGTTAAAAAAGCGTTCTCGGTTAATTATAACGTTCAATGTAAAGGTGGTACAACAGACAGCAATAACACCCTGACGATCTGACGAAATAGGAAATTCGAGCCTTGTACTTGCTGAAAATACAACACGACGTTAACACCGTGCACTGCATTACATAAATCCACACGATCCATGGCCACTCAGTTTATCAACTATCCGGATATATGTACAGCGTTAGAAATCCCTTCTACAAACGATACACGAGCTAGTTTTTTTAATTCGTACTTCAGCCAAGCCGACAAAATAAGCATCTTATTCCGTGAAGATTCCGAGACTTGAGCCTTTTACACGGTTGATATCATTAAATTGGGTTTATTTTGCGAAACTCAATCCTTAGCCCAGTACGATGCTAAACAAGGTCAGCAGATCCTTTCGGTTTCGAGGATCACGCCGATGACGAGCAAGTGTCGAAAGTATCTGTTATAGACGAGGGTTACTTTGATAATTACTTCTTGTGAGAAAAAAGCCCAAAAGGAAGCACCGAAGACCCCCACACGGAACCACATTATCAGTAATGCTAACTAAAGATTTTATGACTTTCGTCTATAAATACAACCTATCCTCATCCGTACAGTATCTTCATTCTTCCCAATGCAATATCGCCCGCATACAAAAAAGTGGATATTGACACAAACAACACTCCTTTAAATTTGAAATTTAACATCTCTTATACAATTCTTCTTTTTCCAAGATGTTAATCAAATCTATCGTCACCTTTACTTTCTATGCTACCGCAACCGCCATGTGGACGTGGAACACCACTCCCAATTCGGGGGCCTATTTCCATTGGAGATGCCCAACACTCGGGGCGGCCCAATCACAAGAACAGCGTGCCAAAAATGGGGGAGGTTGCAAGGCTACAACTATAGCCCACGATAGGAATGGTGGATTCTTATTGGTGAATGGATGCAATAACGAGCCAGGAACCGGCGATGGATGCGTCATATCCAGATTTCCCCACGTTCCAACAGGCAAAACCATGCCATACTGATTGTGGAGGACAAACAATTAATCTGCTCGACACCTCGCAATCCTCTTTTGGGCCCTTGGGTTTTTCGGATACTCGGTTGAAAATTTAAAATATATATCATGCCTTTTTTTTTTTTTTTTTTTTTTTTTT